AATGAAGTAAGTTTCGTCATCTAAATTTTTATATATATATAAAAATAATGTAACAATGGTAAATTAATAATATAAAAGATCTGTAAATGGCTTAAATAGAAATTTAGTAGGCAAACTTGTCTGTCTCAATCTCCATAGAAAAATTCAGTCCACCAAAAGGATAAAAGGTCAAGAACAGTCTGTCGGATTCAGCAAATGCAAGTTACAGATGAACCATCAATTCATTTTCAGGCATCATATACACTATTCATATTCGTATATGTCTGATGTACCTTTGGTTCGTGTGATGTCTCAACTTCCAATTCCCAACTCCCAAGCCCTCCAAAGGCCTTTCACAGCAACCTTTTTGTTGTGTCAAACAGCACAAAAGGGAAAAAAATGTCGACCGACGACCGTAGTTTACATTTCACACAACCACAAAAATCTCCTTGTGCCCCACTTTGATTATCATATTACACATGACATGAGTCCATGACATATTAACATTCTAAAGCAATTAAAGGAGAACATTGTTCTTCTTTACATGCATGGCTTTTATTTTGGAAAACCTGGAAGCATTGAAAAGATTAAGAAGACAAAGCAAAGCAAGCAGGTTTTGTTTCGAGCTATTCTGCCTTAGCATATATAATGTAAAGGGATGAAAGAATCAGCAGGCAAAACATGCATGAGAATGGGCCATGCACAATGGTTTAAACTGATTACGGAAATTATTGGGAGCAGGACCCCTTTCTATCAGCTTTCACCAACTATCTTTCTTCTTTCATGCATTTGTCCGCATCTTAAAAAAAAAAAGACATTTTCTTAATTTTGAGCCACTAAAATTCTCGTTTGTCCAAACAAGGGACAGAAAACCCAGCAAGCATATAATCCAGTTGCCATGCGGCCTAGCTTCTTCCAAATTTATATTCCGATCAACCATGTGACTATGTCATGTTTGTCTTCTCGTTGGCTCCGATATGGTATCCAATGGCCCTGGAAGATAAAAATTTTTTCTTATTCAATTATTTTTGTCTTCAATATCAAGTTTGATTTGTTTTTTTGTTTCCTTTTTTTAGATTATTTTTATGTGCACTATATATATATATATACATGATAAATTACAAAACAAATGGGTGGTTTGTTGGGCCCTCAAACCCATATTCATTTTAACCTATCTTACAAAGGGGCAAAACTATGTTGTTCAATTATTTTATTTCAGCCCAGATCAGTCAGATCTTGGGCCAATCGGCCAGGTTTAGTCCAAAATTTTTATCTCTTTTATTATCAAACGATGTCGTTTTAAAGAACTCTCGTTTCTTCGTTTCCAAATGACAAAAGCGTCAAAACCTTAAAAGGCTAAAACCCTATCACCGTTCCGTTCAAAACTTTAAACCCTTGAAGCCCTAACTTGCCATATGCAGTCGTTTTGGTAAAGCCGGAACTGCCAAGTGCTAACCATCCGCCGGAAGTCTGGGTAAACAAATTTCTGTTCAGTTTCTGCACCAGATTCGTCTTCTCAGCCCATTTGTACCGGTCACCTGTTTACCTTCTATGAAGCCGGGACCCTCCATTCGCGGTAACGGGTCTATAACTGTTTTAAATCGGGTGTTCCCTTTTAAACTCAAGTTATTTGGCTTATCACCGGGCTTTAACGGACAGCTCAGTATGCGGAGCCTCTCCACCAGGAAGTTTCGACCTAGAACCGGGGCAAGCTCCGAGTTCGCTACCAAAAACACAGATGTCCTTGCCTCGAAGAGCCTGATCGAGGACGAGGCCGAACTCATCGGCGAGTTTAGAACCGACTCATTCTGTGGCCGCCTTCCTAGCGAAGACGAGGAATTAAACGCGGATAGAGCATGCAATAGAGTTAGGAGTAGAGATAGAAAGAGAAATAGCGGTTCCTCGAAGAGGAAAGCAGAGAGTGAGTTCGAAAATTTTCGTGAGTCGAACAGGAAGGGAACTCGGAGCCACTCGAGCGATCCTTTTTCGAGGAATTCCGGTTCAGTCAACGGTTTGATAGCGAATTAGAAGATGGAGACAATGATGACGGTGAAGAGGAGGATGAATCCTACTCAAGGAAAAAAACTCGGGCATGAAAAGAGAGAATAAAAATGTGGATTCATGGAAAGGAAAGAGAAATGAGAGGGGCTTGGATTCAAGAAACATGGGGAATGGAAGGAGAAATTTGGGAAGAAAATCGAACTTTCTCAAAGAGGAAGATGATGTTGCTACTGATTGTAACGAGGAAAGAGGGAGGAAAATGGAAGGTATAGCCAATTTCCTTAGTGAGGAAGATGGTGATATTAATGATGCCGAAGATGATGCATTTTTTAGGAAGAATGTTAGTTCCGCATTGGGATTGGAGAAGGACGTTAACCAAACAGGGTGTCCAAGAAGTTCACTAGAGAAATCTGAATCTGAGTCTTTTTTTGAATGAAACAAAGTGTGTTTTTAAAGAGACGTGATTCTCATTTCTTATTTTCTTAGGCTTCTGTAAATGTCTGAACTTTTTTTTTTTCTTATGCTTGCAGATTTGATCAATTATCACTATCTCCCTTGTCACTAAAGGAATCAAAGATGTGAGCAGATGACTGTGGTACAGGAGGCAACTCTTCCAGCAATACTCAAAGGTTTGTTTCCTTTATGGCGTTATTTATAACCAGAATTTCAATGATGGGAGTTCTGTAGAATCCACTGCATTTTTAACTATTGAACACTCTCATTGTTAATGATGAGGAAGCCAAATGTGCTGCAAGAGTAGGTGCAACTGTGTGGCATTTTTAGGATTTCCTTCTTGTTCAAATAGTGCTACGGAATGGTTTAACAGTTAACCTCAAAAGATTAATCTGTGTGGTTTAAATCTCTTCTGCTTGATGTTCTGTGGTTTGTCTAACTGCAGTTTTGTTTTGAGCTGTACCCTTAGGTTGCTAATCACTTGATGTTATGAAATTCTGAAATGAAATTGCCTTTGATTTTGTTCTTTGCATATTGGTTTTCTGCTGATTTGATTCAGCATACTTCATATTTTCATATCTCAACAGCTAATTGCATTTTTTTAAAATTTAGGCAAGGATATACTGACTAAGGCCAAAACGGGTATGGGAAAGATGGTAGCATTTCTGGTAAGATGCTGCTTTTGTATTTTTGAGCTCACTTTGTCTGTTTGCTAAGGGGTTAATATCTTTTTCATGACCTATTATTTTCTTATTATCTCCGCATGTTTTGCATTATCAAAATTAAAAAAGTTCTTTCTTTTCCTTGTTCTTTTCAGAAGATCTAAATGATCATTTGCTTTTTGATGGGAAAAAAAGAGAAGTAGATATCTATCCAGGGCAACAAGGGTGTTGTTGCTATGTTTTTGTTATATCCTGTTCTTAACTCTGTTGTCTGTTTTAGGGAGAGATATTAATTATAGGCATAATAATTAGTTTCTGTGAAGTCATCATACTATCTATTGGAAGCAGGAAATCTGTGAACTACTGAAACTTGCTCCAATTGGTGCTCCTAATTATTAGATGTCCTGGAGTTTTTCACTTTGCTTACTGTGTGGTTCTTTATTTTTTAGCTTCCATTAATTGAAATTGTTTCGGAATTGCCTACTGCTGATTGTGATGTTAAGCGACCACCAATTCATGTTCTTATAATATGCCCAACTCGAGAGCTTGCAAATCAAGCTGCTTCTGAAGCTAACACCTTCCTGAAGTATCATTCATCTATTGGCGTTCAAGTTGTAATTGGAGGTACAAGACTTTCTTTGGAGCAAAAAGATCTGCAAGCAAACCCTTACTAGTTGAGTTTGCTATAATTAGTGCTTCCTTTCTCATTCACTTAGGCAATGGTTGGACAAATATATTGATCCTTATTTACATTGTTAAAACGTTGGAATGTAATGAGATTGAGAGAATTGAAGTGGATCAACTTTTGATTCTGTCTTAATCTATCAAATCAAGGGATCATCAGTTTCCTGTCAACCAGACTCTGGGTCTTCACTGTGAGTTGATACTGCATTTACCATCAAGGCCATAACTATAGTAGGGTGTTGTTACATTTACTCCCGTTTTAACTCTCAGATTCTTGTTGCTACACCTGGAAGGCTCAGAGACCATATAGAGAATACTGCAGGATTTGCAACAAGGCTGATGGGTGTGAAGGTCCTTGTGCTCGATGAAGCAGATCAACTATTAGCCATGGGTTTTCGTAAAGAACTCGGAAGGATAATTGCTGCTGTTCCAAAACAACGACAGACACTTCTATTTTCTGCAACAGTTCCTGAAGAGGTTTCTTTCTTTATCTCTAGTGTGTATTGGATATTGATGTTTCACTAATTTGAAGAAAATTCTTATGTTGTTAATTGGTGTGAAGGTCCATCAAATCTGCCATATTGCATTGAGAAGAGATCATATTAATACGGTTCAAGAAGGCACCGAGGAGACACATTCACCGGTAGATTTTACAGCCTGATACTTTTTGTGTTACATAGAATTTTCTTGTTGTCTTAATTGCTTAAATTTTGGATATTTCAGGTCAGACAAATGCACATGTTTGCTCCACTGGACAAGCATTTTTCTCTACTGTATGTTCTTCTGAAAGAACATATTGCAGATGATGTTGACTACAAGATGCAATTTTACTGGACAGTGCTTTAGATTATTAGTTGGAAAGTTCTGGTTAGAGAAATTTTACTTTGTTGTATCCAAAGTCTTTGCTACTGTAAAAATGTGGTTTGGCCCCAATTCTTTAAAATTTTAAGTGTCTAATGTTAGAAATTAAAGTCAAATATGTTTTTCTCCAAATGTCACTTATGCTTTTGCTCATCATTTGTTGACCTTGGCAAAAATATGTAATTTAGCAGTCTATTTCTGCAGGTTCTTGTATTCTGCACTACTGCTATGGTAACAAGGTTGGTAGCTGAGATTCTTTGTGAGCTGAACCTGAATGTTAAAGAGATCCATTCAAGAAAATCACAGAGTTATAGAACAAGGGTATCTGATGAATTCCGAAAGTCAAAAGGTCTTATTCTTGTGACATCTGATGTAACTGCTCGTGGGGTTGATTATCCTGATGTTACACTTGTCATGTTATTTTTCTAATTAGAATTAAAGTCTCTTTTTTTTCTTTTGGCAGTTCTATTAGTGGGAGAGTGTACTGATATGTATGTTTCAAACCTGTAGTGAAATGAGGCATTTGGCTTGCTAGTCAGATATCCTAGTCTGTATCCAGGTGCATAGTTTCCTTTAAATTCCCATGGTCTTTCTGTTAAGCTTTTCTCATACTTTCTACTGTATGTGTATTCTGTCTACTGAGTAATAATTTTCTTTGCCATTAATGGTATTGTTTTTCAATTTTTTTTAACCATTGCAGGTGGGCTTGCCAGCTGATAGAGAACAGTATATACCTCGGCTAGGTAGAACTGGGCGTAAGGGTAAAGAAGGGCGAGGAATACTCTTGCTAGCACCAAGGGAGGAATTCTTTCTATCTAGCATCAAGGATTTGCCAATGACAAAGGCTCCTTTGCCTTCAGTGGATCCAGACACAGAAAAAGGTAAGCTTTGGTAGAATGTACCATCTAAGGTTTTTTATTCCTCTATCCTTGTTAACTAAAATAACAAACTCTTGATTTTCTATAAAGAGTTTCAACGTATTGGCAAGTGAATACGCAAAAAAATCTTTAATGGTGCTAAAATATGGTTGAACAGGTGGAACGGGCAGTTTCCAATGTAGTAATGAAGACCAAAGAATCAGCATATCAGGCGTGGCTTGGTTATTACAATTCTGTTAAGAATGTTGGCAAGGGTAAGTGCAAACTTGTGGTGCTTGCAAACGAGTTCAGCAGAAGCATGGGTCTTGACGACCCTCCTGGAATTCCTAAGCTCGTCCTTTGGAAGCTGGGCCTAAGGAATACCCCTGGTCTGCGTGCCAAATAGACCTGGAGCTCGACCGCTGCTTCAATCTTTCTCAATTATGGCATCACCTTGGATATATTCCCGATAGAAGATAGTACCATAATTCCTTTGCAGATCACTAGGCTTTAAGCACTCCTTTTGATTTTTTTTTTTTACAAGTATTTTTTTAAAAAAATTTGATCATTCATGTTTTAAATATTTTATTAAATAATTTTTAAAAATAATATTTGTAAAAACATTTGCATTCAAGGTTTTTAAAGATTGTTTCTTTTATATTTTAATTATTAATATTATTTAAAATAAAATGAAGTTAAAGTTGAAAAATTAACTTCTAAAATCTACCTAATTGTCACATGCCATAACAACGTCGCTATCTGAGAAAACTAATTATGTGTTGATGCTATTCAAGTATTGTTTAAAAAATACATTGTCTTGTATGATTGAAGAGTAAAGACACGCATTGTGGTAGAAAATTGAAAAAGAAATTTATCTCATGGAATTTTTGTATTTAACTAGTAGGTGAATCATACTCTTGTCGAATATATTACAAATAATTAAAAAAAATTAATACAAAAAAAAAGACACTTATTTAACCTTGAATGCATCTCATTTCTGTTTCTAAAAAATGGTAAATTCTAATCATCCAACTCATTTTTTGCATTGGAAATGTTATTAATACACTGGTTACTTTCAACAAGAAAGTAAACAAGGGACTGAAATTATAAACTAAAAAATGAAAACCCTATTACATTGTGGGGAAGAAAATCCTAAACTCATTGCAAGTTTATAAAAGGATACATAGAATTCAGTTGTAATCCTAAGGAGCTCCTATTTCAGTTACAAATGTATAGGAAAATCCTACTTTTAAACTCTAACCTCCGAGTCCTGCGTTCCCTTCACCATTACTCTGATATATCTTCAAAAACAGAGCACTTTCGAAAATGATTTTCATCATTTATAGTGTACATACAAGCACAAGCCAAGACGCATGGATGACCACCTTGTTAGAAAACCATTAAGCATACCTGATTCAGTAAATCCAGTTCTTGCTTTCATGAGTGATATGAGAACCAAAATGGCCTGGTAAAGGAAGGCTTTCTCATTTTAGGTTCCCCCACCATCATTTCTTCTCTTATGGAAAAGCAAGGGGGGTGGGGAATATCCTCATCTTTCAATTGTAATTCTTCTGGACCGCTCATCTGGTAATAAAATCAAAGTCCCCTGTAATGATAAATAAATGAGAGCATCATAAAACAATCCCATTGAAACAAAAGAAGGGATATAATCAAAATATTAAAGGCATAAACTTAAAAGGGAGGATTATTATCCAATTTTAAATTCAATTTAGTAGCCACATTTGTAACACTTGGATAAGAATCAAGAACATGCATTAATTGATTTGGATCTAACAAATCATTTGCTTCTTCAATCTCGTAAAGAGATATTTCCTGATCTATCTTATCTCTCTTTGAAAATTCACTTTCCAAAAACGTGGCATCTCAAGATTCAAATTCAGTCACACTCCCACTTGACTGTTCACCTATTGACACATATCCCTTTGAATGCTCAGAGTATCTTACAAATATACTCTTTTTGGAGAACCTAGCTTGCCCTGTGGATGACCAATCTCATCTACATAGGCAGCATAACCCCAAGTTCACAAATTACTGAGATTAGGTTTTCTCCCAGTCCATAATTCGTAAGGGGTAGATGTAACCGTTTTGGAAAGTATTCTATTGAGTATATAGGCAGCAGTTAACACCGCATCACCCCAAAAGGTGATTGACAAATTTGCTTGGGCCATCATAGATGGACTTGAGGTTTATGACTGAGACACAACCCACTAGATATATGAGAATACCAGCCCGGAAGAGGGTGGCAGCAGTAGATTGTATCAGGGTGGGAAAAGGTGGGGAGCAGGCAGCAATTTCCAGACAGCTCATTTAAGTTGAGCCATAGATATTACTACACCATCAAATCTATTGCTATGCCAAGCAAAGGCAGCTGGACAACAGTATAGATGCAAGGTACTTTTTAGGCAAACCACCTTCGTTAAGTCTTGTAAAGAAATTATCACAGACAAACAAGATAAATTACCTTTGGAGGTGTGGTGAAGAAGGCTGGTCTGGTGAAGACTGTTGAGCAGAGGTGCCATGAAACCTTTGCTCATCGAATACCCCACCTGAGCTGCTTCCATCACTTAGCTGTGATTCTTCATTCAATCCTGAGAAACCCACTGGTCCAAGAGAGCCGAACTCAAGCTGTTCATTGGGGGAACAATAACCAGAATTATGATCATAGGGATAAAGCATGACAACCGACGGAATGGTAGGTCCATTAGACGAGACCCCCCTGGGATTCATGGCTGGCACTGGGTACATGCCATAGGGTACACTGGCAGAACTACTCTGTGAAGAGTTTGAGCGGACTGGTCCATTATGATACTGGTATGACGTAAATGAATCATGTCTGTGAGAGCCCCAAGGCCTATCAGCTCTGCTCTCACCAGCAACAGGCTCCAATTGATCATTCGTGAACCTTGATTTTTCATTTTGATTGCGACTATGGCTGCGCCCAGCAGCTCGTGACTTTGAATTGGCATTCCAGTTCCCTCCTTTATCACCATGGTGCTCATTTCTATCATTACTATATTTTCCCCTCCTTGAATTTGCAGAATGGCGTTCTCTCATTGAAACTTTCTGAAGTAGAAAAAATTCATATATAAAAAATTATTGAAGGCTAGTTCTTAAGGTTAAGTGTCACAGAAATGCGAGATAAGCAACATTAAGATCACTTCAAAAAACTGATGAAACAGACTAATGCAGTATCTTATGACCAATATAACATTTCATTTCAAATGATTGCATCTCAAAGGATGGAAAACTAGTAAATCTAATGGTTAAAATTCATAGCCACTTTTCTACTTTGTAGCTTAATTATAAGATTAACAAGTTTTCCATCCTCACCCCTTTCTATCCTTTCTACCGAGCAAAGCCTTATGATAATTATGATTCATTACAGATTGTCAATTTATAACTTACAGGGTTTGGAAGGTATGTCCCAGTACCACTGCGATGTCTTGGCATTTCATCAACAAACCGTTGGTATACACTGACAGGTCTATTTGAAACAGATTGGAGAGAAGTAATAGGAACAATACCAGGTCCATAATTCATAAGTTGAGAGAAGATATTCACATTTGATGAAAGAGGTCTACCAGGACCATCCCATGGGAAATGACCTTGTAAATAGACAGGTGGCACCATAACAGGTGAAGGATAAACCAGAGGTGGAGGATACCGTGAATTTTGGCAAAACCGTCCATACTGCAAGTTTTGCCAATGGCTAGCAATGTCACCATTAAGAATGTCAGATTTATTCTCTGATGGCTCAAGAGATGTAACCTTTCTCATAGAATTAGAAGCATTTAACACCTCAGACTGATTAAGCCCCTCAGATGATTCGAAATTTTGCCCAGAATCATTGTTATCCAAACCTTCATCCCAACTAAAATGGCTTGTTGATGCATCTGTAGTTCCTGTTTCTGCTGGAATGTTGTACACAGGGCACAATAAAAATGGAACAGGTGGCCCTGTTATTGTGAAGGCCAAAGGAGGAACTCCAGAATTATCCATAATTCTTTGCCCTGAACCAGGACCAAAGAGGAATGGAGCAATGGGTATCAGTGGATCTGAGCCATTTGTCTGAGCTGCCTCAAATCCAGGCATTTGATGCCATGGAACGGGCAAAGAACCAACTGGTTCAGGTTCAGTAGTTCTTTCTGCCACTTCAGTGCCCACTATTGATGGTGGATTCCAGTCTCTGCCATTGTCATCTGCCTGAGAGGAATGTTCAGATACACTCTTACCTTTCCCACCCGCAGCAGAAGGAAGAACAGAAGCAGCTGTTTTCCTACCCCGTTTCTCCTTACCTGGCTTAGAGACCTTTGCCAATGACCCTTCCCAAGAACTTTCTGATGAGGTTTGACTTCTGAGTGAACTAGTATGTGAAGCAGGCAAGGGTCTAGAACTTGCAGTTTTTTCATCAAAGTAAACATCATTACCTCTGTTATCTTGATATTGGCAAACATCTACATGATCTTCCCTAGTTGATCCTCGAGTTTCTTTGGTAAACTTCTGTTGGACTTTAGTAGAATTACCAGAGCTGCCTACCCTAGATGAAGGAACAAAATTATAGCCAGCTGAAGTTGACAGTTGCTTATCATCTGACTGAAGCATTTCAAAACTTCCATTATCAAAATCCAAACCACCATTAGAGCCCCTGTCTTGTTCATGCCATGACTCATGTTCCATTTCCCCTGGGTTCATTTCTGGAGAATCAAAATTTTTGCTGCCGGGTTCAATTAGATCCTCTGGATTTGAGGCTAATCCAATGCCAGAAAAATAATGGGCCAAAGTAGAAGAGGCGAATCCTTGGGGAAACATTTGAATATTCGAAGGAACAATTCCACCCAAATTTCTCTGATTGTATCCCATTAATAGAGATTGGATAGGAAAAGGTAAGTGACCTGCAGCTAAATTTAATGGAACAGGAACCTGACCATTAAAGCCATGACATGCAGAAGATGCTATCATGTTCACTAGATCTTGCTCCGCTTGATGCATTCCTTGTGTACCTGGAATTGAAGAAAAGTCCTGACCCGTAGTTCCCAAGCCTAAATTATCTTGGGAACTATTTAGAAGACTGTTTGGATTAGCAGCAGCAGCATCTATGCTTTGATGGGTTGAAGCATGGCTAATGGATGGAAGATCATCACCGGAAGATTTAACGTTATGGCTTGCCACCATATCAGATTCCATATTCTTCCTCCCATTATTGTCTGAACTCATAGAAGCAATCCGGGTTTTCCCACTCTCTGACACTCTGTTCCACCTTCCTCGAGAAGTAACTTCCCCATATGTTTCAGTAAGCTCAGGACTAGAACGCGTCCTTGCAAAAAGATATCTTCCTTGAACATCAGTCACCAAGTTCTCAGCTTTAGAAATTCTCTGACTCGTACCATTATGAACATTCTGGTTGGAATTAGAATCCCGTCGAACCTGATCAGAGGTCTTTGAGTTGCTTCTGCTACCATAATTCTTTTGGCTCTGAGTATGAGAAACAGTAGATGCATCACTAATCTTAGTTGTGCTTTCCAATGTATAATTAACATGCTGTGAATAAACATCACATGATCCTTGAGCTCCTTCAGCTTGAGTTTCACGCCCTGAGGAAATATCATTTCCTTTGCTGCTTGAATTGTTCCTGACATTCTTAGATCCATGAGTGTTTTCTGAATTTGACAATCTCAAGCGCCACAGATCATTCCTTGGTGCATCAGGACGTTGGCCACTGCCATGCCTTGCCCATGTATTCATAAAGAATTGATTTACTTCATAATAGAGGTCATCTTTGGGACAGTCAAGTAATCTTGCCAACTTTTTAGCCCCAAATGCAAATGCACTGCGTATCCTAAAGAAATTACCTGGAGAATAGTATAATATTTTATGCTCAACAAAACCTATTATTAGAAGCACTACAGCCAACCAGAAAATTGACAGCTATTCCAAAAGCATCAAAACCTTGAAAAAGATTTACATAGTTGTACATGTAGAAATTTTAATAATATCCATCTTTGATTCATGACATGCTTAATCATATAAGTTTCCAGTAAATGCCACAACAGCACAGAAGTAAAACAAACTAAGATCCTAATTGTTAACTATCGCCCTTCTTACTTCCAATAATAGTCTCTTCACCTTGCTTTCAACCATTTTAAGTTCAATATTTTCTGAAGTTATTAGCATGTGATCTCTTAATCATACAAGTTTCAAATAAGTGTAAGAACTCTGCAGAAGTAAACAGAACTAAGATTTTAATTGTTTGTTATCACCTTTCTTCCCTCCAATAACAGTTTCTTCATCTTGCTTTTGACCAATTTAAGTTCAATAGTTTCAAAAGTTCTTAGCATGTGACTCTCTTAAAATTTCATTGCAATATATCTTCAAAAGGATTTTCCATAGGTCCATATAGGGACAAGATGGGTAAAAAGGACATCTTAATATATCAAATCGTTATGTCAAGGATAGAAACTTAGGCAACAAAAGCATGCAGCCATAGTACTGGAAACAGAGCATTGCTAGACAGGGTAGAAAAGAAGTCACAAAAATGGAGAGAAACCTCTCAAAAAGTACAAGAAATAACCACTAAATAGTTATAAATGTAACTACCTTTACTAACACTACGTCCAAGGTTGTTATTTATACGCAAAGGATCGATCACATTGAAATGTTTAGAAACAAAGGGCTGGCCCTGATTTTCTTGGCAATCAGCATATCTTGAGCTACAATCATCAAGAAAATATTTTCTAAGTAACAACTCTCCATCATCTTTTCGAGGAGGTTCCGCTGCAAAAAGTATTTTAAACAATGTAATTCAGACTAGAAACCTGCAAACATTCTGTAAGTAAAATGTTCTTGTTCAAAGCTTAGCATTAGATGTTCCAGAAATTGTAGTACCTGCTATGTCTGGAAGTGAACTAATTGGAACAGGACCCCAGAGGCTAATACAAAAATTTTCCCAATCGAACTTGCTAAAGAACTCAAGAAAGTGATACAGAACCTACGCATGAAAAAGGAAGAAAAATTAGACTGATGTACAGACAAATGCAAAAGGCATAAAAAATAGAAAGGTAAACATAGCCACCTCAAGTGGTCCAGAAAAGGACTTATTGAAAACATGGAATATGTAAAGAACCAAGGTTTCCAGGGCATAAGTTGAGATAAGTCCATGATGAGCACCCAATATACGGCTCTCATAATAACACCAAGCCTTTATCAATATGATGCTACGTTTGAACAAATGATTCTGATTTATCAAACGATCAACCTACACACATGGATGTTAAGTTAGATTAAAACTTACACAAATTCCTAAAAGGTCTATCATTCCAAAAATAAATATGCAGATATGCAGAGGCAGGCTTTACATTACTAACCTCTTCAAGGAAACAAAGGGTACATAATCCACCTAGCTGATTAAATGAAATGTCTACTACAATATTTTCCACAAGACACTTAATTATCTTCACCTGAAAAAGTATGAGAAAGAAAAGAACATATCAAAATGAATTAGTGAATTAAGATAACAATATTAAGCAAATGTGTGGAAGAATTCCACAACTTGTTTTATAAAAGACATTTCCAGAGATAATATGAAAAATAGGAAGAATAACACTGAACACACGGAGTCCCCAGCAAAGTAGCAGGTGTCACAACTGTCCAAATTTTAATCAAAGAAATATGGTGAAGAAAAAAATTGAAACATTGACAGCATGGTAAACAAGAGATTCTAAGAAGAAAAGAAAAACCCAAGTTTCCTGAAAAAGATTCCATAGGAATTGTAAAGAGAAAAAAAATCTCATTATGACTTTACCTCAGCCTGAATGTACTGAACTTCTTTTACTCGGAATTCAGCATTCTCATTTTTTTCTTCATTTTCCAGCATATCACGAACCTGATGAGCCCACGTATCCTTCAAATTTTGATTCTTACTGAATGCCGTTAAGTCAATATCCCCATCAGGCAAATATGTCTTGAGGGGCACAGACCCAAAAGTACAAACCTGTCAACAAAAAGCAAGCAACTCCACTCAACGTCCCAAACATGAAATGTAAAGATTGTAACTTCTGCAAGACTTGTTATGAATGCCACTTATCCATCCTTTACATTTTTAGTCAAATATATTCATTCAATCGTTTCCTTAACATAGAAATAAAAAAAATGTAGAATTAAACATATATAACTTCATATAATAGCATTCATTCATTAAGAAAACAAATTATAATGGAATGGCATTTGATTCGACCTGACAAGGGAAGCATTTGGAGATGAGGCGCTGGACATAATCAGCCACGGCATTACGGCGACCTTCCGAGGGTGCATCGGGCTGAATGCAGGCAATGAGGTCAGCGGTTCTTTCCTCAGCCTTCATCCATCGCTCCGAGTCAAGTATCCGAATCACCGAGGCAGCTTCGTTCGGTAACAAACCGTTCGGCAATAGCCCGCTCGGTGGCTGCTGCGCCGCCCACCCTTCATGCTCTCCCATGCAATCCTAAACTGCTTTTCCTCCCCTAACCCTCCCAACCGCCACAAAAGCAACTAAAAACAAAGACAATAAATTTCAAAATTAAAAAAAAAAAGAAAACTAATCCCAAAAAAAAAAGGGATTATCTTTCAATATGTACGGTTTCCCAGTGAATATATGACTTGAAAAAAAAGAAAACTTTGAAATTAGTTTTAGTTTTCTTCTTTTTTTTAATTAACCAGGTAACAACCCTAGATTGTATTAACGTTTCTCAAGTAATAAAATGGCAAGTGCAGTAAATACTGCTAGAAAGAAGGGCATATTCCACTAAAATTTCCAAGGTAAAATGATTGAAAAAAGATGTAAGTTTTTTCCTTCTTTCTAGTTGATTAAGAAATCTACAAAAATCAGGACGAAAAAAATCCTAGAAATAAAAAAACCGAAACCGGAACAGAGAAAAAGGGAGACGGAAACCCTAGAGGGTAAAGAAAAGGGAAACAATGGAGGCGAGAGATTTTCAAAAACCCTAAATAGAAACTGCACCAATCCTGGAAATTGGAAAGTGTTGGCGAATCAAAAAAAGGGAGGCTGAAGGGCGAAATAGCAAATGTAAAAGGAAAAAGATTGGGGAGAAATTTTGAAATGGTGAAAAAAGCGAGGATCAAAAGGAATACTACTTCTTTAGGTTTTGGGGGTAAAGAGCTGGAGAAAGGAAACAGAAGGGGGTGGAAGAGAAGGGGGCCGTTCGGTTACAAGAATAAGAGATTGTGGATGCGTGATAGAGTTATAGTAATTGTTTGACGTCGAGGAAGTTTGAGCATTTGAGGTTTTTTTTTTTTAACAGGATGACAGAATCTCTGCGACAGAGAGAAAGAGAAGAAGAGAAGAGTAAAAAAAAAAAAAAATTGAAAATAAAAGAAAATATTTAAATGAAAATTTCTGCATTTTCTTTAATTAGCCTGGCCTTCTAAGAAATATTTAGGCCCAATAGCATATGGTAGGTAAGGCCTGCTAAGATACTAAAATAATGGGTTCAGCCTAGAAGTAATACCCGAACCAAGTGCTTATCTATTCATCTTTTCGAATCCATCTAACTAAATTTATTTATATCTATATAGTAAATTTATAAAAAATATATATATATTTTTCCATCATTATTAGTAGATTCAAGCTCAAATAATAATAAAAAAAGCCAAACATGTGTCGATAAACGGTGATGAGAAAGTTTCATAGAAACTTAAAATTTCTCCCCATTTTTCTATTTTTCTGCATCCTTTGCTGTATTTCTCCGATTTTATTAATGTTTTTAATTTTTTTTCTACAATGTATGAATAAATACGACTTACGACTAAGATATTCATCTATCCAAATCTAGTTTATACATGTTGACTTATCTGCTACACTTTTCTCCTGCATCAAGCATTGGCATGCTATTACAACGACTACACTGGGGAAAGAACAAGAATTGTAGTACTGATAAGTTTGTCGATGAGCTTGTTTGTATATTGTCTTTATTATTTGGGTATAGCTTTTCCCTTTTCTGCTGGCCTTCACACATAGTTTCGGTGCCCTGTTGTTAGTGATGCATTGATGCATTCTTTTTCGGCTGGGTTGGAAATAAATTCTTGCTACTAAAATAAAAAACAAAAAAACAAAAAGAAAGCTTTGGGTTGGAAACGAAAACATTGACAGTTTATTAATACTTAATAGTCTTAGTCAATGATGAATAAATTGGAGACAGAGCAAAAGAAAGTTCAGTGAATGTACAATGTCTTTTTTTTTTTTCATTTATTTTTTCTTCAATATCATGAAAAATTAGGGGAGGGAGGTTGGAGATGATGGATTTGGACCAAAGATTTTGTGTTTTGCCGCAACATTATGGTAAAAACGAAATTAAAAGGGGTAACTCTGCTATATGTTATTAACATCTTCTGTGTTTCTTTGGAGAAACCATAGAGAAGCAGGCTTCAGAGTTACAAACTGGTCATTATCTCTTTATTTGATAACATGCTGCTCTCTAAAGTTCGATCATGGCTCCACGAGTGTGGAGATGGTGAAACAAGCAGTGGCCACAATAAGCTTCTCTCCATCCTCGTTTGGAGGACATTATTCTTTTTGTGTTGCCTTAGAACACCATTAACTGCTTTCAAGTAGTTGCTGGAGTCATGATCTCTTAAAATAGTACCTTCCGAGCCATAGGCTGTAAGATCGCTGAGAGTGTCCAATGGATGGGGACAATTAAGGAAGGCCTTAAGTGCTTGCACGGAGTATCCACAATGTGTCTTGTCCAAAACATAAAGAGCATTTCCTGGAGGCATTAGAGGGTGTGAAGGAGATGACTTCTCACTAGGTTGGAGAATGAATAATTTGCCAAGTGGAGTGTACAAAAGTTTCTGCATTAAAAAATATGAATGAGTTAGGCTAGCAAAGGAAAGCTCAAACTTTTTAGAAAGGATATGCTTTGCATGATTACAAGGGAAGTTTAGCTCTCCTACTTGCTACAACTTTGGATGATCATTATTTCGATAAGAACGCAAGCAAGTACTTACATTTTTAAGCAGACAGGGGTGAGATCGGAGAGAACCAGGCAAACGCTTGAGGAGAACAGCCACATGGCTTGGATATTTGCAGGAGAAGGCTCTAGGGACAATGTCTCGGTGCATCATCACACAATGAACATGGTTATCATCCAACCCCAATTCATCTAGTATCTTTTGCCCTCCGCAGAACACAAATGGTGAGCCAAAGGTGACAACTGGTCGAAGAGCAGAAGGCTTTACAACCTTCCTAGTTAACAGCATCAAGTTAACTAAAAGAGCAAGACTACCCCCAAGGGAATGACCAGTAAATTGAAGCTTTGCACGATCTCCATGCCTCTTCAGATGGTCCATAATTTCTGGCATGAATTGTTCGTATATGCCCTTCGCAGCTTCATAAATTCCTCTATGAACAAGCACATCTGTTCCCTACAAAAAATTAATAGTTGAAATTTACAATAACTCTCCAAATCCTGTTTTAATACAAATTACACTAGGTTAAGGATTTCTCATAGAGAATTCTTATACTTTTTACTTAAACAGTTAAGCTTACCTCAAATTTTGTGGGCTCAAAGAAAAGGTTTGCCTGCCATGACGCTAGAGATTCTGACCCCTGCAACTCAAGTTCAATTAGATCTAGGTGCAAATATAAACTAATAATCTAGAAGATGTCAAGATTCAATCATTTGGTCTTTTGTCATGTGACTTGGTCTTAGAACAAAATGCCTGACTTGAATTATAACAGCGTAGGATATGCATATGATGATTTGTGTATTAGCTGTGGTTTATATCAGATTAATTGTTGCTTGGTAAATGTAAATGCTGGCCTATCAACATAAAATGAAATGAATGACAAAGAATTGAACTACTACCTGAATTACAAATGAGCGGGTGTATGTGTTTAAGTCATCACAAACAAACCATTCACAAGGCGATGAGTGTAGTGACTGAAGGTCCTTTGCTGTCTCTTGTTTTTCCTTCTTTCCAGCTCTAACCACAGTGGTCATTGCCGATGCTGCCATGTAAGCAGCCACCTCTGAGTTATATACTCGGGGCAAATCCTCCCCCTCCATTTCTGGTTGGTCTTCACATCTACTTGAATCCATGCCACTATCCTCCTCATGTGACTCAGAGCCAGGGGACAAAAGGCCCTTTGCCTGTGACTGAACGTAGCATGCAGCTGAAGCAGCAATCTCATAAACAACAGATAAGCGGATTGGACGTTGCTGCTCTGAACCCTCAACTTTCTCTGACATAGATTTGGTAGTTTCAGGTGCAAGAACAGGTACACGAGTAGAGTCCTGATCCAATTTTGCTTTGATTTTAGCCACTTCTGCTTTCTTTTCTAGGGATGATGTAACAAACTTTAGGCCATAATATTTTGTTAATTCATTTCCCTGCATATAGATTACTAGAATTAAATTAATCTTTGTGTAAGAATTAAAAATCAGTTAATTTGGTTTGTTAATTTTTATAAATTTACTGATACAAAGGATGTGGATGGAATATAAAGCTTTAAAGTTTAACAACTAAGATTTAAGACTACTCCAGAACACTGGATGATTAGACATATGATAGAATTGCTAGAATCAAAGCATTAATAATGGAATTTACTCACAAAAATAAAAAATAGTTCTAAACAGCAAAAACTTGATGAATTTGGAGTAAAATGTAATGTGAAAAAGAAAAAGGGGAGATGCATACCTTAGTCTCTGGTATCACATAAGCTACGTTGCACAAGAAGGCCAGTTGGGAAAATAGCTTGGTGTCAGACCATGGAACCTTTACTAATAGTTTCGAGAAAGATTCGCGGTGATATTTCACATTTTCACCGTCCTCTTCTTCAGAGTTGTAGTTCACTTCACAGCCACCTTCGTCTCCATCAAAATCACCATCATCGTTTTCATTCTCATCATATATTCCAGCTCCTTCTACACCCTCTTCTAGTTGTCTATATTTCCATCGACTTTGAATCTCCAGCAACCTATTCACCCAATTTGCTCTCTTTATTTCCTTCTCTTCGTCACTGTTTTCCATGGAGTTCTCATCAATATTCTCATCCTTGTCCACCATAATCAAATCCTTACTTGTCTCCGGATCAAACAAAAATGATCTAATAGGGTCTGGAATTATGGAACTGTATATTTGGAACGGGAGCGTCGGGAAAATCCCAACAGAACGGCTAGTCTTCAGGGTTGGTTTTGTTGATGCAGCGCGTATCCGATTGATAGAGTAACAAAGGTGGTTATCCGAATAAGACCTTTGAATGCCAACTTTCTTATGAAGATTTATGCCAGAGAGTGATCCGCGAAGGCCAATGATCTCTTCTTTGCATCCATCTTTCACCGTTGAGGCAGCCTGAGAGGTAGGGACAGCCATCGATGTGCATGCCATAGCTTTGTATCAGATTGTTGATGCACAATTAATGCCGGCAAACTGTCCCTTTATGCTGGCCTGTAAAAATAACCAACCTTTGTTAGAGAAGAAACCTATGCCATGAGAAGAGTGTGAGCTCCAAGACCAGGGTGTTGGTAGAATTCTTGGAAAAAAATTAGAATACGGTGACAAACATTATAAAGACAATGTTGTGAAGGTCTATGAGAGCTATTGGAAACAACAAGGTTCTAAGATGCATCAGTATTGTTTTGTAGTAGCCAAATTACCAAACTAAATTGGTATTGGAGTTATAAGAGAAAGTGTGAGGAAGGTGTTTTTGGATCTTTAGCTACATGCCTAGTTGTATACGAGATTTTGTTCCCATTATCTATAGACCACAGATGAAAGACGATGATTTTAGCATCTAGTTCGTTACACGGCAAATGTTGGTCGATTAAACACATTTTGAACATTTAACTTTGACCCAACAAACTGAATCTGGTTTTTGTGGGAACCACCTGCCGCAAGACATTAGCATCGATGAAATCTATGTTGCACTGATTAGTTTGAATATCCAAGATTCCAAGTACTCTATTAGCCATTAGGACAAAAAACATCATTTACAATCTACCCTTTATCATTTTTTCCCTTTCATTTTTGATAATCTCATTCTCGCCCTCATGCATGGTTTTTTTTTTAAACATTTCAAGTCAAATTCAAATAGCTGATGCCAATTCCGTAGCTTTGCTCCCTTTAAGCAGCAATATTCAGGTAATCAGAGTTAAGAAAAAGCAGGGCTGAAGTATATGTATCGTAACTTATAAATTAAGAAAAACAAAAAAAATGAGACCACACATGGCTCTATTTCATGGTAGAAACCAATCAGCCAAATGAATGAAGAACGATGATTTTGAGTGGTGCATGGAATGTGCGAACATTTCAGGGTACAAAAAGGTGTTGTGTAACAAAAATAAAAAATAGTAAATTATGTTGAATATAAAGAGGGTAATTTCTTAAAATACATAAGAGACATGAAAGGTAAATGAGTCCAAGAGGAGAGGACAAATAAAATTTGTCATGTACCTGGAAAGAAGAGACGCTAATGTTGTTGATCTCGATGGCAAATTTCAGTCTTTAGCGTTTCAAATTAAGCATCCTCCATTGTTGAAATTCCCCGTCCTCGCTCCTCAATCTTTTGCCACATGCAGTTTCGAGAAAAAAGCCGGTTGTCAAGCCCAGCACGCTAATAAAATACTGCCATGTCCAAGAACTAAGACTAGATTATATTTGCAATCTTCTTTATTTAATGGAATATATTAATATTCCCCAAAACATTGAAGAATCCGAAGCACCTAAAAGTATCGTGTATTGCAGCGTTACAGTACCGTTTTAATCCTATATATATCGTTAAATATTCAATTTAAAATCATTTAATTATAAATGAAAGAATTTAATTTAAATATATGATTATAAAAAATTAAATATTCATTAAATGTAAGATAATACTTTATTAACAGATCCTATCACATATACTGAAAATAAAAGAAGCCTACTATTTAACAAATTAAAAAAAAAAATCTTGATACTCATACTTAAAATCAATTAACAATAAATAAAAAGTTCAATTTAAATATAAAATTATAAATTTTGAGAAAAAACCACTAAATATATATTACTTGTACAAACATATTGAATTGTTTAAGCCCTTTCCAAAAAAAAAAAAAAAAAAAAGTGATACTAATATTATTGAGTATCGACACACACACTAAAATATAGCTATACGTGGATTAAAAAAATTATTGCAAATACAAAGATTTAAAATCAAAATCTCCTAAATGTCACCTTCAAATGTGTCTGCATGAATCAGTCTAGCTATATTGCATATATAAAAAAAATCTAAAAGGTGATTAGAGTTAAGAGTAACCAATTTTTTGTTCTTGCCTACTATAATTATATTATACGGTTTGGTTAATGCTTTGGAATGGTTCAAAATCAAGCGATCTTTCCAGGACAGTATAGGCTCCTGAGTACAATCAATGGCCGAGTATGTTCTTATAATGAAAGTAGTTAATATTAGATATGATAATTTAAAACGCGATATAAATACAATACGAAAATAAAATATAAAAGTGATATGATTTAAAATTATAGTAATAATTATATATAAATTTAATAAAATAAAAAAGTAGATTTTATATTTTAGTATCAACATAAATTATTATATGAAATTTTTTTATAAAACATTATATGAATATAAAAATTTTAATATTTTGCAATCTATAAATATACAAATTATTAAATCTAACTATCATAAAAGATCTACCTTAATTAAATAAATAAAAGAGCATTAAAGACAAGTTTGATTCTGACGAATGAAAGCCTCCTTTTTGTTTTTCCTTTGGAAGTTTGAAAACCCCTGCTAAACTCACCCTTTGGAGTAATCGCAAATGGAGAGCCCACCCTCGTTGAAATCGATAGTTCATAGTTCAAAGTGTCAAGAAAATTCTAAATTGTAAATTTATCCTAAAATACCTATGCTTCTAGTATTATCTTGATTATTGTGGATATTAACAACACCCCCACCCTAAAAAAGGCTTTGTCGTGGTTGGGCTTAGGCCCCAAGTAATAAAGCCATTTGCATTGCATGTGCACGAGGTAGGTGGGAGTGGTAACCAACAATGTTGAATTAACCAACATGATTCACACCTTTAATTTCTCTGAAAATAAAATTCCATTTTGACTTAGTGCACGTGTGTTCCTCGTGCCTGTTTTGTTGTGCCTTTGCTTAAATTATCAGGTTTGATTGTTCCAAATTAATTAGCATTAATACAAGCACTTTGATCATCAATTTCATTAATTAATAATTAAGACAACAAGAGCAGTGGACATAATGTAATAATCTTTTTTTTTTAAATATCACTTAATAAAACAACTCTTGTATCAATATTAAAGCAAATTAATGTTCCATATGAAATTTAATTTTAAGGATATGATAATAGATTATTGAGTGTTGACATTTCTAGACATTGAATTTTGAAATTAAAATTCAAAACGTTAGCGGTTATAATTTTTTTTTTTGAATGAATATTTTTAAAAAATTTAATCTATTGAAATTTGATAAAACCAAAAAATTTTAGAAAAATTAATGATAAAATAGATATATAAATATGTAATGTGAGTATCATTATATTTAAAAATATATAGATATTATTAATAATATGAAAAAAATAAAAATGTATATATTAAAATTAAATAAAATAGTGTTTTTATTTTTGAGTTTTATAGTTTATAATAGACTATGTGCATTAAAGAGTGGATTGTGCAGAAACTTGGATGAATTTTGAAAAACTATCTTGTTATATGAAATTTCAAGAGAAAATTTGAGGTTTTCTTCAAATTCTTCATAAATTTTGACATTTATTTTTAATTTTTAACTAAATAAATAAAGTCATTTTTAAATGTTAAAAAATCTTAATTAAAATAAAACCTCTCCTCCAAATACACCCTAATGCTATTTATTTATATGTTTTGCTTATCATCATTCAAACCAAATCTATCAAGGCTATTTTAATTATTAGTTAAAATCACGTTAATCATTTTTTACCAAGCAGCTTAGCTAGCATTCAAACTAAACGAACAAAATCGGGCTTAATGTCGTGCACTATTTTTTCAGGGGAAGACAATGAATCCATCTCAAAGTATATATCTTTGTCACGAATTAACAATGTCTTTTGAAAAGAAAAATAATAAAAGCGGAGAAGGAGAAAGAAAAAATTCAAACTCATGATATATATATATATATATATATATATATATCTGTACCTTTGTTCACCATCGATGCATGCCAGTTATCCTGAGGGAGGAGACAACAATGTTAGGGAGAAATCGTCCGATGCTCGCCGCATCGGAACTGAAAGACGATAATGTAAGAGAAAGCGGAAGCTTGAAAGGTTGTTAAAATGGATTCCAAAATGGATGTCCAGATGTGTTTGTAGCTGAATTTGGACAAGAAAGTAGCTAGAATCCGAAAAATGGGAACATTTTGTAGCGAATTTTTGTTCTGAAAGATTGGTGTATGCTTTTGAAACAGAAGCTATTTCTTTTTTGAGACTGAGATCTGATTTGCTGCCACTTGAGTGTAATATATATAAGAAGCGATCAAAGAATGAAAGAGGAAAAAGATTCCCGGTCGGGGGAAATTTTTCACGTGGACAATGAGAGTTGCATTCAAAACATAGTTTTTTGTGGACATAAACGCCCCTCATGTTCTCTAAAATTACTTTGTTGAGTCCATCTTTTTCTCTTTTTTTTGGGACTCCCTTTTTTTTAATCGGCTGTTGAAATTTTTAAATTTCACAAGTAAATTTAAAATTTGATAAATATATTTTGTTATATTAATTTTTAATATTTAAAAATATTTGTATTTTTGGATGTATTAATTTTTTAATATACCTACCACAATATGTATTCTTTTGTTAACGACGTCAATAGAGTTTTTCTATAATAATAATTGAAATAAGGATTGCAAATAGAATCTGGGACTGGCGATGATCTCCGCCAAACTCTTTGATTTCCTATCTGATTTTCAACTCTTGCAACTCATGTGCAACATGGCCAAATAAACAAGTATGAAACTCTAAAACCAACTCATCAATAATAGCCAACAGATTACCTCCCTTCCACAAAGAGACCTGATCCCTTCTATTGAATTCCTTGATAGCCACAAGAGAATCACTTTCTAATATAATTCGATCGAAACCTTGTTCATGAGCAACCTCTAGGCTCCATAATATAGCTCTCACTTCCGCAGAGAGGGCTTTTTCTACCAAATTCACTCGAGAAGCAGCTGATGGAATCACAAACACAGCTCTCAACAATTCATCCACCAAGCTCCTTGCCATCTCGCCAATCCGTCTCAGCATATTACATGTACATTGTGTATGTTAGAAAATGTAAGAAAACAGAAATAATAAGAAAGAAGAAATATGATTTTGAGGTGTAAAGAATATTATTTTAAAAATAATTATGTTTATAGAATATAATAAAATTTTAAAAAATTTTAAATTAGAAGTAATAAAAATTGATTAGAAAAATCTATTTATAATAAATACACAGTTATTAATAAAATCAATTTAAAAAATCATTACATTCTGTATATTTATGTTTATTATTTAAATAAATTTTATTTAAATAGTTATACTTCCAGATATATTTTTTTGGACTATCATATTTTTTTCTATTCAAATATGTTTCTTCAGAATTAGTAATATTTTAAAATAAAAAAATAAAAATTTAAAAATTAAATCTATTTCCTAAACAAATCAAATTTAAAAAGTCATGATATTATGTATATTTATATTTTCTTATTTAAATAATTATGTTTACTTGTTTAGGTATATTTATTTTGACTATCATATTTTTTTCTGTTCAAATATATTTCTTTAAAATTAGTAATATTTCAAAATAAAAAATAAAAAATTTAAAAATTAAATCTATTTATTAAAAAGCTCAAATGCCCAAGTATCAAAATATCTATATTTAACTTTTAAAATTGTTTGACTCATTAAAAAAATCTTAATAAATTCAAATGATTTAACTCACTCCAACACTTAATTTAATTACTTAAATAATATAAGTAATTTTTTTAAAATTATATATAAATAATTTTTTTATTTAACGTGAGATATATCACATTCTAAACTATCAAGTATAGACAATTGATCCTGTTAGTCCAAAGTAACCACAAAACAATCAAACCAGATTCAAGAAGATTATAGCTAGAAGTTTGCTCCGGAACAAAAGTCTAAACCTCGACACAAGAACTATCAGGTAACAGCCCAGATCCCATCCATGGATACACCATATTTGATATTCGAAACAGATGCCATGCAAAACTCAGAGTCAATCAAAGACATGGCTCCGTGATACCTCGTACCTGCCACAAAGCTGACAACAAACCTCCACCGGCAAACCCTTCCTAATCAATGCCTCAGAAGTTGGTAATATTCCATGCAAGAGCTAGCAGATTTTATGCATAAAGATGAGATCGTGTGGAGGCAGCTGAGATCGAAGGAACTTTGGCTTAGGCCCCAAATTTATAGAAGGTACTTTGGCTTGTGGCATCATGAGAAATCGGATATTGAAGGTAATCTTTCTACAATATTTTGAGAATATCGTTTCTACCTCGATTCCATGGGAGGTGAAGAAGATTATGAGGCTATGGGAAGAAGAGTCACGGATCATATGGGGGCAAAGCTGGATGCGGTAGTTGTTGAAGCAGAAACTATAGAGACTCTGAACCATATGCATCCGGAAAAAGCACCTGATCGTGATGGAACGTCGGCATTGACCTTTTTTTTTTTTCGGCAAGAGAAAATTATTTATAATTGATTGAAAATTTTAATATTTTAACCCAGAATAAAGTTCAATCTTTTATATAAAAAATTTTGTATTGAATCTTTACGGGAAGTGAGAGAATCCTTTGGGCCGCGTGAACCAACTTGAACACTGTAGTAATAGGGGCATTAGCAATATTTGGGTAGTGGGTGGAGGGTAGAAACGTCAATCAGTGTGAGCCGCACCGCCAAATGAGCGGTTGCATGAAGCACACGCGACATACTGTTAGTAGTCTCCACATTTCCTCCCTCGCATTGGCTGCCTTTCTGCTCTTTACCTCGTGTTTCCCGCCCATTTTCCACCCGTTACGGCGGAAACACGAAAATTGAATGCCTTCAACAGAACCATCCTTCTCGGCAGCCTTAGAAATCGCCACGCACCCGTTCCGACAAAGATTCTCCCGTGCCCTTCCACCGCAAATGAATAGTCGCCACGCGTCATTTGAAGAAGGGCAGTCAACGTTTATACCTCGTGTTTTTTTTTTTTTTTTGGCAGAAGCTTATATAAATACACACCTTAATATCTCAGCATATCAATGATTATTATAATATAATTTAAAATTACGTAAATTTTATTAAAATTTTATATGTAGTAATGGATGTTTATATTTTGTATTATAAAATTTTAAAATTATAATAGAAAGAAAAACGGTTTTGATTTTCGTGGACAGATATGTAGACGTAAATTTGGACATTATTATTTTTATTATTATTATTATTATTATTTGATCCTAAACGTGGCCCATCACTTAGACATGTGTGACAGTGGTCCGACAACTAAAGCGATTAAAAAGAGATGGACTGAAGATTTTGAGCTGGGCCTGGTGTTAACCTACAAGTTCTCTCGTTCTGGACTGAAGTTTTTGGACATTCCATCCAATCTTTGTTAGTGACAATTGCTCATGGGTTTATTGCTTTAACGTCAATCTTAAATGCAAATTGAGGACCTTTTGAATTAGTCAAAAGTGACTAAGAAACACACAGAAAAGGGTGAAAACAAGACAGATATTTGTTTAGGAAATTGGCAAAAAGACAAGAGCATTCTTATAGAATCTTAATCATTAAATATGTTTTGGACGGTGCATCATAGAATAACTTAATTAAAATTTGACTTGGACTTAAACCTTTACACAGCCAGTCAAAAGAAGAAAAAATTCCAAATGATCAAAGTCTAGATCTTATCCACTCACACGTAATTCTCAATATTAGCTGAGAATCGTGAAATTGTGCATTGATAGCTAAGTTTCCTCTAAAGAGTTAAAAGTTATCTTGGAAGGTTTCGGTGTTTTCCACGTTATGAGTTCTGATATAAAGGCTGACCGGAAGTTCCTAAGAAAACCCAATTGCAAACCAACACGTTAGGGCTTTTGCATCTATTGATGTTACTTTTGTTTTGTTGGATGTTAAATGGGATGAAGAGAATTTCGATTAATATTTGTGCCGAGGTGGGCCAAAAATTCGTTGCAGAGGATAATGCTTCAATGTGGTTTTGGCGCAAAAAAAAAAAAAAAAAAAACCTTTTTGCCGATAATGGAATGGCTTTATCAGTCCTAAGGCCCAAATTATAACTCAATTTTCTTGGAATTCATATGGGTTTCTCTTTTTTTGTCTTGTCTCTAGCCAAAAAAGTAGACTTTTAAGAAGCTGAGAATTTGTATGCCATTAATGAAAGCTTTGTCTGCAGACGCACTAATATGTGGTGGAGATAGGATTCTTCTTCCGTATGTTTCGTGAAAATTGGCTCAACAGAGTAATGAATTTTGCGTTCAAGTATTCAACGCTAACAAATTTGGACGCTATTTCTTTTTCTAGGATATTTATTTGGAACGTTATCTGATCCTTGTTTGAATGGTGAAGAGTTTTGGATAATAACGCTAAACATCCAATCAAAATGAAGAGTGATTAGTAGAACTAAGCGAGTATCGAAAGGTTCCAAAATTTGCAAATCTTTATACGCATCTTGACATTGTTTTCGATTATTGCAAGTGTTTGAGTTATCCTTACTAACTATATCATTTAACAAAACCGCAGCTTTTTTTTTGCCACAAACAGAACAAAACAGATCGCTTAAAAACAGAGGTTTCCTCCAATCTTATAATCTTATAGAGTATTTCTAATTTACTTTGCAATTTTCTTAATATAGTAACGTTAAAAAAGAAAAAAAAATTCATGTTCTTCTAACAATTATTAACACGAAACGCCATAGTTCCATTTGTGAATATTCTTAATTCTTTTTTCCGGTCCAATTGCGTTGGCAAAGGAAAAAGGGGAAAAAAAATTTAGTGTATGCATTTTAATGCAGTAGTGATTGATGAGTCCTCCCACTGCAGACCAATACCTGGACCACTTGAGCAGTTGAGCACCACGTGCGCAGTCTGACCAGGGCTTCATCATTTGTTCCTTTTTCTCGGGAAGCCTGCAAAATTTTGTCCTCTGTTTTTTAATTGATCTATATATAAATAAACTACAGTAACTCGAGTTGGAGTATAGGACAAATGTTTTTTTTTTTTCTTTAATGAATTAATTCAATGGAACAATGTAAATGGAAATTTATAAAAATAGGGCAAATATACATGAAAGAAATTTGGTTTTCTGTGACAGAAGATATGAAAGAGAATTCTGGATTATATTCTCACGCTAGAATATAGACTTTGCACTTGCATATTGTTTTCAGATCACAAAGCATATATTATCACTAAAATAAGAAAGCAAATAGTATGAATAAATTTTTAATCTTGTTGGTGATAGATTTTAAAATTAAAAATAACTTCCAATAATTGTTGAATTTGTTAATAAAATATTAAAATTTTAATTTTGATAAAATTTAATGAAAACAGTCAAAAATACCTGTTTAGTGAATATAACATGGAGGTCCAAGCAGTTGACCACTTTCCCTTGGTGGTTTTACAGGCCTGCCTTAAAATATTTTGCAAGTGGGGAGCAATTAGCTTCAACCCAACGTTGTGGAAGAATTTACTTGCAGCGGACAAACATTGAACATGGCACAAAAGGATGGATTCCTGAAATTTCTACACAGTGGCAGTGTAAAGTGTCTTGTTCAATGACATCTTGCTTTATCTAAACTTTTAGACTTCCCCCACAGTTCCCAGCCACCCACTACTTGACCTAACCCCATCTCTGCATGCCGCAACCCACCAAGTGTCTTTCCAAAACAATGATAACAGCATCTTCTTTTTTAGTACTATTTTTTGTTGGTAAGATAAAATTGGACTAAATTTCTATTAATATAAAACAATTGTTTTAACTTTCATGTGAAGTTCAATGCAAAATTAAAAGGAAAAAAAAAACCTGAAATGACGTCAAATTTGGATTAGATTCAATTTTGTCTTTTATTCAAATTGCGCCTAGCAGAAGATAAGAGTTTTCGATTTTGGAGGATTGGGGTCGATGGGTGATGGAAATTTAATTGGTTTTATTTTTTACAAAAAAAAAAAGTGAAGACAAAACCTTCAGTGCTCTCGTGGTCTTTTTAAATTCCACAAAAACCTTCAATTGGCTATGGATGGCCCGTCAGTTTGGTGGTGTGAGTCCTTCACCGTCCATCCAATAAATTTTTTCAACAAAATTACAAATCATTAAAGGCCTTAATTATTTGTGCAGACATTAATTTGAAATTAACTTAACCATTGCAAATTTAAATATATATTTATCCGATCAAAATTTTGAAAAAAAATTTCTACTGTAAATTATATTTCACCATTTCTAAGTTTATTTTTATTTGAAATCTTTGGATATCTTATAATCATTTTAAATTTTAATTAATTCAAGATCAAATTAAATCAAATTTCATAAAAAAATAATTCTTTTAAATTTATTTTTTTATTTATAAAATTTAAAATTAAAATCTTACTTAAAAAAAAAATCAAACTTTTTACTATTTTAACCAACGTACGTAAAGTCCAAGGGAAAACCATGGTAATCACTAGTAACGGTAGAGAACTTTTGGTTATTAGTATTTTATATTTTAATGGAAAAAAATTATATCAGTAAAAACCGTCTCCCAAATGCAAAAGGACAAGGGCAATTTTGGGCCCAGTGGAGAAGGCTCAAAGAAGCTTGTGGGCTTTTTTTAAATTAACAGAATATATATATATATATATGTAATGAAATTGTCGGTGAATTATTTAATCTTTGGTAGACTGCCAAGCCAAGTTAAGAGCAAAGCAAAGAAGATAGTGAAAAAAGTAAGAGCTGATCTCTGTGGAACTCTCCTGTAATTTTCAGCCTCTCATTAACAGAGACGAAAGAGAAGTAATTGTTTTTGTTCATTGATCAGATATATCAATCAGGAAAAGGAAAAGAAGAAATGAACGGTGATGGTGAGAACGGTATGATGGAGGCCCAGTACATATGGAGACACCATAGGCACGAAATCAGAGACGATCAGTGCACATCTGCTCTTGTGAAACACGTCAAAGCTCCTGTTCATCTCGTAAGTTTTCTCTGTTTCTGATTCGCTGTCTTTCCAGTATTTCCCCCTTTTTTTTCTACTGCTTGGTGCCTCTTCGATTTGTTCAATTTTGTCACCACAGCTTAAGCTGTTGACCTTTTTTTTTTTTAAAATAAATCTCCCCTGGATCTGCCAAAATCCGCATCTCTTCCGAAGTTTAATTTTCGAACAAAAAGTCAAATTTATGTTCATGTCAGAAAATTTTAACAGGACATAAAATCTACGAATATCTATTGTTTTTCCTATTTTTAACAGATAAAAAACCAAACTGTTTTCACTAAGGTCTGAAGTAAATGTCGGAATATTTGATTTGATTCTTTTGTTACATTCGTTTTCTTTCCTCAGTTAGTTGGAGCTAGTTGCTATAAGTAGTACTGTTGTTAGAAGCTGTTATTTCCTTGTTCTTTTGTTAGTAATAGAGCAGTACTAATAATAATGGTTACCTACGATAAATTATGGATAGGTATGGTCGTTGGTAAGGCGGTTTGATCAGCCGCAGAAGTACAAGCCGTTTGTAAGCAGGTGCATCATGAACGGGGACCTCGGAATTGGTAGTGTTAGAGAAGTCAACGTCAAATCTGGTCTTCCCGCCACGACCAGCACCGAACGATTGGAACTTCTTGATGATGAAGAACACATTCTCGGCATCAAAATCGTCGGCGGCGATCACCGTCTCAGGGTACAAATAACAGTTATTCATTCGCGCTTACTTTTTTTTTTCTTCTAGTCTTTTTACTTCAAGAATAAAAAATGAATTTGTTAGTGTTATTATAGTACTAATTTGTTAACAGATAATTTTTTGCAGAATTATTCTTCAATCATAACGGTCCATCCTGAGGTTATCGAAGGAAGGCCAGGGACGATGGTGATCGAATCATTCGCTGTCGATGTGCCAGAAGGGAACACCAAGGATGAAACCTGTTACTTTGTGGAGGCTTTAATCCGATGTAATCTGAAGTCGTTAGCCGATGTTTCAGAGAGGATGGCTGTGCTAGACCAGATAGAGCCTATCAACCGACGCTAACTGAGAAGTTGGAATTTTGATGACTAAAATGACTAGCTTTTCTGGAGAGAGATGTGGTAGGAGCTGTGGATTTTATGATCTGAACAAGTACTTTTGGATACAATGCTCGATATGTGATTTTTACTTTGTTATGAGAGACCATTAACACTTTTTTTCTGCTATGGAAGCTTTCTTCATTTAATGCCTCAGTAGTTATAATCTGTTAGGTTTCAAATTCATTACAAGCCTCCAAATTTTCTGTTCTATAATTGGGTTTTGGGATTCCAACAAGTCGAAGAGGATGGTGGTTGTTTTTTCACCGTCGTTTCTGGTTCTCTTTTTTTTTTTTTTTTTTCGATAGTGGTAATTTAAGTTGCTATGGTGCTACTTGTAAATATTTATGTAAGATAAGGAAAGATGGAGCCCTTTATTTCCATGTTGTAGCTGCAGCTGTAGATGCAGGATGGATTTGGAGAACCATTTTAAGTTACAGTTTCTTCCCTTTTCTTTGTTTTGGACATGTTGGTGTCTTTTCATTAATTTTTTGTTGCGATTTTTTTCCTTTTTCTTTTTTTGGCTTTTCTGCTTATTTGGGTAACTATTATCGTATGCTTTTATCCCAACTTTGAAGCAATTTATTAAGTATATATTTGTTCAGTTCTCAGCCTCTAATTTTGAGTGCAGAAAGTGCGGGTACGCTATGGAAAAGCACCGAGGGGTCGCTTTTTTAGTCATAAAGGTGCTCAGCACGCTAGATAACTCAGATCTTGTAACGATTTTTATCAAGCTAGACCTTCCACGCTAAGAAGTTTTCTTTGGAGCAACCAATCACTCATCTTTGCGACTTGTAGTGAACTTCCAGCATGTCTCCATCTCAGAGAACTCGTGATTAGCTTTTTTCCTTTCTTGTTGAACTGCTGCGAGCATTTGGTGGAATGTTGACTACTTCTCCGCCAGTTGACTGGTGGATGTATGTCAAATTCTCTTTGTTGGCAGGGGATTGTGAGAGGAATGGAAGTCGCAAAAATGAGTGTTGAGCATGCAATATCAAGTTAGTAATATAATATTTCATTTCTTATCCTGAAAGCCTGTAGGGGTGTAATGCTTCTAGTTTTGACGATGTAACAATGAAATGGTTCCACGAAAATGCTTTTAAACTTCTACGGATGAAAGTAACAAAGTGGGCTTATAAAATTTACATTTCGTCAATTTTGGATTGTACTCTTTCCAAGCCTGCTTTGCGGCTCTTTGCTGAAGACTTGCAGTATTGGATTGTGCAATGATTCTCATGCCATTGTGAAAGAAAAAGAATGGCCTTACCGTCTGGTTGATATATTTCCTCTGCTTGAGCAGGACGAAGTGCAGGTTTCCAACTACCTTTTACCCTTCCGCAGGATTTTGCATGATGGTTTCAAGTAGATACTTAAAGCCCTTGAGGCCCCTTGTTACCAACAATCATTGCAGGAACACTTTCCTTCACTGAAATGGTGAAACCGGCTACCATCCCTTAGGAAAATCTCTCGGTTTTTTACCAAAGATATGTATTTAGCTGCAGTGTGGCAGTCGGGGCAAATCCTCGTGTTCTTGATTACCCTGATAGGCATATCGCTTCTTGACTTGATTAGTCCATAAGTTATGGCCAATTTCTCTGTGTGACTGAACAGTACTTTCTCCTTTTCATTGTCATCAATATTCTGATAAACGCACTTGACATCAGGCTTATACCCAAGCTTCTTCATTTCATAAACGAGATGGTACAACTCAAAATATATCTCCCCTTCATCTGGATGGTTCTCTTCCGCAAAGAATTGATGAATTATCTGACCAATTTGAATCCAGCTCCAGACTTGCCCATTTTTCACCCCTATATCGCTCATCAAATCTTTGATGCGTTCAACATCACCCCATCTGTCAGACATGGCATATAGATTCATCATCAAAATATAATTTGCAGAATTATATGGTTCTAACTCGAAAAGTTTCTTCACTGCAATCTCTGCCAATTGTATGTTCTTATGGATACGGCAAGATCCAAGAAGAGCACCCCATATCGTAGCGTCTGGTTTCAAAGGCATACTTTGAATGAAATCCCAAGCTTCATCAAGATATCCAGCTCTTCCAAGAAGATCTACCATGCAAGAATAATGTTCAATTGTTGGTGTTATACCATAATCAGAGCTCATACTATCAAAATATTTCCATCCTTCGTCAACCAAACCTGAATTCTTACAACCAGAGAGTACAGCTGTGAATGTTATGGCATCTGGCAGGATGCCTGCTGCAAGCATCTCCCTAAAGACCGAGACCACCTCTTTACCAAGGCCATAGATCGCAAACCCCATTATCAGGCAATTCCAAGAGGCCAGTGTTCTATTCTCAATCCTCTTGAAAACCTCATAAGCTGCTTTCAAATTGCCAGATTTACCATACATGTCAATAAGTGCAGTAGCTACAAACACATCTTCAATAAAACCATTTTTTATGCTGAAGCAGTGTATCTCTTTACCTTTCTGTAACAGAGATAGACCTCCACAATTTCGAAGTAAGCTGGTTATGGTGACAGAGTTGGGCCTGATACCTTCTTGTTGCATTTGGCTGAAAAATTCGAGGGATTCCCTATAGTTTCCATTCTGCGAACTGCCTGATATCAGAGCAGTCCAAGATACTACATCGGGACTCATTCCTGAATTCTTTATTTGATGAATCAGGGCCAAAGCTTCATTATTGCGCCCCCGCATGGAATACCCTGATATCAAACCATTCCATGTTACTAGGTCTGGCGTTAGTCCTTCCTCTTCCATCCCAATCATTAACTTTCTAGCATCCTCCAAAAGGCCCTTGAAGGAATATCCTGATATTAACGTATTCCAAGCAACAATATTTTTGTTATTCATGTTACTAAAAACAGCGTGAGCTTTTCCTAGACAATCATGCTTCACGTACATGTCTAACAATGAAGTTACTACATATACATCATAGTCCAACCCATTTCTTATAACATAACCATGAATTTCTCTCCCAAAATTCAATATCCCCAATTTAATGACAGCTTGAAGAAGACTGGTGACAGAACTCGAATTTGGCTTGAAACCGACTACTTGCATTCCCCGCAAAATTGACAGGACTGCTTTATGAGAGCCATGAAGGGCATGGCCAGACAAAAGGCAGTTCCAGGTTATTATATCAGGCTTGATATCAGATGATTCCATTTCCTTTAATAAATCCCAAGCATCATTCAAATAGCCACGGGCAGCATAACTTGAAATTATAGAATTCCATGAAGACAGGTTATGATCTTCCATCAAATCAAAAACTCTCCTAGCAGATTCCAGTCTATTGTTTCTCGAGTACATAGTAATCAAGGAATTGCATACTGACAAATCTGATTCCAATGTAAATTTTAATACATACCCATGAATTTGCTTTCCTTCCTCGAGAGCTCCCACTTTGGTACAGCCTTGCAGCATCTTTGCAATGGTACTACCATTGGCTTTGGCAAAAGAAAACTTCATTTCTCTAAACAACTCCATAGCCTTCTCCCATCTCTCATTCCTCAAGTTTACCATGATAGCCTCATTCCAAACAAGCTCTTCCTTTCTCACCATTTCATTAAAAACTTGATTAGCACTCTCCAAATCCCAACAAGTTCCATATAAATTCATCAATGCACACTTCAAATACACATCCAAATCAAAACCCTTCTTGATCAAATCAGCATGAATCTGCAAACCTAGCCATGAGTCCTTCAAACTAGCACACATTTTCAGAACCAAAGTAAGAACTTTACTATCAAAAACCACGTCTTTACCACACAATTCACCAAAAACCTCAAGAACTTCACGTGTCTGTCCCCCATAACTGTGAAGGTCGTTCAAGAAAGAATTCCAGAAAACATAGTTCCGAGCAAAACCCATGAAGAAAACCATCGTAGCTGCTCTAAAATCGCCAAATTTCAAATAACTCCAGATCAAACTCTTAGCCGTAGAATCTGAACTCCAATTATTACACATTTTAAGCAACCTGGCATGCAAGACTTTAACTGACTCCAGACTATTGACCTCTTTTAACTCATCGAAGAAGTGAAAAGAACCCGAAGAAGAGAGACTTGACCAAGAGTATGGAAGTGAAAAAGTAGAGAGTTGGGTTTCAGGAGAGGTGACAGTGGGACCAAGAGCTAAAGAAGTAGGTGAAACTTTCTTGGGTTTTGTTGGGTTTTGAAGGAGAGAGGGATTAAAGTAGTGTTGAAATGGAGCTACTTTGTCCATGGAGATTTTTTCGAGGTTGGGATATGAAGTGAAGAAACTGAAGGTGGTTGGGTTTCGAAGAAATGGCGGTTAGGGGCATGTTATTGGTTTTTGTTTTCATTTCGTGATTCGCTGCCAGCTGAGAAAAAAATTATTGGCTTTTGGATTTCCTGGATAAGGTTTTTACCTACCCTGCTATCTTCGATTTCTTTGGCTTATTATGATTTATTCCCATAAGCTTTTTTCTTTTCGGCGTTTTCACCCCTTTGCAGTACACCACTTAAATATATATTTTAGGATTTTAAAATTTTAAAATTAATTTTTTATCAAATATAATTATATAATTCATTGATAATATTTAAAATATATACACTAATTTTTTTTTAATTGCAAATGAAGGCAAGTATCTTTACAAGTAAGAAGAGAATGACGGGATAAAATTCATAACTACATAATTTTTAATTGACCTCTTAATCATCAGGTTAAAAGGAAAAAATTTATATACTAATAATTTATTAAATATAAACTTTCAATCGATCTCTTAACCAACAGGCTAAGAAGAGAAAGTCTATACACTAATATTTATTAAATGTAAATTCAAATAATATATGCATTTTGCATATGTTTTCAAACACTCTTTCAGCATAGTTAAAATATTTATTAAAAATGATTATAGATGTGCACTTTACATTTACATTTGTGAATGAATGTAATGCAGATAAAATTATCTAAATAATATAGATAAAAAAAAATTGATCGATAGAATGGCGAAGATGTTGTCATTCATTTGTTTTTCCATGTAAAAAAATTAGAAAGGACAAGAACAACACGATGAGGAAAATTACTAGTGAAGAATCTACAAGCCAAAGGAAACATGGACTACAACAGCTTAATATCTACAAAGCAGAAAAATAGGCATAGCTTGATCTCGATTCATGTGTTTCTCGCATCCTGCAGCACTTCTTCACTGGATTTAAGCAGCTACCGTAAAAAAGTGAAACTTGAAAATAAATTAATTTAAAATGATTTACTCATTTTTTTTAAGAGATAAATTCTCATAAGATTGAGATTTTGTAATACTTAAAAATTCATCTTTTCTATTCTATTATAATTAAGCTTTGATTTCTTTTATAAAAAAATTAATATATTTAAAAATACCCAAAAAAAAAAAAGTTCATATGATTTGAAACATATAAATTATTATCAATGTAAGAAGAAAAGTACCAAGACAATTGTCAAATCTATATATATAATTATTGAAATAGTTTTGGAAGGAGTTGGAATTAAATAAATTTGTTGACATCAGATATTATTTTGTATTAATTTCTTGTAAGTTACTCTTTTGGAGAAACACATATAATTTGTTCATATTAATAATAACGTTTTTGTACTTTTTTATAAGTATTTGCTCTAAAATAATTTTTACCAAGAGTTTACCAAGCGAAACGAGGGCAGCAACTTAATTAATATATTATGATTGAGCAATAATCCTGTTCATAGCCACATAATTTATATTGCAGTTTGTTGTCTTCCTAAAGCCAACATGCTTTTGTTGGAGGATATTTTTCTTTTTTACTGCTGGAGGCTTCCAAAATAAAATCTGGAAAACAGCAAGAAAGCAGGGAAAGAGTAGACAAATGCCTCTAGGAGCGAAGTTGGAAAAAATCGTGACAACTTTTCTGCACTGTCCTTCATAAGGCTTCAAATTTTAATTTAATTTAATTTAAAGCCTTTGAAGGAGAGTGAAAAAGGGTTGCCAACGTCAATCCATACGCCTCCTATCCAAAACCAAGAGGCAGTTCGTTCAGATCCCTCTCGAGGGCCGCCAGCCGGTATGCTTACGGAAGCCGTGAAGCGTGAAAGGCTACCAAAGGTGGCAAAGTTGGAAGCCCTCGAGGGGGAGTGAACAAACTGTGCCTTGAAGATTCATGTGAGCAAAGAGCCTTGGGTTAGTTCTGTATCAAGTGTTTCGATTTTAAATTCAGAATCTGTGTGACTTTAAGTTTAGAATCTTTTTATTTATGCTTAAATCAATTTAAAACACAAGCGTGTGAACATTAAAACAATGAAAATAATTGATTACATAAGTTAAAGAGAAACAGAATAACAATATAAAATGTTAGAAATATATTTTATATTCACTGAAACAGAAATATTTGATGATGTACAAATGAAGGTGGAGCAACTCTTTATTTATAATTAAAATTTCAGTTACACTTAATAACAATATCACTAAAATAAAAGTTAAAATTAAAAGATTATAAAAATTACAATCAATCAAGATTCTAACTCATAATTCTAGGATCAACCAAATCTGTTGGAGACTGTTACTGTTCCTGCAAGTTTCCAAAATATTTACTTGCATATCTCTCATCTTGGGCCTTTCTAAATGTGATGCGGACAGCTTGCAGGTAAAACCTTGGACTCACATATTCTGAATCTAAAGTGGAAAGTCGTGACAGTTGGTATTAGAGACTTAGATGTTTTAAATTAATGCCTACTACAAAAGGCTCACTGAGCACTTGAACAAGGAGGGGGATAATGAGGACCCTTTTATAGGCGCCAGAAAATGCGTGAAAGGAAAATATTACATGCATTCATGGTTTCACTCATTAATTTCATTCATCTCATCACGACCGTTCATTGGATGAGCTTCATGTGATATAGTGTAGAAATTTAGTGAGATTGATGATTGTGCATATTATCATACAGGATTAGTTACCGAATCTACTGAAGTGTGAATGATTGGTGCAATTTGATTCCAAGCACTGATTCTGAGAAGGTGTCTCTCTCACATTTTGCCTTACCCATATTACAAAAACGAATTGGACGCAAGTTGCCATAGGGAGTCAATCCCATCTCAACAAAGAATAAAACAGTTTTGGCATCTCATCGCTCCTTTTTGTAAGTCCACGAGAGAACAATTCGAAATACCCATATCGAATGGAACATATCACCAGTTCGAAAATGTAATCTCTATCCTGAACAAATCATCAAGATATGAAGACTATTTATCGACCAAGATTCTCAAACATTGCTTCAATCAGCCCACCTGATGTACGTCTTCCCAGAGCTAGCCCCGTTGTGCTACATTTAATCCTTTGCCTTCTCTTGAAACCATATGGATGGAAGAAATTGACAACAGAAAGCAACCTAAAAGTAAATGGTAAAGTTATATGTTCAAAACTTAATTTTACTTTAGATTAGAAAGATGATACCCATCATCTCTCAGTTTTCAGTTATTAACCCTTTACAGCACCTAGGATTTGCAGAGAACATTCTGTTGTACGCTTCACCAGAAACAACGTTTGGCAATCATGTGAAGCATCGATTGAAATGAAGTTAATCCATAGATGAATTTTTTTCTTGCAAATGTATTTTGCATTTGATTCTTTGGTGAACGCACAAGGCAAGTTTATCCTTCAACTGTGGAAATTTGGATAGCCAAATTGAAATGTAAAATATAACAAAATGAGGAAGCAAAGGAAAAAAGTTAATGAAGAATATGATAGGAATTTGGCAAATTGAGGTAAGTTGTTAAAACCAATGGAAGTGATCTCCGTTACAATCCGCATCTCAATTAATGAGCAAAACTTGGATGAGATAAACTGCAAAATTGGATAACTTTCATAACCAGAAACAGTGCTCCTTGCATACGTTCTAAGGCAATAAAAGTACATTAACATCCCGAAAGGGACTCCTAAATCAATGCAGACAGATATGCTTTAGTCATCCACGAAGCTTTTGATGAGCTCCAAGTCCAACCAGCCATTTCACTGTGATAAATACAATGTAGTATGGGAAAAAGATGTACAAGAACACATCACTAAAGTATTTCTATGTAGACCACTGGTAATGACTCAGTTTACATTAACAAAGGGCATGAACTGCTCCAAGCTCCAACAAATAAGATTTGGCATCTCGCTAAGAAGTAAGCTCGATTCTTTATCCAGTGCAAAACCCTTACCCACCCCTTCTAAGCTTAAGCAAGGGGTCAAAAGCCTACAGAGTTTGGCTTTAGTTTATAGCAAATTTGAAATCTTTTTACCATCGCTCTCTTGGTCGACCATCAGGAAATGCAGGGACACGCATTACATCTTCTTTCTTGGTTGCGTAATCTGCTTGTTTAGTTGGTTTGCTCAATCCAATCTTAACAGGCTCATCATCTTCATCAAAATCTGGTGGTGCGTCATCATCTTCATCACTCCAATCATCCTCATAGTCATCATCACCTTCACCACCCTCATCATCATCATCAAACCCACCATCACTAAGATAACTATCCATATCAGACCATCCTTCTTCTCCTTCCTCATCACTTGCCTCCTCAGGCATATCACTTTCTTCATTACCATCAGCATCTTTCTTTGAACCACCCCTTTTTGGGAACCTAGGAATGGCAACAAGAGAACGAAACTTCTCTTTAATAAGCAACAGTGGATCCTTATCTATCAATTGAGAATCACGATAAGCTTCCCTAAGAAAAACAGAATCCCTATCCCCTTTCAAAGACACATAGAACATATCAGGATGCCTTATTATCATCCCTCGAAGTTGCTGAGAGAATCTAAACTCCTCTCGAAAATGAGTGAGGTGATCCACAAGAGTTCTCTTCTCAACAGTGAGGCTCAAAATCTCATGTACCACCCCACAAGCATGTTTTTCCTTCGCTGGTGTTCCCGATCTCAATCCTGAAAAGTCTGAATAAGGGGATATATAAGGCATGTCTCTAAACTGGCATAGCCTTCTCATTTCACCCTTAGAAAGATTAAGACCCTTAGGAAGCTTAATTCTATTGAACTTCAGCGGTCTATCTATAATCAAATTCTTCTCTTCCAACTCTCTAGCTCGATTTTCCTCTTCAGCTAATTCAGCTGCAGATACTGCAAGCTCGGGATCCCAATGAGTTAATTCCAAAGCAAGGCCTCGTTCAGTTGGAACAACACGAAAATATTGAGGGTATCGCTGACAAATCGTGTCACGAAACTCTAAAGGAAGCCCAAGATCAGTCCTCAAATGTGCAATCTTCTCCAACAAAATTCGCTTCTCCAACGACATCATCAATAACTTCCGCAACTTAACAACCAACAAACCCTCCATTTCATTCCTGACTCTCAACTCATCCAAGTAAAGCCTTTCAGCTTCAGGTGTCAACCTAAACCTCAATGAAAAAGCCCCTTCTTCCATGATTTCAAACACTCCAGGAAACTTCCTCAGTAAGGCAATAAATCTACGCCTTTTTTGGAGACCTAAATCTCTTCTATACCTCCCCAATGACTTAAGTGACATGATTCTATCAGGTTGACTCACTAGAATCTTTCTTATCTTTAACACCAATTTAAGCTTCTTGTCCCTTTGAATCACATTATCAAAAGGAAGCTCTTTTCTTCTCTTAACTGCAGCTCTTATCGGCTCAAAAGCGACATGGGTTTTTCTCAGATTACCCCAAGAAGTAAAACCCTTATCTTGAAAAACCAAACTTTGGCCCAAAAATGGCGTCTTTTCAGAAACTTTATTCGACCGATGGTAATGGGATTTCATAGAAAGTTGTGGTTTGTCATGAAATGGGGATTTGTAAGAGAGAAACAGGGGAACAAAGGTTGGCATTGAAGCTTTGTTTGAAGCAAGCATAAGGCGATGTTCCATGTTCAATTGCTTAAATATTGATATAAATTAATACACACAAAAAATAGCAAAGATTAGAGGGAAGAATTACCTGTACGGGACAGAGGGTGGAGCTCGTTTGGGATTGAAATTTGAATTATTAGGGTTTTTGAGCAAAACCCCCTTTTTTACAGATTTTTCTGTTGAGATTTTTGTTATCTAAAATCCAGGGACCTCAATGTAAAATCATTATGACGGGCACGTTTGTCAGATTGCAATCAAATTTTATTTAACGGAGCTTCTATCGATATTTGTTTTACTCTTCACATTTTTTTTTTTTCACTTATTTTCACTTTTTGCTTTCAGCATATAAAAAAATTTTAAAAAATTTTTAGATTTACTTATTTTGAAACTTAAAATTTTTTATTTTAATTAGTTAAAATCAAGACAAAATTAAATATTCATATTTATATTTTTTTCTAAATTTATAAGTATTTAAAATAATTCATATTTCTTACAATGCTATAAAAGTTTTTAAAATATTTTTAATCGATTTTTATAATAAATTTATAATTATTTAAAATCATTAGTATTTTTTGTGATGGTACAAAAATTTTTAAATACTTTTTATATATTTTTTAAACCTTAAATATAATATTTGTTTAATTGATCAAATATAAAAATCTCATAAATTATATAAAATAAAATTTACAAAAAATTTGTATAAAAATTTAAAATTAAAATAAAAAATAATTAAATATTTTTATTTAAAATAATTTAAAAAAAAGAGTTTGAAGGGAAAATTTTGGGTATGTTTAGAGCCTCGTGTGTTTAAAACGGGAAGTCGATTTTCCGTCACGAAAGTATTGACTTTTTTTTTCCGTCTTTTTGAGCTCGCTGAAGTATTGACTAGGTTGTCTTGTAACTGTAACGGGAGAAAGAAAGAAATGGCGAGAAGGCGAGAGCGGCGAGTGGAGCCGAGTCCGGATCGGCGCAAAGAGCGAGACGGAACGGCAACTCGAGAAGAAAAGCTCGGCGACTCAGATGCTTCGGATCGTAAGCTCATCAGTATATTCGTACTCTTCTTCATCGTAATTCCGGCAGTATCTGTACTCGTATACATCATCAAAAACGGTTCAGGTACGAAACGTTTGGAACCGGTCGTAACTGAACGAGGACTCATCAAAACCGACATTAATTTCCAAGAGATCCTCACTGTAAGAACCGTATTTAAAATAAATAAATAAATAAATCTATCAAGAGTGTTTTTTTTTTTTGGCTAAAATTTTGAAAATTTAAATAATTTCAGGAGAATTCGAAGGTAGCAGAAAATGCGTCGCAACGGCATTATGATTACCCTGTATTGGCTTACATTACCCCATGGTAAGATCATCTCAACTGTTCTTTTGTTTTCTTTTTAATGTTGGAAGAAACGAAATTCTTGATTTATTTGTTAGAAGTTTTGCAGGAATTCGAGGGGCTATGAAATGGCAAAGAGGTTTAATTCTAAGTTTACCCACTTATCACCTGTTTGGTATGATTTGAAAAGGTATATCCAATTTTGAATTAACAAATTTGAAGTTAGCATTTGTTTTAAATTTCTAAAAGGAAAAAAGAATTTTGTTTCCAGCCAAGGAAGCAGCTTGGTTCTGGAGGGGAGACATAATGCTGATAAAGGATGGATGTCAGAGCTTAGAATGAGAGGAGATGCTTTGGTAATATAATTTGTTTTTTTTTGGATAATTTCATGGCTTCTAGCATAGTATTTTTCCGTTATCATAAAAATATATTTTTGATATATAGGTATTACCTAGAGTAGTTCTAGAAGCAGTTCCTACAGAGATGCTTAAAAAGAAGAAACAGATGGATAAAGCTATTGATCTGATAGTAACAGAGTGCAAGTAAGCCTCTATTTATTATTCTATGTTCTTTTGTTAGTATTCCATGTTATAGAAGACATTTTTTACCTGCGCTTCCTAACAAAATGCTGAAGTTTTCTAATGTTATTTGTTTTGTGGATTCTTTCCTCAATGAACAGAGAAATGGAATATGATGGTATCGTGCTGGAGTCTTGGTCAAGATGGGCTGCATACGGTATCTTGCATGATCCAGACTTGAGGAATATGGTAATCATCACTTTAATTGACGTTTCCTCTTTGTTAAAACTGTATAATTCCAGTTCCTAAGGCTTCAGGTTTGGTCATGTTTTGAACTAGCAGCTCGTGGACGTATGCTGCCTGAGGATGCCAAGTCTGTAATTATTTCCTGGGTTCTTTGATTTAGTTGTGTCTATTTTTCCTAGTCTTTCTTTTGATTCCTTTCATCTTTTTAGGTTCAAAGTCCTTTAATTCCTTTCATCGTTTTTCTTTTTGGTTTCAAAAGCATTATGCTTCCTCTCTCCACCTCATTCTTAGCTCTATATTAAGGTTAAAAGGACTAAGCTTTCTATGATTATTATCAGTTTTCTTTTGTGGTTAGCTGTTAGTGACATCTGAAATTGAAGTCTCTTTACCATAACGAGATAAATACATGAAAAGGCTTGGATTTTCACTTTTCTTACTTGATTCCAGACATTGAGGTTCATACACTCATCAAGCATTCTTTCTTTCTGACCTGTGGTAATTCCTTGTCTCTAGCAATTCATAATGAAACGGTCAACCTAAATCTAGTTCTTTCTGTTTTCAAACCTAGGCGCTCAAGTTTGTAAAACAACTTGGACATGCACTGCATTCTGTGAGATCAACCAAGAACCCTGAGCAACAATTGCAGTTGGTATACGTTATAGGCCCACCACATTCGGAGAGACTCCAGCAACATGAGTTTGGACCAGAAGATGTTCTGACCTTGAGTGATGCCGTGGATGGTTTCTCACTTATGACATATGACTTCTCAGGTCCAAATAATCCAGGTCCAAACGCACCTCTGCAATGGATACGTTTTATCCTGCAGTTGCTCCTTGGTTCCACTGCCAACAATGCTCAGAGACTGGCTCCAAAAGTATTTCTTGGCATCAATTTTTACGGAAATGATTTTGCTCTATCAGGAGGTAGTACATCTTCTTTTTCCTTAGTTGTTAAGGTGATTGTGTATTTGTCTTGCTCTTTTATACCATGTAGCATTTAATCATATATGCGTACGACCTTAATAATCTTCAAATATATTTGAACTAGACTCGATAGCTCATGCTAAAACGGTCTTTTATGTCTTTCCATTATAAGTTGTAATTTAGTATACTGCTAGTGCTGTATCTTGAATAGGGTTGTTAAAAGAAAAGTTTTGTATGTGACATAAGAGACTATTGAGCAGGTTCTGGTAGTAAAGCTATCATTGGTAGAGATTACCTCTCATTGTTGGAGAAGCACAGGCCCCTATTGCAATGGGAAAAGAACAGCGGAGAGCACTTTTTCGTTTATTCTGATCATAACAATGTCAGGCATGCAGTGTTCTACCCATCATTGATGTCAATTTACATGCGGCTAGAGGAAGCTCGTTCGTGGGGAACTGGCATTTCAATATGGGAAATTGGGCAAGGCTTGGACTACTTTTGTCATCTTCTGTGATGATTCCAATTTTGTTCTTTCTTGGCACTGTAACATATAATTTTGGGTTTTCACCTGTTCATTTGTCTTTTCTAATGGAAGAAATTCTAGATAGATGTCAAATTCAAAGGAGTGCTGTAAGATCTGAGTTGAAATAAGATTCTGCAATAAGTATATCTCTCTCCTAATCTGCTTGTCTTTGCGATTTCTCATTTTGTACGTACCAGTTATTGGTTCCTTTTAAGATATTTAAGCGTGCTTTCGATCTTTGGCATTGAACAGCAAATGCCTATCAAAAAATGGATGTTCTGCTTTTACCATAGGTATGAGCCATAAGCAAAAACAAAAGTTATTTTTTATCTTTGGTATTTGATGGGCTTGTTTTCAACCTCGGGCCCAATGGTAACTAATTGAATGTAATTGGATTAATCAGACCGTTGATTAGTAATATTATTTTTCCAGATCTGGTAAATTGAAGATAATTACGATTGTAACTTTGTAATATCCTCCCGTGTCTGTCAAGGAAATTGGCGAAGATACCAAATGATCTGCACTAGAACAAAAAAAGCAATAGTACTGCTGTATTAGCTGTACAAAAAGGAAGATACTAGTGGATTTTAGATTTACTATTTAGTTTCTCCAGACAATTTTCAACCACACAAATCCGCTCGGACAGAAAGCCCATCTAAGGACATGATCAAAAGTCTCTCATCTCACTTCAATGTGTCATGCAATGAATGGCAGAGTTCTTATATCTCATTCCACCTCAGCACCTTTCAGCATTCAAAGCACACCGGCCAAATTGCTTCTTCCAAATCCAAAGCTAAGGTTTGTAATCCAATCAAATTTTACAAGGACAACAAAATCCTCAGAAACCCTCCATTTCTGATGCTTCAAGCTTTTCCATCATATTTTTGAGAGCCATCTCTTGCATAAAATTATGCCATGAACGTCCTCAATGCAGCAAGCTCGACACCTCTCTCAGTTCTTAGTGAGAGAAGAACAGAAACCAGAAAAGTATCATCACTCTCAAATGCTCCACCACTCAAACTTTCAAATTCTTCAGCTTTTATTAAGACCTCACCAACTCTGCAGGGGTGTTTGTCAAGAAGCTTGCATGGGGGTATAGTGCTACTGTCTTCAGTTCTTCCCAGTGGTGTTGCTAGAGCTTTATCATACGAGGAAGCACTGCAGCAGATTACGGGATCCTCCTCGTCGATTGATTTTGGTCCCAATGGGGTTCTTGATAGTGTTGTCAGTTTTGTAACCGAGAATCCCACAGTTGTAGCTGGTGGTGCTGTTGTTTTGGCAGTTCCATTAATTTTGTCTCAGCTGTTCAAGAATTCAAAGCCATGGGGAGTTGAGTCTGCAAAGAGTGCTTATGCCAAGCTGGGGGATGATGCCACTGCTCAATTGCTGGACATAAGGGCACTCAAGGAGTTCAGACAAGTTGGTAGTCCTGATTTAAGGGGTTTTGGGAAGAAGCCGGTGTCAATTGCCTTTAAGGGCGGAGACAAGCCAGGGTTCTTGAAAAATCTGTCTTTGAAATTCAAGGAACCAGAAAATACCACCTTGTTCATTATAGACAAGTAAGAGTTTGAACCCTATGCCTTTTATATTTAATTGTTCATATATTTGAAATCCTAGCATTTTGGATATGATTAATTGAATCCAAATCTCTTAAATCACTATGAAATTTTGATGAATCATAAGGAGCAGACCACCATTGTCTATAACATTTTCATTACCATTGATTCAGTTTCACACGGGTGATTCCGTGCGAAAACGTGACCTTCTTGGTACTAAATCACGAGGCATATGCATATGGCATTGCTTTATAATTCGTTAAGGATCCACTCTGATTGATGATATCTGCGTATCTGAGATGAAATGGATTGTGCATTGGTTGCACAAACAATATAAAATCTTTAATTTGCTGGCTTGCTTTTGGAGGAAAATTCAGAAATATATATGGAGGCTCATTGGCCTTAAGCCACTTAGTAGAATGGCCATCTGCTCGTCTCCTAAATTCTAACCCATAAATTAAATGCACCTTGTTCCAAGGTTAAAGACCTCTAAATTGATAGTCTAGCTTCCAACTGTTGAGGTGTTTCCTTGAATCATATTGAAACACTGGCTGACATACATTTTTTTAGTAATTATAAGCTGAAAATTGTTCTCTCTCTCTCTCTCTGTCTCTCTCTCTCTCTCTCTCTCTCTCTCTCTCTCTCTCTTCCTTCTTTATATGCATTTTGTTTTGCAAGAAAGATGAACTTAAAACTTCTATTCAGTTATCTTCTAATGTTGCTAAATTTGTGTTGAAAGCCAGATTTGATGGTAACTCTGAACTGGTTGCGGAATTGGTCACTGCAAATGGGTTCAAAGCTGCTTATGCAGTGAAAGATGGTGCAGAAGGACCTCGAGGATGGATGGTATTTTCTATTCTAAATCCTTTTTTTTCCCTAAATTTAGCAATTGCATCCTTTGAGAGTGATTGCAATTTTGCAGAATAGTGGTCTTCCTTGGATGTCACCAAAGAAAGGTCTTGACCTTAGCAATTTGACAGAAACATTCTCTGGGGCCTTTGGAGTACGTATCTTCATTTCTTATTTGCTTATGCATTTCTAAGATTTTAATCTCATAGATACTTCTTTAGATCTTTAGTCAGCCGCAAGACACATAAAAAGTATAGACAAGAAAAATTTGCAGCCCTTCCATGTTCTTTGTTGTGAAGTTTTGTAGCCTTTTCTTCTTGGTTTTCTTCTATTTGGTAAGCTGGTAATATTTTTATGATAATCTGCAGGAGGGATCAGATGGCCTGTCTGTTACACTAGGGTTTGTTGCAGCCACCGGATTAGGTTTATTGGCTTTTTCAGAGGTTAGGTCTTTGAGTCCTATTATTAATTTCTAATTTCCATTTCTGCTTTTATCATTATTTTGTTTATATCTAGTATTTTTTTCATGAAAACAACTCAAATTGTGGTTTTCTCTTATCCTCTTCAGATAGAAACAATACTTCAACTTCTGGGCTCAGCTGCTATTCTTCAGTTTGTGAGCAAGAAACTGCTATTTGCAGAGGTAAGTCTCAACTTTCTATTTGAGTTGTTTTTTTCTCCTTGAACTTAATTGAAGATTAAATATGTTCCTGCTTACTTTGAATGATATGTTCACTGATAACCATGGAATATATCACTTAATTTTTAAATCTCTGGTCTTTCTTATACCCTAAGGCATAAACATAATGGTTCAACTTGACTTCTCTACCCTGCTATGTGTAACAGGACCGAAAGAAAACTCTTCAACAAGCTGATGAATTCTTAAACACAAAGGTGGCTCCTAAGGAACTTGTTGACGAGATAAAGGTATCCAACCTTGATATGAATCCTGGTTATTGTTTGAATGCTTTATTTATCTGCTGAGAAAGATTGATTTCTTGCCAAGAAAAGTTATTGCGGCCATAGAAACAAATGTATATTGCCTGCGGTAACCTACTGTAGACTGAAATGTGTTATTTTTTCCCCTCATAATTTCTCAACAATAAACCATTTCTTCTTATCCATGACTAATTTCTCTATATTTGTATTTACCTGTGAACTCAGCAAATTGGGGTGGCCCTTCTAACAACAACTACCACTAGCAAGGCTCTTCCAGCAGCACCTACAGAGGCAAAACCAGAGCCCAAAGTCGAAGCAGCAGCAGAACCCCCTCAAATTAATGCAGTACCCAAAAAAGAATCCAAAGCAGATGGAATCTCCGGATTTCCAAGACCACTTTCACCATATCCTTATGTAATTTCACTTATATTACTTCATAACTTCCTCAGTTCCACTTCTGCTGTTGTATACACGTGTTATAAGTGGTTGCTTTCTTTTACCCTTCCTACTGTTATGCACAATAAAACCGCTTACATCTGTCATTTTTACTTTGTTTATGGTTGCAGTATCCTGATTTGAAGCCACCAACATCTCCTACTCCATCACAGCCCTAGATACATGATTTTGTCGACTTTCTGTCGGTTCTACATCCAGCAAAGCAACTGGTTGGTCGGGAATTTTAAAGCTATCGAATGAGTTGTGTAATCTACCCTTGTGTTAAATGATTTTCGAGCTGACAGTCTTACGCGATAAGTTGTATAAAAAATCTGGAAAAAAGAGGGGAAAAAGGGAGGAAAAAAGATGCAGTAGTCTGCCTTAATCATATTGTTGCTGTCTTTTATGTTACTTCATTTGGCCTTTTTGTAATTATTAGGTATCTTGTCGATTTTGGTGTATGATTAAGCTTAATTGAAAGTCTGTTCTAGCATTGGGGTCAACATTTGAACAAATATTATTATGCAAGTACGTGAATGTTCAAGTGCATTGTTGTGGTATATGAGATGGGGAATGATGATTGCCTCAAGACTGCATTTGTTGTAATTACAATGTTTTCAAGTTTTCAGGGACGTGCTTGCCAAATCAGCCAGGTGGATGACTTTGTCCTAGACATAGCTACTGATCATAACAAATACTTGAATGCCAAGTCCTTCAATATAACAAGTCTTGACTCTTGAGGATGCAATCTATTACCATTGGCAAGAATTCAACCTTAAAATCCACTATTGAAAGATACTCTTAAATTTGGATTTGGATATGGTTACTTTATCTAATACAAAGTTGTAATATTATTTTTTGTTATTTTTTACAATTATTTGTTATCTTTCCCCTGACATAACATAATATGTAATTTTATAACAAATAGTTAAAATTACATAATTTATTAATTAGATGACAAAAATTTGTATTATCACTTAATATTATATTATTTACAATTATTCATTAAAAAATTACATTTTTTGTTCTATAAAAAAATCCTACCGACTACCTCTGTCACCAGACAGAACCATACGGAAAGCTCACCAAAGGATAGCTTACTCAGAATGTACCTAATTAGGTTGGTTGTGCTAGTGCAATTGAAATTTGAAAGTAGCTAGCCCTTTCTGATCATTTTCTGACTTTGAATTGACAAAAGCTATTTTTTTGCATGCGTACAAATAAGAGCTCATCAACTGTATTTTGATGAGTAGCATTAAGATTGGACTTTATAATTTGTTAATGTAGAATTCCAACTCCCTCCAATCACTTGAGTTAACCTTTGCCAACTTACACCACTACCTTCTCAAACAATCTATGTTAATTTTATATTTTTCTTTTTCTAGTGTAATTAAGCTAAGAGAGAGAAGATTGAAATTAATGAGCGTTCATTATTTTATTATTATTTTTTTCCGATAGTCAGATAATCAGAAGATTCATTAAAAGTTGAAAAAAAAAGTTTATATGATTGATTATAAAGAAAAAAGTCAAGGGACGACGAAGATATATTTTGATGCTCAAATTAATAAAATATGAGAGAAAAAAAATGAAGAAAAATAAGAAGCAAAGAGCAAAGCGAGTTTAATTGTGTATATGATACTTAATTTATATGATTTGTTGAACTTTCATTCGTTAAGCCTATTGAAATGACAATAAAAAATGTTGCTAACTTGAATATTAAGGAATAATAATGAACAATATTACTTGGACTAGAAATTTGATCAAGCTGATCAAGCAATATTCAAATTTCACGAAAATATACAATTTTTTAAGAAGTTAGCTATTAACTATTGGGTTTTCTTCACTGTGAATATTGTGGTCACTTTTGTATCTGTATCCGAAGAGAGAGATGGGTTGGCCATTGTCATGTATCTAGGTTGGATGTAGTTGTCCGGGAGGCAAAAGTTGAACTCTCAAAGACCTGCAAAAAAAAAAAGTGAATTGAAAGTACTTCTCAATATCCAAAAGTTGATCTTTCACATAAAGAAGGCTTCAAAAAGGCACTAAGGATCTTTGCAAAAGCTGTCCCCAAAGTCCAAACTCATCTTGCTAACTACACAGGTTCTTCAACTTAAACAAAAACATACAGAATATACGTTTAAACAAATAGAATATATGTTTTTTTTCTTTGGCTGGACCCTGGAAAAAGATAAAAGAAAAAGTAATAAGATTGATACCCAGAGATAATTTTGGCCTTTTTCTTTTCGACTCTATTCTCCACCGAACATTCATCCTTTCAGTAAAAGCACACAAAGTACGAAAATTAATATATTTTTATGGCCTATTAATCTACAGATTTGTCATAAATTTAATCAGCTAGCTTATCTGCCCTCTTCTTAATGATGAAAATGTCATGCAGAAAACTTGAACAAAAACACTTTTCATTAAACTTTTTCCTTTTCATTTCTAAAATTTGGTTCTGAGTTGCTTGTCCCTGGTATCACTCAGATGTGATTGGATTATGGAAACTCTATATTCTTTTCCACCATATAACTTTGTTCAAGTAATTAGAAATGATCAGGATTTAGTTAATTATCCTTTATTTAATTCTCTGCTTCTAGTTTGTTTCCTTTAAATTGTTTTTACTTGACTGTGCAGCATCAGATCATTTTGTACTGTGATTTTGTATGTTAGTTGATGCATCTGGATGTGATGGTCCATACTCCATACCATACCATGCCTTACTCTTCATCCAAAACCCTTCACGGGGGTGAAAAAAATCAATAAATTAATCAAAAGGGAATGAGATCCTGCCAGGAACTTGTTTTTCCTTTTGGGTGAACGTTCTGCGAGCAATTAATCGCCCCAAAGCACTAATCTTGTGCTATCCTGACATTGATCATCAATAAATCAGTTACTATTTTACTTTCCTCATATCAAATTTTTGTCCGAAAATAATACAATTTACCACCGTTTACTTGCCAAGAAAACCTTGTCCGGTTGTCCTTGCTAAATCAAGAAACTTGCAGCATCTGAAGACGGCAATATTGACAAAAAAATAATGCACGAGCAATCCTTGACAAACTGATGAAATGTAAAAATACTTTTATAAAAAGACATGATTTTGTTTTGGAAGTCTAAATTGTAGATCTCCAAAAGATAGGAACTAATTTACAGGGGGTGGGGGAGGCATTTTGTAGTACCATTTAAAGTCCCAAGTACCGAATCTCCACACTCCAATGGAGGGTTGTGGGGGAACTGTTCTCTACTTCTAGGTACCATTTCAAGCCAACAAGAACAGCAATAGAACATCACTTTGAGCAGATGCTTTCGGTTTTTTTTTTTTTTTTCTTTTGTTTGGATTGGATCCTGTTGTTTTGGTTTGTTGAAGTTTTGCCCTTTTCCACGATATGATAGGATTTGGTTGTCACATCGTTTCCATTCCAGATCAGACAATTAGGATATAAATTAGTAATAATTCGTTAAGTTGATTCAATTAATTAAAATTTATTTTTTTGATAAAAAAATTTTAAATTTGAATCTTATTTATAATTATTTATTAAAATTATTTTAAATATATAATTTATAATTATTGATTTTAAATTATTAGATACAATATATATTATCTTAATTCAAAAGATTAAATAATTTATTTACCTTAAATTTTTTGCAAAAAAAAATTTAAGCTTAAACATCCTTGATTAATTAAACCAAATAGCTGTCCCTAAGATTAAAGGAGCAGAAGCTAATGACATCAGCTGCTAGTTTCTTCCATACCCACCAAAAGTAGTGTTTAACATGTTTTGTTTATAATAATTAATGTAATTAATTATTGCGATTAATCAGTGAACTTCTGCAAGGGTCTTGCACATTCTGAACCTCCCTATATATATATACATATATATATATATATATGTGTGTGTGTATTAATTGGGAGCTAAAATACTGCTAGTGTAAAGGGCAGTTCTGTCATTTAAGCCGCTTAGTGCTATAACTAAGCAGAACTTTGACCTTGCTTATGTCTTTAACAGGGACAACTACAAGTCAACCAATTTTAATTTTGTTTGTTTGGTAGGACCTGTCGTTCGTTGGTTTTGTTGCCTAGGGAGGGGGTTTTCATTTTCAAGCTCCACTTTCAATGCCCATTTATATAGTTCATTCAAAGTCCATAGAATTTATTGTGTATTATAAAATCCCCTTTGAGGAAACTATTAATTGCCAATACTCAATTTCCATCCACAGTTTTTCGCTCAAAAATTCTACTTTGAGTATTCGGTTTCTCTCATTCTCCTTAAATTCTTGGTCTTTTTACTACTACTGGCAAAAGAAATGGACAAACGTCGCCGGAAGCAAGCAAAGACTAGTAGCTGCTGCTCTGAAGGTAGTTTATTCTCGTGACTTTTTTCTTTCGTTTTGTTGGACCAACACCGATTCCTTTTCCAGGGTTCTTTTTATTTCCCCTTTGATGCTTTGAATTTTAGCTGTTTTCCAGTTTCCATTTTATACTTGTGGTTGGTTAAGGTTAACACTGTTTGGTCCTCTTAATGTTATGGCAGAGGTGAGCAGCATTGAGTGGGAGTTCATAAACATGTCGGAACAAGAAGAGGATCTCATTTATAGAATGTATAAACTCGTTGGGGACAGGTAAGGATGGAACCTGAAATAGAAACTTTCATCTTCCTTCAATTTCATTCTTCAAAACAGAGAATAGACGGTTGTCATTGATTCATGATCCTTTACATATTGTGGAGAGACAATACTTTGTTTTCTTCTTTGCTGATGTGGCATTGCTGCAAACATACAAAATCTTTTTAATTACCTTATTAAACACTTCAAAATTTTAAGCTTGTTGGGTTTGCTGATAATTTTTTTTGTAAGAGGTAACATTTAATATTTTTAAATTTGAAATTTAGCATTTGAAACTTTTTTCTATTCACAGATCATGAACTTTACCCAAAAAGAATTTTAAGTTTATTACTAAAAGTAAACCATATATACTGCATCAAATTATAGTCATACGTTTGTTACTATAAGTACAGCAGTACACCACATATACTGCATCAGATATATAGTTAGGGATGCTTTTGCTGGTCATGTATTTTTATTTCTTTTCAAACAGAATGCTTGTGATCAATTATTATCGGCATATTAGTCAAATTTGGTATAATAGCAGTCGCTCAATCATATCATGGCTCCTGTTCAATAAGCTCATTCGGGAAAGTACAATTATTTTCGTGTTTGATTTTTGTTTTTTTTTATTACACGAATTGAACCAGTGCTCGTGTCATCTTAATTATAAAAGCTATTTACCAAAAGCATTTTCTTAGTACAGGTGCGTTGATCTCTTCGTCCTAACTCCTAGTGATCAACTTACATGAATTATTGATGCATGCAGGTGGGCCTTAATTGCTGGTAGGATTCCTGGCCGGAAAGCTGAAGAAATAGAAAGGTTTTGGATCATGAGACATGGGGAAGTATTCGCCAACAGGCGAAGAGAGCTGAAGAAACGTAATTCTTGATGCCTTTTTATTAGTTTTAGTAGCATCAAATTTATTAGGAAAGAATTATTATCTTTCTCTCATGTTTTTATCTGTCTCTTCCCCCCTCTCTTATTCTCAGTAAGGCTTGCATGCCCCCTGAATTGTATGGCACAAGGTTTTTGTTGGGATGGAAATGGAAGTAGTTGCAGTTTTATTTGGATATAAACCATTCACAAGCCCTTGCTTTTTCAGCTCTTTTTCTTATCTTTTACTCTCTCAACATTGTTACAACACAAAACAAGCACGAAAGACAAAAGAAAAAAAAGACTGAAAGTAACTCAACACGAAGCACAAAAGCAACACGAGATAAAGAAAAAGACTCAAAGTGAACCAATAAACGGATAATTCAATTGATTAAGATTTAATTTTTTTATAAAAAAATTAGATTCGAGTTTTATTTATAATCATTGAATCATTTTAAATACATAATTTATTTTAAATTATTAAATATAATATATATTATTTTAATTTAAATGATTAAATAATTTATTTACTCTATATTTTTAAGACCAAAAGACAGACTTACAGTAAATCAAGAAAAGAAAGCATAGAGCCTGGAACTTAAAAATGTACTTCTCATTTATGATTTTACGGTCAGTCGTCTACTTTTTGTTGCGTCTCTCCTTTTGTTGCCGGGGAAAATGATGGGTCTCCCCCCACCTACTACAGTTATTTGGGTTGCTGTTACTCTTTTGAATTATTGGATTCTTCTGGCTTGTTGTGGTGGCCTGAATCTGAACCATGCCAAAGCTGGCATTGAATACTTACTTTCCTGGACAGGATTCAGATCAGCTTTATGCATTAAAAAACATAAATTCCTACCAAACTTATTAAATGGCTGAACTCAGAATGAAACAGTAACATACTAATAATGAGAAAATAAAAACTGTAAGATTGAGACTCTTTCGATCTTTATGGAAGTCACCCTTTATAGTTACTCAAATACGTTTATGAATTTTCAGTCGTTTTCGTGTATCAATCTTGATTAATTCTCGCCCCAAGTCTACACCATTTTGTTTTGCAGATTTTTTTTATTGCCTGTTTATCAACAGAGCACACTACATATATATATATAGTACTAGTAGAGTATTATTTTACTGGTTTATTTACAGGGCCAATAATATATTTATCTGGAGACCCAAATCTTGCCAAAGATAAAAGTAGGTTGGGGTCTTTTCAATTGACTCTTCCTTTTGTTCTCCAGAGTTTTCTACCCAACGAATAGTATGCATTTTATTTACAATTATTATATTATAATTAATTAATTATAATTTAAAATTACATAAAATTTATCAAAATTATATAAGAAAGTCACACTTATAAATGATAATTTGTTAAAGTAAAAATAATAATTTTTTTTTGAAAAAGCATTTTATCATATGTACACTTGCTGAAATTTAAATATTATAATAATAATAATAATAATAATATAATAGTTAGCCGTTAATAGATAATTATTTTACTTATTTATCCTTATCAGAATAAGTAAAAAGGTGCTAAAATAGTATATTGGGCTTAAAAATGTTGTTCTATGTGCATATAGGAAGGAAGTAGGTAGGGCGACATGGTTTGTTCTCCCATATATATACTTCTATTTCGTTTACTTGGAGCTGTCCAATATAATATTACTTCAATTCCATATTAGTATAACCGTGGGATTAATTACACAGTAACAGTACGTTTGCTCTTCTCTTCTTCGTTCACTTTGAAGTTGTCAATAAATGGAGGGGTTGTTACTAAATTATTTATGATGTGTATGAATAAAAATAATTTAAAATTTTAAAATGAAAGTATTTTTAAAATACATTAATTTAAAATATTAACATATGTAATTGCATTTCTTAAATTTTTTTTTAATTTTGATTATTGAAATTTAATTAAATAAAAAATAATAATATTAAAGATAAAATAAAAAAATAGTGAGATAAATAGGCAATACGGATGTCATTGGACTTTTATAAATATGTAGATATTACTAACAGTATAAAAATAAATATATATATTTTTAAAATTAAAAAATATTATATGTTTTCAAAAAATGTATATAACATTTTCCAGTTACTTAATACTGATACTGTGTTTATATCTTATTATATGGTAAAAGAATTTCAACAACTAATAAAGTTTTCTCTTCTTTTTTTTTTTTTTTCAATCTGCTTTGACATGTTTAATTATTGCTGCTTCTGTCACCTCATTCATATCAGAGTACCCTCATTATAATTCATAAGAGAGAGAAAGAAGAGAGAGAGAGAGAGAGAGAGAACGACTAGTCAAAAATCAAACTCAAAGCCCATGTCTGATGTCCCACTCCATAATACACAATGCCCACTTAACCAACCTAGCCCTTTGGTTCCACTTCGTGACGGGAACCGGAAACTCATCATCATCAAAAGGTTCCCATAATATATCAAATTTCAAATAACAATCGGCTTTTGTTAAAAAGCAATGTGCCTTTGTTTTTTTTTTTTTTTCTTTTTCCTTAATTGCCTGAAAAAAACAACAGTTTCAATTTTATACATTTTGTCTGTGGAGAAACATGCCAGCCTTGTTTTGCTACAGGAGTTAACGGAAAATAAGAATCTGGCTGTTAGGGATCTATATTTTGTCTCTTGGGCATTGGTACTACGGTCTGAGGTATTGGTGGGTCCAACGATCTGGATCGCAAGAGCACTGGACATTTATTAGCTCATGGTGGGTCCCAATGATACGTCTATGTAGTGGGCTTCTGGGCATTTATTTTAACTGTTTGAGACCACATTTGGACTCAGTAAGGCCCAACAAGTTGAAATAAGACGAGAGAAATGTTGAAGGGACTCTGATTCAAAAGTTCGTTCGCCCAATAGAAACCCTAAAGCCTTGATACTTACTATCACTATCAGTCGCCCCATTAATGATTAAAAAATAATACTACACTATGAGATTGTAAAAAACGGTGCTCCCTTCGTCCTTTTTTTTTTTTTTTTTATGTTTTAAAACTTTTACTTTTATGTTTTTTTTAATATTAAAAATTATCAAACTATATTTTTTAAAAAATATTATAATCAATTTTTTTTTTATTTTATAAAAATCAATAACACTCAAATAATTTAAGATGAAATAAATAGTTAATGTCATAGTGTGCAACTATAATAACTTCAAAAAGATTGTTGTCAATTTTTGTGTTCCAATTAAAAAATTTATAAGGTTTAAAAGCAAATTTCAAAAAATCAATTAAAAATTCAAAGAACCAAAAATAAATCTCAATGTTCAATTAAAAATTTTAATAAAAAATAAATATTGGACTTTAAACTGTATTTAATTAAAATTTTCTCAAAAACCATTTGAAATATTCAGATAAAATGAGATTTCTACCTTAATTGTTAAGGTACCCAATTTTAGTGGATGGGATTTGAAGGATGCTCCAACCAACTCTAGCTTTCAATCACTAATCTGTTGTTCATGGCCTACATATTTGCAATTATGGTCTGGTCTATTCTGTCCACTCCTTTAGATAGAATGAAGCTCCAAATAAATCAATCTCTGATTTTCTTTCAGAATGTGTGTTTCTAGGAATATGGCTCTCGCTTCACACCCAATTTCTTGAACAATAGATGGGAACATACTTCAAAAATCAAATAGCCGCATTGCCTCTGTCACGTTTTTTCCTCTTTTAATTTTCTGCTTTTTTGAAAGAGTAAACAGAAGATAACAAAAATCTTTTATGGACCCATGCCCGTGATACAGATTTACTTTGTCATTATTATTCCAAATACTTGCTTTGAAGAAAGATGATTGGCTTTTAGTTGCTTTCCAGAAGATAAGCTTGTTTTAGTTGTTTCTACGATCCTAAACATTTCGTCTTTAAGGGGACAAGATAACACAATTGCCCTTAATTATTATTATGAGTTTATATTTAAGGAATTGTTAATATATAAATTTTATGAAAATATTTTATTTATAATTATTATAATATAGTTAATAAATTATAATTTAAAATTATATAAGGTATATACATATTTTATATAGAGTTTATATTTATAAAAAGTGGATTTTTGCATAATTTTTTGTTATAATTAAACAATTATAAGATTGTAATAAAAAAATTTACAGTTTATATGCTCTTAAATTTTATACATTATCAATGAATCACATGATAAAATTTTTTAAAAAATAAAAAAATCAAGGTCAAATTATGATTATAATTATTATATTCTAAGGAAATTTGAAATAAATTCTATAAATTATAATAGAAAGATTAAATTTTATATTTCATTAAAATATAATAACTATTATCATAATTTGCAGAGATTTTTTTATTTTATTTTGTAAAATTAAAAAATTTATATTAGGAATAATTATATATAAATTTATTTATATTTCGTAAAAATTGATTGGATATTGACCACCAAATCAAATGCATATGGTTACAAACTCACATGTATTAATGTTTATACTTGTAATGAAGTGCATATATATATATAAATATATATTTTCTTTTTAAGTTTTTATAATTTGAGGGTCTTGGTCTATATCCACCTGAACAGTGATTTTTGAAAGAAATTTATTTAAACTTTGTACCCAAAAAGATAAATAGTGGATCGAAAGAAAAAGAAAATAGTTTTCCACTAGCCTGAAATGATTGATGAAGAAATCTTTTAACTTGGAAAATAAATCCAGGTGAGATCAAAGAAAATCAAAGTTTTCTTTATTGAATACTCGATGGCGGATTCAAAAAAATTTTGATGGATATTCAGGATTTATTTATTGAACGATTGTTAATAAATTTATCAATTTGTCAAAGAAATGATGTTTAAAAAAAAATTAAAAATATTCAAATAAAATTTCTTAATTTTTTAATTTTATGGGTGTCTATAGATCCCTCACAAATACACATGAATTCGTATCCGCTATGTGAATAATGACCGGTGTAAAACCTGACCCAGTCCATGGCAAATGCAAAATGGAAAATAAGAAAAAAAGAAGCATAAAAAAAAATAGTACTTCCACACGTTTTGTTTCTTTTGTACGAGGGCAGATAAATGAAAAAATCAAAAGCCTCGGACCCTACGTATTTAGAGCTTATTTTCACTCAAGGGGTCACTTCAACACAGCCAGCTCGAAATTTCTTGGAAGGTAGTAGCATATCGAGTGATGTACATACATGTTGTGCTCAAAATCGGAGACTTCTGCTTTTTCAGTTTTCTTCCCAATAATTGAAGGGGAAGAAAACTTTGTTCCACTTATGGTTTTATGATTTTGTCAAAAAGCTGCATGCAGGTTTCAAATTGATGGACAATTATGACTGTTGGTGGACATTTTATTTTGAGATTTGAAACATTTTAAATTTGAAAAAAAAATGAGATTACTTAACAGACAATTACAATTAAAAGATCATCTTATCTGTCATAAAGAGATATTATTCAAATAAATATGTGATTTATTTTTTAATCATAAAAATTAATAAGGGGCTTAGTTTCATAATGATATTTTTAACCAAAACGCAAACCATGTGTGGGATGGATGCTTGTGGGATCCTATTCAAAGCAAATGTGAACCCGAATTTATGATATGAAATTGAAAATTTTTTCTGTTGGCTAGGATTTGATTGCTTTTCTTTTTCATGAAAAGTCATTTGATGGTTTGAAGAAAAATTACATCAATCATAAATATAATTTATGTTATTCTTTTATTGTTTAAATTTTTTTTGTTTTTGTTTTTTAACAAACAATTTTTTTATTTAAAATTACAATATGATACTGTTTAAATCACGAATTTTTTTTTTTTAAATTTGATCATAAGCAGAAGTCACTGTCCAAAAAGAAAGGAAAGGATCCAAATTATATGAAAAAAAGGCTTTATCTCAAGTTGGTATCTTAATATTTGTGAACCAACTTCCAAGGCGAACTCAAAAATTAGAAAAGCCAAATATTAAAGCAAAACACGTGGTTGGACTTTGCATGGGGGGCTCCATGTTTGATTGATTTAGTTTTTAAACTTCAAAGCGATGCTGACCTATTCTAATTGGTTTTTCATGACCTTCCTCCAAATTGTCTGATTAACATTAGTTTAGTATTGTAGTTTATCAAAAAACAGAAAGATTTCATGTGTTAACAATCTTCTTTTTTTACTTGGGATTTTTTATTCTGTTTCAATTAAATGTCAAACTTAAAGGGCTCTCAGATTCAACTAACCTGCTGAAAAAATTGGCACCACTCAATCCCAACTGCTATGCTTATTTTTATGTGACAAGGTGATCCAAGTTTAGCTCATTTATACTTCACCAATTGATCCATAGTTGATCCAAGAGTCACTGTAGTATGCTAACAGCATTTGCAAGAAGATTTTTTTTACGGGGATATATGAATTCAATATAATCTTTTTATGAAATTTGCAGTTTGTTTTGAATGAGAAAATTTTTAGAAAAATGAAAAGATACCGAAGGATATGAAAAGATCAATGAAGATCCTTTCGAGTGATCAGAATCTTGGTATTGGTAAAATTTGTTTTTAAAGTATATACCCAGATGAGTTCTTCCATAGTCCTACTTTTGTTCCTTGAAAAATTTTGAAAATTTTCCTGAGGTTCCTTCTTTTTTTCTTTAATGGTCAAGAAGTTTTCCCGAGAAAAGTTCTCAGAATTTGTTTTAATTACTTGACGTTCTTGATGATGCAGTTTGTTCTTAAAATTCTGGGTCGACCAATCTTTTATGCCTCGCATTTTGATTCAAGATTTAAGCATTATTTTTCTAAAAAAAAAAATAACATTTCAACATCATTAAATTTACGCCTATCTCCTCTTGTCAAAGGAAAAGACCAAGTGCCATTATATAATCGTTTAGAACATAATCTAATAATTGCGAAAAGGAAGATGTTATATGCAATCTTTAAAAACATTCCTTCAAAACACAATGTTTTTTTTAATTAACAAAAGCCACATCATCTACTCATAAATTTCAAAATACCCTTTAATATTAAGAAGTGTGGTTATATAGCATTTTCTTTACGCAAAAATAAAAAATGGGCGCAATGTGAAACAATGAAGTGTTTGCTCAAATACTCAAAGAGAAAATTTTCCAAATAATAATAATGATAAAAAAAAAACTCAAACTGATTTGGTGAACATGAACTACATATGCATATAAATGAATTTCACAACAATTATTAAGAGAAACGAGATAAAAATTCCTATGTAGTCATTCAAATATTCAGTTCTATAAATCATTAAATAAAATTGGATTAAATATCTTTATATAACTAAATTTTTTTGGAGAAAACCATTGTTATTGTGCAAAGAGAGAATAGAAAGCTTAGTATTCAGATTCAGCATCCCCTATTCCCCTCAATGAGGCATTCAGCAAAGTTAAAAGTCCCAAATGTAGAGCTACTTGTTTTTGTTCCTCTCATAGGTGATCAATCAACATCAGCGTAAGCTATGGGTCGGAAATGATGCCATTTGTTCACGTCACCTGTCTTTATCCAACTCTTCTTCAATTGGATCCCCCTTTATTATATAGTGAATGAATTTAGTAAGCAACAACGCGGAAGATGATTTGAAGATTCTTGCTTGCTTTTGGCCCGATCTTCTCCTTTCTTTCTTTCTTTCCTCTCTAGAATCTCTCTTTTTCACTCTCTCCAACTTCTATTGGTGACATTGTTTGGTTGGGGTTTGAATTGGTCATCAACTCGGCCTTCTCTCTCCCTTCCTATAGACTATAATAACCCATCCGACCACATTTTGTTATTATACAAATTTCGCTTCCCAGACATTCCCCCCCCCCCCCCCCTTTTTCCACCTCATTTCTTTCCAATAACCTCCTCCCTTCCGGGTTTCTTTTTCCCAACAAAGCCCCTTTTCTTCTTCTTTGCATGCACAGCTTTACCATCTACACCCATACTGGTTAATTTATATCTCTTTCTTTGCCAAATTACCTACCATCATTTCCCACTTTCTAGGTTCGTTGTTTCTCTTCATTTTCCCTGCTCCCACATTTGGGTTTTTCTTTCCTAGTGCAATTTGGATCTTAACTTCTTCTATGTTTGCTTTTGGCTCTTCATTTGTGTACGCTTGTGATTCTCACAAAGCTTCAATTTTCTCTTGACATAATCTAGTATTGCTCCTTTTTTTTTTTTGTTTAAGCTTTTGAACCCCAAAGCTTGACAAAACAATTACCTTTGAGAGCGTATAGTTTACCACATATTTGGGCAGATTTGTTTTTAATGGAAAAAACGATGGATTGTGGTCAAAACACTCTTTTGAATGAGCTAACACAGGGGAAAGAGCTAACTAATCTGCTTAGGATGCATCTCCATTCTTCTTCATCTCCCGAAACACGCCAAGCCTTACTTGAGAAAATACTCTGTTCCTATGAGAAAGCTCTTTCAATGCTGAATTGGAATGGTTTTGTGGTTGAAACTAAGCCAACAGGTAGCACGTTGGAATCCCCTGGTTCCATTGCCAATAGCAGCCCAGGAAGCGAGGGCTCTGATAAAAAAGATGTGTTTAAAAAGAGGTAATAGACGACTTGTACCATTTTCTTATTCTCACAGTTTTGTTTAACAGTATTAAGCAGTAGAATTTGATCCAAGTTCAATATTTTTTACTATTCATTGGTTCCTGCTACAGAAAAACATCGTCCGGATGGACGGAACAAGTTAGGGTTTGCTCTGGGACTTCATTAGAGGGGCCTCTGGATGATGGATATTGCTGGCGAAAGTACGGGCAGAAAGATATTCTTGGATCCAATTGTCCAAGGTGAGAAAAAAAAAGGTTTTAACAGTTAAAATATTATTTCGTATATACCAAACGATATCTTGTTATATTTTTCTTTTCCTTTTTTAAATAAGAGGATGGCTCAAAATTACAATAATCACATTTTACAGCTTATCCAAAGCAAAATACCTTTTTAGTCACGATGTCACATGTAGGTGGGGTCGTACAAATAGTGGAATTACCAACAAGAAAACAAAAAAAAAAAAAAAAGAACTTTAAACAAATTTTATCCGTTGATTCTGTTCAAAAGACAGCTTTTGAAAGTTTTTGGCTTGATTGGCGATAATCGAAACCGTTCATTTCGTTTTTGTTTTTTCAGTTCATTTGTGGGGTCCGTGACAATTTCACCCGGAGATTCTAGTTATTGTCGTTTGTGATTGCTCCATGAATGCATATGTCGTACATTTTTCACTAATAACATGAACAAATTATAAGAGTAGAAATTCCAACTAGTTTAGCGCTTTTATATTTTTCAACTAAATAATAGAACAATGGAGGAGGGAAGAACTTGCTCAAATTGTATGTTAGATGATTTTGAAAAGTCAGTGAGTTTGACTGTTTTACACCCCCGGAAAAGGAGGCCTTAATCATGAAATTAAACGAGTAACAACAGTCAAAACGTCACTAAAATCACTAATTTTAACATTTAGAATACCCACCCCCTAACCTTGTTAGTTGGTATCATCAAACCCGGATTATAAGTTTAAATGTTTTTGACAATGCATTTTTTGATAGGAGTTGCCATAGGGACCACAAAATAGCGTCCAAATTCAATTATTCTCCTTTTGGGGTTTTGATATTTGTACATCTCTGTTGAGCATCGATAGAGACATATTGCCCTGTTTTTACTTTCTTGGAACTTAGTCTAGTACACGAATAATCATCCATTTGTATTTACGCGCAATTTCAGGGGATATTATCGATGCACTCATCGTCACTCACAAGGCTGTTTAGCCACAAAGCAGGTTCAAAGATCAGACGAGGACCCTACAATCTTTGAGGTGAAATATAGAGGACGACATACCTGTAAACAAGCCTCTCACTTTGCTGCCACGTCTGTACCAGTGACGAGAGAGTCCAAACTGAAAGGCAATCATTCTCGACAAAAGCAGCAGCAACTTGAAGAGAAACAAAAACAATCACAAGAGGTGTTTTTCAGTTTTGAGGCAGGGCTTAAGGTTAAAACAGAGGACTTGGACAATAAGGAGGACATTTTTCCTTCATTTCATTTCCCTGTTGAATCAGAAGTGGAAAATAGCATGGTTATTAAGACCCTAATGGAAAATGATATCATGGGAAACCTTTCCCCGGCATTTATTTCTCCAGCGACATCTGAATCCAACTATTTTTCAGTGTCACCGTGCCACATGGGCAGCTTTGGTTTAGGCCAAAATGTGCAGACTTCTGACTCTGATCTTACAGATATAATCTCTGCACCAACTTCAGTTACTAATTCACCAATTGGAGACCTGGATATCTCATCACTTGATAAGTTGGAATTTGATCCGAGCTTCCTATTTGATAATCCTGAATTCTTCTCTTAATTAGGAGCAGAAGGAGAAAAGAGATATGTAGTGCACTAATTTGTCAAGCTCAGCCAGCATTAGAGAAGAGATTGAGGAGTGTTCGTATTGGCTGTGACCAGACGGCAATGTATCAGCCTCTGATCGGAGCTAGCCAGGAGAACTATAGGTTGATTAGGCAGTTCAATTCTCAGAAATAATTTGTTTTTCCCTTCATTTGCCTTTGATTATTCACTTACCTTTCTTAATTCAGGAGGCTTGAGAGTTGAAAGTGTTTCTTGTAACGAAATCACAAAAAAAAAAAAAGAGTTGTAACCTTCCATCCATGTAAAATTTTCTAAATCTTCAATTTATATGTGATAGTGATGTTTTGTTGATAAATATGTGAACTAGCCTTACTAATGAATGGTTTAGTGATACGTCTTTTTCCAGTTTTAAAACAAACAATATTTCAACTCAACCTTCCTTTTTCCAAACAATAACAATAGGAATGAGTTTATCTTTATATGATGTTTAAAAAAAAAAGTAAAAGAAAGAAAAATATTTAACTGGCCTGGCTAAAAAAGCTTTCTGAAGCAATCTCATCATTGTGGGAAATACGTAGGTCATCCATCCAGAGCATTAAATATGGTGATCAGAAGCAAATTAAAAAATCCGAGAGGTTGGCTCTTAACGGGTAGCTGGAAAAAGTATACCAAATTCACCTAGCCTTAACCCGCAGTTGATACTGTCTTCCAGTATCATTTTGACATCACATTTGTAGTCAAATCCAACTTCTTTTATTTTTGAGGAGCCCCAAAAGATTTCCCTCTTTAAGTTCTCCACAAACCTGAAACCAATCATTACTAAATTAATAAATCAAAGTATGAACAAAATCTGTGATTTTGGCTCCCAGGTTCAGTTGTAACCTGGTTCACGGCCTTAAGCTTAGGTAAAGGGTCATGGAAAGTTACTCATCAGGAATGTCGATATCTGGATAGGGTTTTCGACAATGAGACGCAATATCTGCAGAGCTCAAATATGCACAGAGAAATCTACCACTGATGGAGGGCTTCTCCAGACAAAAATGTGAGCATCGCAAACATCTTTAATGTGCAAAATTGGGACTTTTCCCAACAATTCCTCTAAAAACCTTAGCGTGTGATACCTCCTTTTGTTCTTTGTGGCTTGTGAAATGAGCACTCCCATGCTTTCAGGCATGCTCGACAGAAGTGTTTCCCCTCCCACTAGACCACAAACAAGGCTTACAACCTCTAGCTCTCCATCGTATCTCAACAATTCTTTCTCGGAAAGTGTTTTTGAGCAAGTTTATCCCTGCAATACAAATTCCCAATATTTTAACCTTGTGATTTTCTGATATATTTGCATCAGCAAGGAAGAAATCAGTTCAAATCTTTTACCACCAACAACTCGTTACTGTAAGGAACTGCTACATCTTGGAGAGTCCAACAGGATTTGTCCATCCAATCTTTGAAGCCCTTTCCAATTCCCTTTACAGGTGATGCAGCCGTCACAGAGGCTGTGTAAATGAGTCGCTTCACTGATCCTGATTTAACGCAAGACTCCATAATACTCTTCACTCCAGCCACAGCAGCCTCGGATGTGTTTTTGAACTGTATAATATTGTTTAATAGGTTAAAGGAAATTAAGAGGACCATTAATTAAGTCTTAAAGCTTTACTGATGATAAGTGATTATGCATGTTTCATGTTGTTAACAAAAAATAATTGAGCAAGGCGAGTTATGGTCATATTCATGCATGTCATCGTGTTAAAACTGGATAGAATTTTCTTATGCATGTATTATATACAACTCCACTGTTATGGATTGCAAAATGGCCTGTTTTCTTGAAAATTGTAGTATTAAATTCAAGCATTAATGAAGTGAACCAAAAATTGAGCTCTCTCTCATGATTTAACTCAAAAAATAGAGAAAAACAATTGCCCAAAACCTCCAACCAATCAATTGAATGCATAATATCAAATTGATTTCACCCTGAACTGTAATGGCTATGGTGAAGGAAAATTTAATGTTGTTCGTATCAGTCGAGAAGTACCTTCTTCCCCAGTGATCACTGCACTAAAAATTCTCGGTGCTCACTTCACTTAATTATTTCGCTTAACAGCCATTAAAGAAAGTACTGTGATGTGTAAGGAATTCAGGCAAGGAAGCATTTTTCTTATTGATTCCCTTGTTCTTTTAAAAGACCATTCAAGGGCTAAATTTGATTGAAAAATCCTTGACTTTTACCAATGAAAATGAAACAAAACCACTACACCATAAAGTCAAACCTGAGAATGAAAGGGTTGATGGAGCAAGGGGGTGGCCATATGGATCACATATTCACAACCTTCAATTGCATGTTTGAACGTACTGGGATTATACAAATCAGCTTCATACAGTCTTAATTTAATCTCCGCATTTGGGAGGCTCTTAAGAAGGCCAACCTTACTTGGATCTCCTGCAATATGCATGTCACAAAACAAATTAAACACGAGCAGAACAACCATTTCCGAAGACTTGACGTATAGAGGAGAGGAGTAGAATGAAAACAAACCCAGATTCCTTATCGTCGCAAGGACAATGTAACCCTTTTCTAGGAGTGTTTTGACAAGCCAAGAACCAAGGAAGCTTGCTCCTCTTGTAACGCAGACCTTAGTTTCCTTCTCCATTGAATGAGGATCTGAGGAAATTACAGTATGATTTATTATTATTATCATTATTGCATTGGTTTCTTTAGTGGGTTGTACTTGTCATCACTGCTCTTTTAAAATATGTTTCTTATTCTAGTAAAGTCTCGTGGAATGCAGACAGAAAGTGACCATTTTGGCTTCATCTGCGTCTGCACATCGTCGCATGTCTTGGTTTGTTTCCGCTGGCGAATTTTTTAGTTACTGATTTCAATGCGAATAAGTTATCTGCAAACCATAGGAAGGGCAATTAGGCTTTCATTTATCAAAGGATCAAGCCTCCACGTGATGCAAAGTTAGAAGGCCAAGTAAAATGACAGCATGGCGGTCCTGCTGCATTGAGATTTAAGAGTGATTCTTTTTGTTGTTTTTTGCCATAGAGAGATTTTGCGACTAATTTTTATATAATCTTTATCTACTTTTTTCATTTCTTGAAATTATTTTGTTTAAGGTTTCTATATAAGTAAGTGCACAGCGCTCATGGTGCAGAGGGTGATCAATTGATCATCCATACATGATAGACCATTGTCTGACCACATACTCTTTTGCTGAAAAATGCTATGACTCAATTTCCCACGAGATTTTAAAAACTGTTGGGAAGGTATTGGTTCAATTAATACTTTCAACATTTGTTCAGGAAAATGTATAATACCGAGTGGCAGCATTCCATGTAATTATTAGAAACAGAAATATTAGTCTTCAGACTTCAGAGGATGGACTTCTAAGGGATGGCAGTTGGAAGAGATGTCAGTTCAGGATATTGAAAATTCACCTAGCTTCAGATCACAGTTGATACTGTCCTCTAATATCGTTTCAGATCACAGTTGATACTGTCCTCTAATATCGTTTTGACATCATATTTGTACTCAAATCCAACTTGTTTCATCTTATTTGAAACACAAACTATTTCTTTCTCCGACTTCTCCACCAACCTATTATTTGAGAATGTAATACTTTTATTATTATCTTGGTTGACATAGATTTTTTGGTTACGTACGAGTTAAAATAAATATTAATATTCAGAATCAGGCAAACATAATCCATTTTCCACATAAACTAGGTTAAATTTACTACTACTTTATATAATAAAAGCACAATTGACCATCGAACGAGATTAACAAATGCAAACTTAATTGGCAACTTTTATCGAAGATATACAGATCCAGTGACAGAGGTGTGGAGGGGAAGCAAGACAATAGAGATGTTTAAAGTAAAGGTCCAAATCCAATTATAGCTCATGTATTCTGCGTAAATACGTTGCGAAATCAATTACTACTGAAGATCACCTGTTCTCCTTGCACACTTGATGGAATCATCTATTATCATCTTTAAGTCACATTTATATTCAAAACCCTTTTCAATGAGCCTGGTCGAGCCCCACTTGATATCTCTTGTTGGGCCAACCAAATACCTGAAACCCATAATTCCATTGCCTCAATTAGAACATATTATACCATGCAGGAGAACTAGTTAATTAAGAAGCCTTGGAGGCAATTGGAGGCAATTTTGTAATTGTTAAACAAAAATCTGTGCAATCCGAAAATCCAGTGAGTTAATGGTCTAATCATGGATGAATAGCTCGGGTACTTACTCTTGTTTGACATGAAATTCTGGGTAATATAGTTGATAGCATCTAGCAATTTCAGCTGCCGAAACATAAGAGCTAGCACATAAAAATCTACCACTGATTGGAGGATTCTCCATGCAGAAAATATGAGCTTCGCAAACATCATCGATGTGTACGATCGGAAGTTTCCCTACCGTTTCTTCCACAAATCTCAAAGCCTGGTAACACCACGTTTGATTTGTAAGCTGTGAAATGAGTGTAGCCACACTTGTAGGGGTATAAGATAAAACAGTATCTCCTCCCACAATGCCACAAGCTAGGCTTACCACCTCCAATCCACCATCCCTTGCATTAGTCCCATAGCTCAAAAGTTCTTTCTCCGCCACTGTCTTTGATTCTGTGTAATCCTACTAAAAAAAAAAAAATTTCCGATTAGGAATAGTTTGAAGCAAATAACATTACCCCAAGGGAGAACCAGCCAAACATACTGTTATTTAGTTCTATTAATTTCTCTAATTTATTTCTTTTAACAAATTAAGCAAATTTAAATGAAAATATATTTATTAATAGTAGAAAGTTATTTAAATAAAGTTTAATTATAAATAATTATTTTTTGCTCATTTAATTGGAATTTTCATTTTGAAAGAACGAAGCCTAAAAGAATTTCTTTGGAACTTGCCTTTAAGAAGTCGTCAGAGTAAGCAAATGAAAGACCAAGGGGCGTCCAACAAGTGTCATCCATGGAGTCCTTGAAACCATTCCCATCATCTTTCATTGGGGATGCAGAACAAACAGAGCCAGTGTAGATTAATCGTCTAACAGTACCTGATTTTATACAAGACATTGCAATGCTATTTATTGCAGAAACTGCAGCCTCAGTTGTGTTCTTAAACTGTTCATATATGTATATGAAAAAAAAGAAAATCAGACTGTTAGAACTTTCATGGCATTGGCTAGCAAGACAGTATGACAAGGTTTAAAGTGGATAATCCAGAGAGAAAAACCTGAAAACCATCAACGTGTTGGAAGGGAGTTGCAACATGTAAAACAAACGCACAACCATGAATCGCTTGCTCAAACTCATTTGGATTGTACATATCAGCTTGAAACAAAACTAATCTTGTGTTTGCATGAGGAAAGCTTTTCAGGAGTTCAACCTTTGACAGATCTCCTGTCACAACAAATAACAATTCCTCATGGAAAATTGCATTAGAAATACCATCAAACGCGTTGACACAAATTGGACAGAGATAGTGTACGTACCCAAATTTCTCAACGTGGCGTGGACAGTATATCCTTTCTCTAATAGCTTCTTGACCAGTGAAGAGCCAATGAAACCAGCGGCTCCTGTAACACATACCCTACAGTTAGCCTTCTCCATTACTGCAAATTTCATAAACAATTTGGGAAGCCTAATGTGTGTGTATATATATATATATTTAATTACGTTACATATTTTTTCTTTTACAATATCTTCATAATTATATCAGAATTAGCAAGTAACCACTTTAAAAAAGTTCGTTTTTTCCTAAAAAAAACTCAATTGCAAGTCTCAAGCTCGTCATTTCTTCTAGTTTCATAAAAAATATCTATATACATTACAACTACAGCTAGTCTTGGAAATGTTCTGGAACTTGTCACTTTCATAGTTTGATGACTAGGAAATGTAGCCCTCAACCTCACGTGGCTCGTAATGGACGACTCTATTTTACCAATTAACCAGGGTATCATTTTTATTTTCTACGAATTAGAGCCAAAGACAAAAGACAAAAGACAAAACAATGACATCTCTCAGTCTCATGTTTCGGTTTCATTCTAGCACCTTTGGTTGTTTAATCGAATGGAATGGATTGCGTAATTGCGGTATAATACCTCTTGGGACACGCAACAGCATGGGCTAGAAACTGGGTCTCCAAAAGTTACACGGGGCCTGCCCGCTGGTGCTCCATAACCTCTGGCAATGGGGCTGGATTGGGCCAATGTTGTATCCAGAGAAGTCTTAATAAGCAGATAATTTAAACGGGCCAGACATAGGTTTTCGCTTCCATAAATTAGGCCCTACTACAAAAAGTGGGTTTAACGAAGTTTCCATACGAAGGTTCGTACTTCCAAAGGAGAGAAAAAGACAAACCCAAAGCCTGACATTCGTAAACCCAAAAGAAAAATGTAGCGGAGAAAATGTCGAAATGAAAGCTAGTTGTACCATCCACATCTGCTTCACTGAGTGGAGATTTTGAAAGCAACGAAAACTTGAAAGGACAAATCATTGATGACCAATAAGTACAAGAAAGAAAAATATTTGCGTTAAAGTAATAAGATGAAACAATTATACACAACTTTTCACCTTCAGAGGTGTTGACAATTATACCCATTTTAATGGATAGATTACCTAACAAAAAAAAATCTAAATTGAAGGGCTGAGAAATAAAATTTTGATGCATAAATATCTTCTAGATGGAAATGATGACAAGATCCTTTTAGCTCTCGAATCATTCTACTTTTGACGGCTCTATAAACAATGATTACAGTAACTTTTCTTTCCCAGTTTGTTGAACTTTCTCTTTTACGAGTTCTTGAGTGAAAGTTTGAAAGGTGCGAGAGAGAGGAGTACTTGAAATGTAAAGAAATTAAAGGAATTTATTAGATATGATTTTATAATTTATAAGAACTTAGTACAAATTATAAATATGAAGTTTAATATAATTAGTTTATATAAAAAATATTTAATATATTTATAATTTTTTATTTATTTTTATATTAAAATTTCGTTCGAAAAAAAGATATAAAAAATGCCGTTCACCTAATCTCACCTCATCATTGTAGATAAAAAAAAAAATTTGCAGCAATGTGTTGAGTTAATTTTGGGAAAGAAAAGAGTCAATGACCATGAATCAATGGTGCCAAACTATTTCATCGTATATAAAACGGATATAGAAAAGGAAATCGATAGATTATATATCTTGGTTGGAGTTAGTAGAATGGAATGGTGATGAGTCACAATCACCATATACGTAAAAAAAATATAGAAATTGAGAATTACCCAATGATGCTAAAGGCCTAATGAATTTGGCACTAATTGTCTTTTTTTTTTTTAATTAACTTTAGGATAGATCACCATATACGTAAGAGGTTGAATTGTGCTCTTCAGTCTTCTGATCCCTTGGTTTGCCCTATTTAACTTGGATTGTTAAACTAATAAGCAGAAACCCGGCCGATACCAGTTCGGGGTTTTGACAATTATTGTTGGATCGTAGATATGTCTGAGGTCAATCCTAGAAAATTCTGGTAGTTCTCCAATACGTTTCATTGTTCATTGATCAAGCAAATATTTCTAAACACAACAACTACCACAACAATATTGTAAATCAGTGTCTGTTAAGAGTTTGTTTTCTGTTTCTTCTTATCATTCTTTGTTCTGCCTTTAGCTTCATACTAGACGAACGGTGAAAAAGTCGTCTCTGCCGCCTAGTCTACTTCTACCCTATTGCCTATGAACGATACAGTGATTCCTCTCCATCTATCATGCATTCCAACAAAGACAATTTAATAAGGACACATAAATTAATCACAGCCACAAGCATAAGAAGCCATAATATTGTTAAATTCATTTGTTCGAGAGCCTAGAAGTTTCAATATTGATAGATGAGAGTTGAAAGATCACTTGATAACGTAATTTGGTGAGACGAATTGAATTTTTTAAAATTTAATTATAAAATAGCTATTTCGATTACTTAAAAAAACTATAAATTGCTTACTTAAATCTTGATCCATCTCAAAAATAGTTTATATAATTTTTGTATAACATTGAATTCAGCCCAAAAAATGGCAGAGGATGAAAGCTTTGTCTTTCCCTCTCACACTTGTTTTGACCAAGAAAACATTATCCCAACATCCACAAACACAGTTTTGTACAGAATCCTAAATTACAAGCTCGATCGTGGATGACACGTCGCTGTTGAAGAACCAAATGACGCTAAGCTTAGGTAAGCATCTCTTAGATAGCACATCCCAACTTTGTCCACTCGTCATTATTTGAATAAATGAGTTTCGTGGTTGTTTCTTTTTAAACTTAATTAAACTTGACTTTGCTCCTTATTAAACCATTTTATTTTAAATCAACAAGTAATTTATTTGAAAGTGAATAGCCTTATCTCCATTCCCCCTTTTTTCCACCTTCGTGGATCTAATTAAATTATTACTACTAAATTGATGTTGTAACTAATTGCTTTATGGAAGGGAAATATTGGAGGAGTGATTTTGTATCCGAAATTTTGAAGGTTCACAGTGGGGTAATTTTGGATTGGATGAGATGAAGAAAAAAAATCCCACATTGACCACATCGTACTAAGTAGATTATCAAAAATCAAAGTATGAGGTCAGAAATCATGTTTTTCATCTAGACAAACGGGTATAGAAAAAATGTTACCAGAAGTCCTTTTCAGTCTGTCTCCATTTTTTTTGAAGAGTATGTTGTCCAATAAAAAGACTGCCCCAAACGTGTATCATTTGACAGTTTCAAAGTTCAAATGTTTATCAATCTTTCTTTTTTCCTTTAGTTATTTCTCTGAATTGAGTAAGATCGTGTTAATAGGAATGTTGGGGTGGCAAAAACTGATGAAAGTAAAAAAAAAAAAAATCGAGTGTTGCAGAACTTAGTTGATCATGCTTCCAGAAGAGAAATGAATTGTCTGTAAATCAACTGTATAATGGATGAGGAAGATAATAATTGATATGTATTTGAGACATTACGGTAACCACCTACCTTATTTGTTTCCCCGTTCTTTGGCAATAACTTTTTCTTTTCATTTCGCTTTCCACAGTTGCCATACATATCAATGGACCGGATTTATCTTCATGTCAATGCCAGCCACCTACTTTCAATCAATGCCTAGTGTGTACATCACTAAAATGTGAAATAACAAGTTTTCTTTGGTCGTTGGGTCCACCCCTCTAGCATGATTGAATGCTCTTATGCACTTCAATGCAATACTATACTGTGGCCGCACCAATCTCATCTACTTCATAAAAAAAGCAACAAAGGTAAAGGAACGGAAGAAAGAACTTTAACTAGAAACTCCCAAGAAAGCAAACTAATTACTCTCTGTATATCAGCCACTTCTAGCAGTCAACCACATATGCTAACTGTTGTTACAACCAGATCGCCTAGAACATATACAGGAAAATGGTAAAAGAAATGTAGAACATAAAGTTTAAATTATACTAATTTTCTAGATGCCTGTCTGATTCCTCCACTTAGTAACAACCTCAGAGAGTGCCTTGGTGGAAGACCCATTTTCACCAAGTACCTTTGCGGCAGCTTCTTTCAGGTCTTTGATTCTATTTCGAACACCTTTCCCTTCTTCACCTTCCATTAGACCCTTAACAGCCTTTGCAATCTCGTCTCTGCAAACCAAGCCGTTTTCATTGGGTTTTGGTCTCAATGCAACTTTAATATCCTCAGTTAGCATCACGGCATTCATTTTTTGCTCAGCGTAAAGTGGCCATGCGATTAAAGGCACCCCATTAACAACACTTTCAAGAGTTGAATTCCATCCACAGTGGGTCAAAAACCCTCCTGTAGAACCGTGGCTCAGCACTTGAGCCTGTGGTGCCCACGATGGCACCACTAGACCCCTTCCTTTGGTCCTCTCCAAAAAGCCCTTCGGTAGAAAATCAAAAGGGTCCTTCTGACTCCCTACACTGAAAAATGTGGCGTTAGCAACCTTATCATTTGGGCTTCTCACAACCCACAAAAATCGTTGCTCACTCATTTCCAATCCCAGAGCCAACTCATTTATTTGGTCATAAGACAGGGTCCCACCGCTCCCAAACGAGACATACAAAACCGACCCATGTGGCTGATCATCCAGCCACTTCAGACAATCCGACCCATCAGCTTTACTACTCGGATCAACGTTAACAAGTGGACCAACCGGGTAAACCGGTGGCTTACCGGATTCTTTTTCCTGCAAAGCTTTTATTGGTCCTGCTTCCAAGTCCGCGAAACTGTTCACGATAATTCCTTCAGCCAATCTATACCTCTTTGTATGATGAAGAAGCCACTTGTAAGCATCGTTTTTCCTGTCTTGAACTGGGTCCAGCAATTCTTTCCCGTGAATTGGTATGCAACCTGGTATTGTCACCGGTTCTGGCAGGTCCCTGTACTCACATGAAACCATTTGATCAAGCTTTGGCAGGTGAAAAAACAGAGACAAGGCCATGGCTGTTGAAGGGAAAAATATGTACGGCGAGACGTTAAATTCTCTAGCAACATCAAATGCGTCAGTCCCAAAAAGATCAACCACCAAAGCAACAAGTTTGGTCTTTGCAACCAGCGACTTCAAAGCTTCCCGAAGGAAAGAAACGGAGCGAGCCACCGTTAAAGAAATCAGCGTTTCAATTTTTGAATCCTCAGGGAAGTCACTCAAGTCAACACGAGGAAGAAAAACAGAATCTATCGAACTTGGAAGAGAATCAAGTGTTGATTTTTGAGCTTTAGTTGGTGAATCATCGGTTGGGATAACAAAGGTGACAGTGAGGTTGTATTGGTGGACGAGTCGCTTGGCGAACTCAACGAGGGGAATGAGGTGACCCATCCCAGGGCTTGGCACAATGGCTATATGGGGTGTTTGCGCTTTTTCCATGGCAACGAAAACTAAAACAAACTACTCTTTCTTGCCCCTTTTTCTTTCTTGTTTTTCTCCTTTCTCGTCGAGCTTTAGGTATGGAGGAAAATGAAGAACAAAGCAGAGGTTTATATAGAAGGTTGGGTTAACATTATTTTGCGTATTATAAAGCAGGGGAATTAAGACGATTTGTTTGTTTATTTTGATGGTAAAATAATACATGGCTGATTAAGAATACGTACTCAATTTCTCTTAATGTGGGGAATTGCTGATGAAATGGGGAAAAGAATTTCTGGAGGAAAAAGATATCCACCTATCTAATTACTTGTGGGGTTGATGATGTCAGTTCGACGTAAGGCTTATGTTATGTAATACTTTTTCTTTGCCTTTTATTTCGTATTTGGATTTGAATGATTTAAAATGCTATTCAGAATTTAATGGTAATAATTTAGCTGATATTTAAAGAAAAAAAATATAGTTAACATGTTGTCTTTTATTAAATTCATTTAATAAAGATAAACATAATTAAAAAAAAGTGTAATATGCCTCAATTTTATTTATAAAATTAAAGAATTAAATTGTTAATATATTAAAAACGAACTCACCCAAATTTATTTTTATTCATAAAGGACCTTGTTATGGTGAGATGCGCAGCTTTTAACTCAAATCATTATGGGATAGACTGAACCAGGCCGCCCCATTTGTAAACAGTTAACTCAAATCATTATTGTATTTTTTTCCTCTTATGGATTTAATCTCATCTTCAGGCTTCTTTATGTCCTCGCTGCCCCTACTTCATCCATATTCATGCATTTACCGAAAGCTGACATACAGTATAAATCCCAGAAAAAATTAAAAAAATTTTGTACAAAAAAAATGAAATAAAAACAGTGATTTTGATTAACAAAATGAAGAGGCAGCTTAGTAACTGTTGTTCCACTCTTCAAAATGAAGATCCCAAATTGTAATTCAACTTCTACTGATCCAACTAGTAATTTTGATTAACATAAAAAACTATATGGACAATTAGACATGAATCCTGGAAAAAAATTACTAGTCAATTGTTTTAGACCCCTCGGACCCAACATTAAAAGGAGTGGTCCTGAAATTTATTGCTAATTAAGCTGATGATTTGAGAAAAAAGAACTACTCTTAATACATGTTTGTAAGTGGTCTGTATTCATTCATTTGCCAAATACTACAAAATGTTAATTATTTTCAGTTCCTCTCTAGGGATGTCTCACAAATTGATAAATCACATGAATTAACTAAATAAAATTTTAGGTTTTATGTATATAAAATCAAAATTTTAATTTTAATTTATTTATTCATTTGACAATTTTCCAATCGTGTATTTGAATGGTTAAAATATTAAAAAATTTTAAACTTTATCATTTTATTTCAATAATTTTTTATAATTTTATTTTATTTAAATAAATTTTTTTATTTTTTCAATTGAACTTTTATTTCAAAAAAAAAATTAATTTATATTTAAAATTTATTTAGGTATAAATTAAAAATTAAAAACCTATTTAAATATAATTTAAAATTTAAAATTTTATTTAAATACAAAATAAAAATAAAAAAATGTGTTCAAGTACAATAAAAATTATAAAAATTTATCTAAATAAAATAATAAAACTCATGATTTTTTTAATTATTTTAACCTATCTAAATTATTTCCCCTTTTTCCTGTTCAATAATTGTTTTCCTTTTGTTCATTTATGAATTATGACAGGCATTGGGTTAGCTTTTTTCTGATTTGTCCATGATTTATATGCAAGTGGGCTCAATCCTTTCCCCTATCATAGCCACTGTCGCCAAACATTCCAGAAAAGTACATACAAGAAGAAATGTTCTCAACTTACACCATACCAGAAAAAGAAATTAAATTAAATGTATTTTTTTTCTTATTATTCAATTAATTAATTTAAAATAAAAATAATTATTATTATAAAACTTATCACTTGCAATAACGTTGATTAATGAGTGCATGTAATAATAGGATATTACCATTCTATTAGAAAATAATCCTTTTTGTCGTGAAGTTCATGTTTTTCACATAAAAACCATTGCAGCTTGACGGTGATATCGAAAACAAATGAGAAGAGAAAAGAATCCTTATAATTGGACAATATTGTTGTATGTTTCCTCAATTTTATCGGGACCATCGGTGTCTAGTTACCTAGTTCGATAATAACGTAGGAAATACAAGTTTAATTAAATTTGGGTCATCTTATCACAAATTATCGAATCAATCTTACCATAGGAATATTCCTGTAATATTTCTTAATCTTCTTGGCCCATGTACGATTTTTTTTTTTTTTAGTTAAAAAACGTTAATGATTTATACATGCAAATTATTTGTTCAACTTACCTAATCGTAGGAAGAAAAAAGAATTGACAGGTTAAGGGGCGGATCTAGCTTAAGGTAGGGTGATTATATATGATCACCCTAAACATTAAAAAATAAAAAAAAAATTTGAAAAAAAAAATCTTAGACACCTTAACAATTTTCGCTTAAACATATGTTTTTTTGATAAGATTAATAAAATTGTTGACTTTTTTATTTAATTATTATTTAATTACATATATTGAGAATGATATATTTGATAATATTAATAATGATGCTATTATGTCTATTGTTCAAAATATAAAACTGGTCATGGATAATTATAATAATATAATAATATAATTTATACTTTTTTATAATTTTATATATATTATAAGTAGACATATTCGAAAAAATCTTATATCAACCACTATAAACTAAATTATATTATATACTGCACAAGTTAATGTTTTGTACCTGTAATCTACTCAAATTTTTTTATAATTATATATGTACAATGTTGAAACAAATGCCAGAAAATTAGAAAAAAAAAAATTAGAAAGATTCAAAAGGCGTGTATGTGTGTATTTTTTAAAAAATTTTATTCTCGTCATCATATTATTTAATATGTAAAAAAATAATAGGTGATAAGTTTCGAGAATACAATGACTCGATAATTAATTGTATTTTGTATCGATGAAATCAATTTTTTATATATTTATTGATGAATAAAAAATTATTAAACTTTTATAAAGAATTTCTATATCAAACGTTATAAAAAAGTTTGAAAATTATTTGGAGAACGAGGGAACGATCACTGTGACTGTTTCTTCTTTTTTTTTTTTTTTCAAATAAACGAGAAGAGTTATAATTTAACGACAATAACATAGCTATTTATACAAACATAACTATTTAAACACAAGTAATTAATTAATTAATTAATTGTCGTTTAATTCAAAAATTAAACTTAAAAATAAAAAAGATAATTTATTATTTAATTAATTGCAAGTGTCAATTGCCAATGTATCCAGTGTCATTTATACTAATTAATTATCACGTGTCTATGGCTTAAAAAATATATATAAAACTAAAAAATTTTATAATAATGTAAATTGATCAATTCTCGAATAATAATATATATTAAATATATTAATTATTTCATTAATTTAAAACCAACTAAAATTTTGAAAATCCAATTCTATGACCCAATCTTGTATTTTGTCCACTTTAATGATTTTGCCTAATTATATATAACTTTCACTATTCTTTATTTCTCCTTCATTCTTGACTAAAATATTAAAAAATCCTAAACTATTTCACTTTTTTAAAATTAATCCTTATATTTTTATTATAACTAATTAATTTTTTTATTTTTATTTGTATTTAAATAAACTTTTATTTTAAATAAAAATAATTTTTGTTAAAGGGTTTATTTAAGTATAAATTAAATATTAAGGGTGTTTTTGGATATAAATAAGAGATTAAAGTCATATATGGGATATAAAATAATAAACAATATAAGATAATAATTATTTTATATCATGTTTGATTTATATCTAAAGAGTAGGTTAAGATTATAAAAAAGATTAATCATACTATTAACATAAAATGATTCAATAATTCTCAAGTAGAGAATATTATTTTTAATATATGAAATTAAATTTATACGTCTTATTATTCTATTGTATAAATTTTAAAAAATGATATTTTTTAGTAATAAATAAAATTATCATATCTTAATCATTACACACGTCAAAAATAATATAAAATGATATTATTTAATCTAATTTTATTATATTATCTAATTTTATTCATAATTTTATACACCAAACATGCCATAAATGACTTATTTGAATGTAAATTACAGTTCAAAAGCTTATTTGAGTAAAAAAAAAAAGAATTTATCTAAATAAAATATAAAATTTTAAAATATTTTTTATATTTTTACCTTTATTTTTTTCAATGTGAAATTAGTTCCCACACTCGTTTTGAAAATATTCAACATAACCAAAGGAATTGATGAAATTAATACAAATTAAATAATTCAATTATAAAATTTAAATTTAAATTTTACCGCCGACGGTTCAATTCAATATAAATCTTCATTGAAGTACGTCATATACCTCGATCCTAAAATACAAGTCTTTTATATATATTTTCAATAATGACGTTTCAACATATAATACATGACTAGGATATTATAATGTTGTTCTAGAAAAAAAGATATTACAGTTATTTAATTATATTATAATAATTTGAAAACGCATAATTAATGAAGCTTTGATTATATTAATTGAGTTTCAATTTATAACCTGTAATTCAAAGAATCTAGAAGTAGAGCGTGCATTAATTTTATTTTATGTTTTCTCCTAAAGTATTGGTTAATTATTATCTATCATACGTACGTTAAAGATATTATTAAAATGACTAAATGAGTACTATTAAATCCAATTCCATGCAGTAGCAATCAAATCTAATATGACGATATACTGATGACAAGATGATGCAAAAATATGGTATTATCTGCCCAATTATTAATTGCTGATGATAATGACGCCAAACATGATTCTTTAATTAATTTCACTTTCATTAATTTGTAATTAGTTAGCTAATAAAATAAGTATAATTCTTTGAAAAAAGAACAAATAGAAAAGTACTTGATAAAGTAATATAGCTACTTTTCTTTTTTTGGATTTTAATATAATTTTTTACCATTAAAATAATTAGATTTTTGGATGCTTTGATTCCAGCCACTTGTTCTGGTTCTAGAAGAGCGTGAGAATGACGCACGTGTGATGGAGGATGTTCAAACTTTGATATTTCTCATTTTTTTAACGTCAACAATGGAGATGGCAGCCGCAGGCCGTAGAAATTGAAACAAAAACGGCCAACAGAGTGACAACACCCTGTCGTTTTCCCACTTCCAAGAAACGAAGAAGAATATACTATTTGTTATTTTTTTATTTGGGAAAAAAATTTTCAAAAACGTACACTTTCATTAGAAGAATGCATTTCCAATCTATTCATTTCGATTTAATTTAAATTATAACTGAAATTTATTATTTAAATAAAAATTTTAAATCTGAGTATTAAAATCCATATAATTGACCGCTTAAATTACTTGTAATTTTTTTATTTAAAAAATCAATATTTCAATTTTGATACATTGTTAGAATCCCTACTTGTAAGTTATTATTTACATATTAGTAACTCTCTAATGTACTCATTGTAACCGTTGACAGGAAAATTAATTTTTGTAATTTCGACATATAAATTATATAAATTGACATGTCAATAGATAATTTGATAAAGTAAACTATAATAAAGGATAACAAGAGTTTATATTCGTTTCAATTTTGATTCGATTTTTTAATAAATTTATTTAATTTTGTTTTTATTTGACATCAAGTTATTATTTTGGGTATTTAATTTCAATTTAACACATATAAATATGATTTGGATTAGACTAAATAAATTTATTAATATGATTCATAAAAATATTAAATAAGTAAATAATAAATTATATATTTTATATATTCAGGTTGAAACGAAATAATCGTAAACTTATCTTCAATAATTTTTATATTTATATGAAAATTCATCTCAAATAAAAAATATCGTTATCGAATTGAAATATATCTAATTGCATCGAATACAAATATTTTATTATTTTTTAATAGGAAAATGATAAAAACTAAAATAGGGAAAAATGTTTTGTATATCTCTAAGTGTTCAGATGAAAGCATTCTTCAAATGATTTAATTCCCTCCAGAATGAAATTGAAATTTTTTATGTGCCCAAAGTGAAAAACATTTAGGAAGATATGCATACCTCTTTAAAAACAAGAGTTGACCGAAGGAATAAGTCAACCAACACACACCAAACTCCAATTGTATCATGTTAAATATTTGAGGACACTTGGTTTAATTTGTGGCTGAATCCTATTGGATGAGCAAAATTACTTAAAAAAGATTAAACATTTAGGTTCAATTAACTAACTGATTAGACAATGGCCGAAAAAGAAAACACAACTGTTTAGACTTGGAGAGTTTTTTTTTTTTTTTTCGTTATTCTGTCCCAATAATACTCTTGGTTATGTCATTATTACATCATATATTGATTGGTCTAATTAATCTCCAATGGACTCGTTCCAAATTTCCAATGTCTCAATGTGTTGTCATGTAATATTTGGCTTTAGCCTGACCGATTATGCCTTATATATCAAGATGATAAGCATAAGTCAGAAACCCAATTCAAAGCAATTTGATTTGCTATGTTATTATACTATCAAAATAATTCTTTGTGTGAAAATAATGTGAAGTCGAGATAAGATAGACATGCAAAGACGATTGAAAAAGGCAACTCCAGTCTTATTAACCTTGGGATTCTTCCACTCCAGCTCCAATTTAGAGAGCATCTAGAGTCTAGAGTGCTCTTCGGTCAATCGGTGTCCACTTCAATGTTGCAATGTTAGATGGTAGAGTTAAAATTAATAATCAACAATATGCTTGACAATCTCTTTTAGGGGCCATCATTAGCTCATTTTCATTAGCTTTTGGAGTCAATGCGCCACATTTATTCTGTTTCAATGTAACATTGCTTCATTTATGTTTTTAATGCTCTGGGAATAAAGAATAAAGACGCATTTGTTTGAAGGTTCGCCATCATCGATATGCTTGATTTCAAGGACAGAGTTCCATCCAAAGTGGGGTAGTCATCCAGAGGCCGCTGAGACAGGTTAAGGGATCTTGATTTTTAGCCAGAAGATAGCAGCATCAGACATGTCTTCTTTTTTGGGCCAGTTGCAGCATTAGATATCTTAATTTGTCCCTTCAGGGAGTTTTTCGAGTGAGCTCCAATAACCAGATTGGATCAGATGGGTATCTTTATTCATAAGAAACGGTATCATTTTCCAACCTGAGGTCTAACGGTAAATTTTCGTAAAATTTATTGGGTTAAAAGTTTTCAATCCAATCACACACAGCGAAAATAAAATCAAATAATAAATCAAACATACAAGAGATAATAATTTAACGTTGTTCGATCCAACTGACTTATATTCACGGATGAAAAACAAGATCCACTAGTTGTATAAAATTATAAACTTACATCAAATCAATCCTTGTGCACCCTTTCAACATAATCAAAAACATACCCATATGCTCTCATACATCATACCTATGTGGACCCTCTCAATCTCTTCTAGTCCACTCACAAACAAATATACACACCCATAAAACGTAGAGCCCCAATACTCCTATGGGGTGTCTATCCCATAAAGCCCTACAACTCTCTTACATTTTTTTTTCATACCTAACCCTGTAAAGACTCGACTTATTTATAACCATACAAACTTGCCCATTAAAAATCCTTCTCCTCTTAGAATTCTTTTCCTGTAAGTCAAACTTACCTATTAAAAATCTCTTTCCTTTTAGAATTCTTCTTTTGCAAGTCAAACTTACTTATTAAAAATCTTGTTTTTCTTATAATTCTTCTTTTGCAAGTCATCTTGTCAATCAAGCAATATTTGACAAATCTCAAACAAATCTCTAATAAATCTCAAACAAATCTTTTATGAGATTTGAGTCAATATTTTCAACAAAATTAAAGTTTGATTCTCAACATTTACAATTTTTCTTTTCTCAATTATCTCTTGACTTATTTGTGTAAAAAAAAAGATATCATTATCAAGCATTTCTTCACAGCGATAATGGCGCACAACTTATATTCAACGCGCGCACGATAACAAGTCGCCAATCTTTTCTTGAGAATAATTGAATGGAATAAACAAAGACCTGGCAATGTTTATTTTTTCCAAAAAAAAAAAAAAAAAAGAGACATTTGGAGATTAGGAAATTTTTTGGCACTAGCTTTTCAACCGGCCAGGATTGGAAAAGTTGAGAGGTTGAATTTGTTGAACCACAAACCCTTCCTGACGCATGCTGATGCTTTGAATAACTTTCCTCAAGTAATTGAACTCATGCATGTTCATGGAGAAAGAAAAAGGATGGCAGATTTACCTGCCAGGAAAAGTGTAACCGTGCAATTCGCTTATCTGTTTGTTTAATAAAGCTCATTGTTCACACGATATTTCATCATTGGAATAAAATAGCACATTTTTACTACAATGAAACAAAGATCAAAATAAGGCAAAACAAAGCAATTCCTTATAATCAAGGAATTCGGATAGATATAAAATTAGGAAGGAGGAAAAATGGGAATCAGAAAACAACTTTGAATTCATATGCTCTTCTGTTTCTACCATTTGAGCAGTAACTGAGAGAGTGATTTAGTCTTCGGCTCACCTTTACTCGCAGCCTTGGCAGCAGCGTCCGTACAGTTCTTGCTCATTTCTTGACGAATTATCATCCATTTTTCTCCCTTCATAAAACATTTACGACCTTTACTATTTCTTCTCGTTCCACAAGGCCAGTTAAGAAAACCGCATTCATTCTTTGCTCTGCATTTAGCGGCCAAGAAATCATTGGTACGCCGTTCGCAATGCTCTCAAGAATCGGGTTTCATCCACAATGGGTTTGGAACCCACCCGTCGAGCCTCGGCCTAGAATCTCTATTTGTGGAGCCCAAGATGCAACACTAGACCCTTTGCTTTGGTCCTATCCAGAAACCCTTCTGGCAAAAAGCCCAAAGATTCAGTGTTGCTTTGTGAACTAAATAAGAGCCCATAGAAGATTATTCATATGGGGTTCTTACAACCCACAAGAATCTTTGCTTACTGATTTCTAAGCCCAAGGCTAATTCAGTGGGTTGAACAAAAGCGGGAGTTGCCACCTCTGCCAAACGAAACAAACAACACAGAACTGCTCGGCTGATCGTCTAACCTTTTTAAGACATCGAGATTCGTCAATCCCACCACTTGAACATACGGGTGGTTTTATTGGGTTCCTCCAGCTGCAAAGCGTCGGTTATTCCTGGTTCCAACTGTCAAGTCTGTGAAGCTATTCAATATCGTACCCTCAGCCGAACTGTATCGCTTTGCCTGGTTAAGCACCCACTTGTATGAATCTTTGCTTCGATCTTACAGCGGGAAAATCTCTACTGTGAATAGGGATGGAACCTGTGAAGAAAATGGCATCAACTGATATTAGACAAGTCCGACATATATACACATTTTTATACGTAAATTGTACATATATACATTATTTTCTTCAATTTAATTTTTATGTTGTCAAATGTTTATATATATATATATAAAATAAATGTTATTATGGATATATATGATATTTTCCTTTTATTAATATTCTTATTTACAGGAAAATAAAAAAAAGTTGTTTTTTCTGTTTTCCTTTTTACTTTTCAAAGCTTATGATTGGGCTACGAAACAATGGGCTGAGCCCAAATTAACCCAATTGCATGGAACCCAAGAAAGCCTTAGGTTGGGCCAATTGAGAACTGCCCATCTGGCCTGTTCTCTCTAAAGGCCACCGAGGCGGCGGCGGTGTTGAATTACTGAAAATTTGGAGATCTAAAGGGAAAAAGCTCAAACTCATTGAAAAACGACGGGAAAGATGATTTACCGGAAATGGAGTTTGCTAACCGGCCCTGTCGTAATCCTCGGCGGAATCGTGGGAGCAACCGTTGCCGCTCACCTCCTCTTCGTTGACGTAATTTCTTTTGCCCTTTCCCTTCTGTGTCTAAGCCCTAGTTTCACATCTGAATTGCAGATTAGAAATAAATTTTCTTTTTTTTTTTTTCTTTAATTCAATAAATATAGTACTCATTATGAAGTTTATTTGGTTTCCCAAACATAAAGTTTCAAAATTTAATCTATCGAAACAACTGCCGATTATACCATTAGAATATATATATATATATATTTATTTATTTATTTATATATGAGGATCAGATTTTTGAATATCCTGTTATTCTACTTTTTTTTTTTCTTTTAAATTGAAATAGATGTAGCTTTATAATTTTAGGAACATGGAGATTTAAATGATGTTTGTAGCTATTTTATAGATTATAGAAAATCTGGATTCACTGTTCCAAGTTGCTTCATTAGACTCAAATTGAAGTTTATTTTGTATATGAACTTTGAATTAAAGTTGAATTGAATGAAAAATTAAAATGAAGAGATTGGGAGAAAGAAAATGTAAACAAGAAATTGACATTGGAAAAATGAGAAAGGATCGTATTTAGGTGAATATGATGTGTTTTTCCTCATTGTTTGTCAAGGTCTTTTCGTGTGGATTATATTAAAATAGAAAAGCATTTGAATTCATGTAAGGGGTGTCGCTCTGTCTATCATCCTTCAAAAGTTTTGAACATTTGCAGGATCCATATCTTAAACCTAAGAAGAAGTTGACGTATACGCCACCATCAACCAAGTAGGAAGAAGTTGATAGCTGCTTGTTGGTTTTGGCATTAGTTTTTTATGACCTCTCTTGAGCAGCCAAGTGCCCAAGTTGCTGTTTGAAACATGAGTTATTTGTTGAATAATATCAAATACTGTTGTTGTGTAATTTGGTTATCTTCTCTTTTTTCTCTCTTTTAATAATAATTTGGTTATCTACAATGTTCTTAAATATTGCAAATCCACATGATAAAGCCGGTTTCAGCTACCGGAACGATATTTCGTCCCTCTTTTTGGTTTGTTGTTTTGATTATATTTCTTGACATGAGTTTTAGTTATATCTTTGAATGGAATCAAGGCTGTCAGGCCTTGTGTTTTGAACATGAAACATCAAACCTGTTTAGGCTCAAGCTATACAAAGTTTAATACTAATCTGTGTTGCCTAAGAATTCTCTTCGGAATAAGATAAAGATATTTCAAAGTAATCACCTCTGGCCTCCTAGATGTTCAGGATGCCATGATCCCCTTTCACCCCTTCTCAAGGAAAAAAAAAAATCCCCATCATTCAATATAATCAAAGAATTGAACAACCTAGTATCTCAAATCCACCCCAAAAAATGGATAATTATTAATGTGTTCCTCTATTTATAATCTCCATTAGTAAATCATTCCAAGAGTCTATGGGCCCAGGTAAGCACCAGTGCAAACAATCATTCTGTACTTTGGCATTCTTATCCTTTGCAAATGTCTCGAACTGCCGATAAGGTCCGGGGTGCCCATCAGGCCTCAGCAGAGACAGGCGAGTGGTATCTAGCAATTTCAAGATCACCCCATTTTCAGCTCGTATAGAAGCAGCCTTCTCAAATTCTTCCAACTCAATGTCCCGCATCACAGCGTCTACATCTTTCATATCAACCTCACCTTCCTTAAATGGTGCTGTTCTATTACAGGTCCCGCCGCTGAACCATTCTCCATTCTCAAAGTGGTCTGGAGTTGTGGTTCTAAGGAAAATAAAAGCTTTGCGACCATAGTTCAACGTAAAGTTTAGCACTGATTTCAGTGCCTTGCGATAAGCGTAATCAAAACCTAGTTCTGTTAAGTTCTTTCCTGGGCAGTAATGGCAACCTGCCACGGTATTATTCTCATGATATATTGCAGTTTTAAGAAACCACTTTCCACCACCGATAACAGCATAATCAAAGTTTCTGTACTGTTTAGTCCATGTTTCATCAAGTTTATCGAGGTGAAGCTGAATTTCCGATGAAGAAACCCCATTAATATCTTCAAAAATATCAGCTTTCAACAGGAATGGGGTCCAAACCACTGAGAGGGTGAAGTTGTGGGAGGGAAAGTGCCATCTTTTGGATCTGTACTCCTCGTCGTGATAGACCTCGACAGCTTGTTCCACCTGTGGGACATAAGTTGATCACTTATACCATATGAGAATATAATGCCTTCGAACAGGACACAACACAAACATTTACACACAGTTATGAGTTAACATATCAGGCTATGGTGGGTCCTTTTGTCATAACTGTATAGAATGTGCGGAGTGTATGTATAGGTACTACTGTAGGTCAGACGTTGGGTTTGGATTGGAAACTAATTAAATTTAGTCCCACCGTAAATTAGATCATTGCTGGGTACCCAATGCATTGCACAATTTCATTTGTGCGTTTATGAACACTTACTATGCTTTCCAATTTGGTTTAAACTAGTAAATCAAACAGATCTGTAACATGGCAAGAATTTGGCTAACATACTTAAACTGCCTGTTTTAAACACTAATAACCTTTTGTTATGTAGATATCATGAAAATTTTAACTTGCTCTGAAAGTAAGGACAGAATGAACCTGAAGCTGATTGTTTCAGCGTTAGCAAATGAGAAATTTTACATCATCATCAATCTTAAGCTCCCAAAAACATTTAAAAATTGGACAAGCAATTAAAACCCTTCACTTCCATGGTAGGTGAACCAGCTATGAAAGAGACTTAAAAATGTATGCCTAACTACCAAAGCAAAGCTGTCATCCACTAGTAATTGAGACTATCCCATCAACCTAAAAGGGAATTAAGATAGGAGACCCACAGCACAGGCGAGTATGTCTTTGGATCCTTATTATGGCCAAAAACTCTCATCCAGCAATTAGGACTCTACCCCGCAATATATATATATATATATATATATATGGAAGTTTGCATAATGGCACATGGATTGTAGTGTTCCCGCAAATATAGCTAGAAAAAGCAGTCAAACTTTAAGGACACCATGTTAACTATAAGGAACTGTTATTGACCATCACAAAAAATCAATCATTTTGCAGCCTGCTTAGTGAAAGTTAAATGTAGTTAGCAATGTACCTGAGAGAGAATGCAAAGCAACGATTGTACATGGTTACGGGAGATGGAATCACCAATAAAGGCCCAGGATTTGTTCCTCATGAAATCAAGAAATTTCTCTGGATCGAATCTGGGTAATTCACAATCCCGGGGATTCCAACGCCAGTAAAGGTAGCCTGAATCGGGTCTCCCATTTCTCATACAGTTCTGGTGATCTTCAATTGCATGGCAACTTGCATTTGTGTAAGCTAGAGCTGATGGATCTGGTACCCAATCCCCCGTGAACAGATCACATTCAGCTGCAACTTCTTTTTTGAATTACACAAAATTAGGACTAATTTCTAAAGCAAATAGACATATGAATGATTAGACATTGCTGGAGATAGAAGCAAGCAAAGAATAAAGCAATAGCAAAATCCAAGTAATCATATATAGCACATAGCACAATGTCTCAACCTGCCAAATATAATATGTTTTTTCCTAGAAGACAAAGGTTTTGGCTATTTATTGTGCAACACAAATTGCTAGAGATCTACATCTTGTTTACTTGATTGGAAAAACTAGAATGGCAAGAACAAATTTCAATCACACAATACTTTTGAACCCAAAAAAGTCAGTTTATTTCTTGAATGAAATTTTAAACAAGGTGGGCTCAATCCATTGAACGAAATTTAAAAGAAAATGGACAGAAATCAGTATGAAGATTACAAACCAATGGCCGTCTTTTCACCTGCTTTTTATATTTCCCAACAGCCAGTATATCACATAGCAGTAGAAAATCTTATTTTTGAAAATTGAAAACTAGAACAATAAAAGCACACTAGCACACTGATCTCAAACAAAAGAGAACTTAAAGATTTACTAAAATCTCACGTCTTAATCTATATTCATTCAAACTTTATCAATATCTGACCAAGGAATCAACCACGTATAGACAGAAAGGAAGGAAAACTCAGAGAGGCTAGACAGGAATAAACAATTCTGTTCTTCACATTGATTTGCAAGTCTCATTAAAAGATAAGCCAAAAAATGGAAGACAATATCTTACCATTTGGAAAAGGTCGGCTGTCATTTGCCAACAAATCACCAGAACTGGGAACTTGAACAGGTAAAGAAGAAGAAGTAGACAGAGAAGGGGACTCGGTTACGGTATCAGTCTCTACAACAGGAGATGATGAAGAAAACTTGATAGAATCGGAGAAAAAGAGACGACAAGCAAGACCCAGTAACAGAAAAGAGACTGCAACTTTTACAAAGACATGATGGCGTTTGTGTAGTGATGAGGGGTTCCAACCTATCCTCATTTCCTTCAACATTTTGGGGTTTGTCACAGTTACCAAGAAAGTCTCCTTGATGTCCGTAGAGAGAGAGAGAGAGAATGGAAAGATAAAGCTGGGACTGAAACTAGTTTTACCAACCACCCAAAGGTGTTTTAAGATGGAAGTTTTAAGTTGAGTTTGATTAAAGTGGTTAGGACAAGTTCACTACAAGGGACGTGTCTTTTCTATAAGGTTTGAGAATTGAGAATGGTGTTGGATTTTTGCGTTTGTGGTGTTAGGGACTGTTGGGTTATGGTTGATAAATACGTATTTAAAAAAAGGAAAAAAATAAAAAGTAATAGAAAAATGAGAGGTTTGATTTCATTATCAAGAAAATATACAGAAAATGGCTGAAAGTTCTTGTCTTCTGATTTATAGTTTGGGTACTGGTAAAAAGGAGGTAACTATCCAAAAAATCCATACGTTAAACAAATTGACAGATAACGGGATTTTATGCAAACTGATATTTATGTTAGTTCAGTAATATTTGAATCGGCTTTAAAATTGAGGGTTTTCACTTCAAATCCAAAAAATATATTGTAATATAATATTGCAAAAAAAAAAAAAAAGGTCTAATCACATGGACTGCCCTCTCGCCTTGCTTGCACCTTAGATCTAAAACCAGTATTCTGGATGATAAAGTACAGCTGGCTGGAACCTTTGCTTTGGTCGTTTTAGCCTGTAAATGTTATGAATGGACCACTTCACCAACTTATCAATTATGAATTGATTATCCTTCTTTGTCCTTTCTTACCTTTATTGGAAATCTTTGAAGGTAACCCAAATCTTCATACTTTAAAAACCTTTCCTCTTTGTTTTGCTTTTTCTATTATACATACATAATGTTCCCTTCTACACTTATTGCCTTCTGAAATGGATCGGTGCAATTGCTAATTGCTGCTTATATAACTAGTCTTTCTGTTGTTTTTGATTCGTTTGGCGCCTCCTTTTTTAGATTTGATTTTCTTTTTTTAGTTAAAGAACCCAACCCTTATGTCTTTTTTGCTGTCTGGTCTTCTTTAAGCCATGAATGTCGTAGTGGTATGATTGATTCTTGTGTTCCGAATGTGGTCTTTGGTCGATATCAGGGCACTAGGCCAACCTAAAACCAATTAAGAAAAATATTTTCGAGCGGAAAAACCAAACAACTGAGATGCTTTAAAAATAAAAGAAGACATCCGAACAAACTTTGAGGGATGAGATATTGTTCTCATGTGCCATGAGTGTGAAAATCTAATATTTAATCGAGTTAAAAAAAATTAAAGAATCAGCCTACGAGGAGGAACATGCCATGACTGTAGACATCTGGTGTTATTGTCCCATCCAACATTGAAATTTCTTTATATTCGCAAGAATAAAGTGGGTCTTGGGTGTTTGGTTCGTATCCCAATTATGTGCTCATTAGTCATTTAGTCATGACCCTACCAAACAATTTATGCAGCATTTTACTCTTACTATTTCATAATTCATGAAAATGAAAATGTGCTCATTACTGTAATCATTTATTTTTAGAGATTAGCTCTGATGGTAATCACAAAATTAGATGCTTGAGGGCTTTTGTCTGTTCAATCTTTGATCAACAGTGAAAAGGCAGAAAGAGTTTTTTTTTTTTCAAATAACAAAGGGAAAGAGATGGGGTGAAGAAGCGACGGGCCCATTCTTCGGATTAGGCTCAGCAGGTATGCAAGAACAGAGCCCACAAGTGAGGCCCACTTAGCCCTCAGCTGGTGAGTACCAAAGAGTAGTAGGGCCATTTACCCCAAACGCTTGTCTTGTTGTTGTGTCGTCCAGATTAACCAATGATTGTCTGGGCCAATCTACTTGGAGATTAGAGCCCCTTCAACAGTAATTTCCCAGTCTTAACTCGGATCACGGATCTACTCAATTCTTTTGCTGCATTCACACAATGTTCCACAACTATAATATGAATTGCCATTTTGTCCAAGCATGTTTCTAAAAAATTCACAGGTCTATCAATCATATTCATGAAATCTTTCATACATGTAATTCATATTCAAGGCAAGAATATGAAACCAGAGTAACTACACATTTGCCATCTATACTCTACAGTGTGATCTTGTTCCTAGCTAAACCACGCATGTAAATGATGTTTCATACCTTGAATCGCCCGAATCTACCAGGAAATTAATTTTTCTGGTTTCAAGTTTCCAATGGTGATAGCTAGGAAAGATAGAAAGCCGAATCTCGTTTGGTAAACAATGCGGTAGAATGAAACAAACTTTACATAACTTGCATATACAAAACGCAGTACAACCACCAGCAAAAATATCAGATAAATCAGAAACATTGTCACTATTTATAGTTTTCACTTATCAAGGGCTTAAGAAACCATCCAACATTGACCAACCCAGAGTAGATAAAGAAACATCATTCTTATTTCACACCCTCCAACCATTTTGCCAAGATGGCTATCTCTGCACTTGATTTAGAATAAACCAAAACTTTTTGTATACACCCACGGCATAACTCTCTGATTGTTACAAGTTCACTATGCAGCTGCTCTTGGAACTTTCATGCCAAAACCATGCTTCGCTTTCTCAACTCTGTTCAAAGTCATATCAACAATGTTTCAGGATATAATCCCCGTAAAGAAATCTCATCTTGAGATACAAAAATTGTAAATAGCAATATATAATAATAGAAAAATGAGTTAAAAAACATAATGACTAGACTGAAGCAAGAAAACAGGAACGCTTTTGCTAAAGAGATAGCTTTCAAACATCCTACAGAACTTGACAATGTTGGAATGATTTACTAACAATTACTATTCATGATAAGTAGACTTTAGAACCATCAACCAAAAATGCAGGAATGATGTACTATTCTTAAAACCATTATTGAAAAGAAATTCCAAATGAATGCTATAGCCAGCACAGAAAGTATGTTTATAAACCATCTATGTAGCACAATTCCACGTATTTCACCTGATAAAAGCCCAATAACCTTATTTCTTTTCATCCTAGGATATCTCAAAGCCATGTCTTTGCCACTATACTAAGATCTCATTGGCCTCAAGGCTTATTCCAAAATCCAACACTCATAAAAAATGAAAAACCAGACTAGCATTGGGGCTATTAAAGATGAATGCATAAAACAGTCATGAGCATATCATTGCTCATTGGCTGCAGTGGATGAGCTAAAAGAACCAAGGTTATTTTTTTACTAGTTATACCAACATTAACTGCCTACCAAAAACCATGTATAAGAGGATGAACCAAAACATTAGAACAAAAAAAGTAGAAAAACAGTCAGAGTATTTGCTCTCACGTTGGGGCAAGTTTGCCAAGGCTATCTAGCTCTTCACCATTGTCCTCATCCAGGACTCGGCCCGATATCTCAATTCTGTAAGATCTATCTCTATCAGTTGGAAGCCCTCTATTAGCAAGTAAATCCAGATCTTTCTGATGAAGCTCTCTCCCGTTTACAAAAACACCAGTGGTCCCACCAGCACAATTTTCTGGCATTAGATGGTTAAATTCTTCGATAAACGGCTGCAAGAGAAATTAAGTAAATAAAAATTATTGGTGAAAACAAACAACAAAATGCTTTTCTGTTAATATATAGGTAAGAATTATTTAATCTTACAGGAATTATGCCAAGACAAGGCCCACCGAGGACACCCCAGAAGCCAGCTCGGAAATCATACCTGATTTAGGCATGTCCAACAAAAGAATGTTAATTATTCAAATGCAAAAGAAACTACTGGCCCAAATTAGCATATAGATTATGGTTAGATCAAGAAATATCAGGATTGGATTTTATTTATCTAGTTTAATTAAATTATTTGTAGATCTATTCCTTTACATGGGAATGCACACATCCATCACGATAGACATACAAAGGAACTAGTAAAAATCATAGCACAGCAGATCAAAAAGAAAATCAATGTAAGCTTACCAATAATGTCCAGGATGAATTGGTCCAGCCTTCTTTTGAGCTTTTTTAACCACACGTTCAGGTAGAGGATGCCCATTAACTGAAATGTTACTTTTCCCGCATTCCTCCGTTTGATTAGATCTAGAGAAATCCTTAAAACTCTTTTTAATAATGTTTGCAAAAAATGATTCACCTCCTTTTGCCATTTTTGGTTGATCATCTTCTCTGGTTGCATCCCCTGAATCTTGAGAAATCCCAGTATTAGAGTACTCATTGAATGACACCTCCATCTCAGTAGGTAATGATGCCTCTTTTAAAGAATTTTGTCGTGTTGTAGCCTTGTTTGACACAACTTTCTCTTGATCAGAGCGACTACTACGATTTCCCTTCCCAAATCGGTTGACTGCATGATTGTTAGAAGAGTAATCAAAGTGCTCTTGAAGAGGTGAGCCAGCTGTTGGAGGAGACAAAGTGGATTTGATTGGCTGCTGAACAGAATTCACTTCCTCTCTTGAAGCAATTAAAACATCCGGACTGTTTTCATCCTCAGAGATGCTTGGAGATGAAGAATGAAAGCTGTGCATTTCCTGAGGTCTGACAGAGTTCAAAGCCTGGCCTGTTGACAATACAACAGGTTCTCTGTCCATTGACTGAAAATCATAACCCGAATGATCATAGTCATCAGACGAGAAGTTAGCAGCAATTCGGTTCACACGGCCACGGAAATGTGAGGAACTATCATTCACAACTTCATTAGAGGTATCATCAACCTCCAGAGAAATTCCCTTCGTTTCAACATGATTATGAAGAACAAGCCTCTTGTTAATGACACTAAAGTTTATCACAGTAGAACAGGCTCCACATCGCAATTTATGTTCATTTTTTACCATGAGCTGCACTTTCCTGGGCATTTGTAATAGTTCAAAGCAATTATAACACATTATAAACGGAGCACCACCAGCTATAGGACGCAAACGGCGGCCACCACTGGCTAATACCACCCTCTGGGGACGGCACCGAACAAAAGCACCCATTTCTGAGTTAATGTCACTCGGCCATCTAGCATGCACTTGTGTACCACGTACATTCAATGGAGGAGGCATCGTAGTCCTAGAACTACAGAAATGCGAACCAAAAGTCCCAGGGTTCTCAATTTGGTACATTGGATTACTAGGCACATCGGGGAATCTTTTATTGCCAAATGTGCCAGGTGGAACAGGTGCTGGAACTCGCAGATGTTTCTCATAACAATGAAAGCAAGAACAAGAAGCCTGGTGCAAGAATGAACTTTGCGGATATGGCATAAATGGGTCATGATTACTTTCACTGTACTGTCCAGAAAAGTATGGATGAGGTGGCTGTTGTTGGTATTCTCCAGGCAACTGGTGAGGAGCTCTTCCAAGCATTTGTGAACCAAAATGATCTCCATAAGCAGGAATATGATTTGGATTATGCATTGGAGGATACAACCCATGCCGAGAAACATCATGCCCAACAGGATAAGAGAATGGATCTCGCAAATGATTAAAATAAGAGGGTCCTGCTCCTGCAGCATGTTTATCAGGTCCATAAAAAGGCATCGAGGGCTTCCGTGATCCGGAAGAACCATTAGGAAACCAAGTATCAGCACCACCATAAGACTCTGGAGGAACGACCATTCCATCAAGCGGAACCTTCTCTTTTGGTTTATCAACCACATCACAAGACCGATTAAGTTGCTCCTTTAACTCATCTAGCTTCCTCAGAAGCTCAGCTCTATCTTGTTCAAGGTGAATTCTACTAGACCCATCCTGGTCAATTCGATTCCGTGATGATTCACTACAACCATAAGAAGAATCCAAATGATGGTTTGATGGGCCTTCATCTGGATTGTTTGAAGTTGAAAATCGCACACCTTCAACAAGACCTCTTGGAATTTGCTGAAACCCCTCCATCTCTTCTTGCTTCCCAGTTTGCCAATCTGACATCTGTCCCTGTCTTTGTGATCCACCAGTATATTCAAAATTAGAATCCAAATCCTCCTGTTCTGTTGCAATAGAAATTAAAATTTCATCCTTATTCCTGCTATCATTTGCATTCTCAACAGACCATTTTTCACTATCAACCTTAGATTCATTCCTATTTCCATCAGTGCACTCAACATCATTCTTCTCTGGATCCCTTTGATCACACCTCAAAGAGTGAGCACTTGATTTAACATCTGCATCAGAGGCATCACTTGAGTCTACTATTTCCTTATCTGAGGAAATTTGAGATTTGGTGGAAACTCTGCCAAGCCTGTCTTCTTCCAACGTCTCAGAGAAAGCATCTGCTTCATGGCTCCTAATCTTTGCTGTTAAACAAACAACATTTCGCTATTAAAATTATGAAAAACTATAAATTTCATGGAAGGTCAAGACCAAAAGGTTCAAAAAATAGCAAGAAACTGATATCTGAAGCCTTAAACTGTTTCATTATTATGATTTCAACAAAATTAAGCCAGAGAGTTCTGCTATAACACTCGAATACCTTTATGACCAGGTTGCGTTCTAATAACGAAAATGATGAGTCTTAAGCCCTCTAAATTCTTTCTTTTTCTAATATGGTAGGTTTAATCATCAATCTTATTGAGGGTGATATAGCAGGAAGCAATAAAAAGAACAAAAATCCAACTTTGAATTTTCCAATAATGCACCTTGCCATTGATGATAAATACAAAAGAAGTAACTAACAAATAGATTCTAATAAGTTTTCATTGTCAAAAACACCATACAAAACCCTTAACTATACTTGATCCTTCAATTTAACCAACTGGTTCAAGTTTCAAAATTTATAGAAACAAGGTTAAGATAGATCAAAGACTCACTAAGTTTCTTTATCTTGTTTTCATCAACTTTCTCATCAACCAAACAAACAATCATGAAGAAAAACAGAGAAGAGAAAAGCTAGGTACCTCGAAGAACAGCACCGCAGCCGCCACACTGGTAAACAGAATAATCAGCAAGCTCTGGAAGAAGGTTTTCACACTTTGGACACAGAACCAACCTTACTTTGGTTGACGCGGCCATTTTTGAGTCATTCAAAGCCCTAACCACGAATAAGAAAACGACGTCACGCCAAAAACAGTTAGTATCCTTCCAATTTTTTTAAGAGCTTAAAAATTCCTCAATACTCTTGCAACAACTATCACCATCAACTCGTTCTATTTAAAAAAAAAAAAAAATCTTTTAGCGAAGTTTGGGAACCCGAAAACAAAGAGTTTATGGAAAAAAAAAAAAATAGGAAATGGAAGTGGCAAGATGAATTGAGGTTTTCTTTTTTTTCAAGCAAGCTTCTCTTTTGGTTTTCTCAGAGACCAAACAGGGAAAGGAAAGTTGGGAACAGTGGTTAAGACAACTTGGCAGGGACATAAAATGAAGTAACCTAGAATATGTGAAACACTCTGAAATTTTCAGTTGAAAGAGAACAGCTTGTGTTTTCTGAAGAAATCTGAGTTTATAATCCGCTCTACCTTACTCCACTTTGGGGAGAGAGAAAGAGGAAAAAAAAAAAAAAGAAAGAGAGAGAAAGACAGAACAGAGACAAAGAAACCGAGTTCACAATATCGTTTCCCAATGTTGTAGGGAAAGAAAGAAAAACACATGAACACAGTCGTTTTATTTACAAATTATAGCAATCTCCCAAACGATGTCGTATAGAATCACTATGAAATCGGCTACGTTTCCCGCTATACTCTCGTTTTTTCTGCCCTGGTAACTTTATTCGGTCCAATATTTTGCTTTATTTAGGTTCCTTGTTTGCGACCGGTGATAGAAAAGCAGAGTTTTGGCCGTTGTAAAAAGAAGTGAAAGGGCCTCCGCCAGCCTTCCTTCGTGGAAAATGCAAAATTTCTCGCTTCCGACTCTGACTGACAACTCTTTATCTTTAATCACCTTTTTTTTGCCTTCATATATTTTACATTTGTAAAGTGAAAGTGAATATGAATGATTTGCTTTGGTGCCCCACAGCTCATCTAACATAGAATGTGGTCCCATCTCCTCACTGTTATTATTACCGCCTTTTGTCTCGTACATCGACGTTGCACACTTCTCAGTACATGGTTTTCTCACTCAAACACAATCATGAAAAATTTTCAGGCAATTTTTCTACAGTTGTTTTTAACCCTGACATCAAATTTTGCTACAATAATTATGATTATTATGGATATTATCAGGGTTTCACGATTAGGATTGGGATTGGCCGATGATTGTTTTTGATTGATACGGTGTGAAATAAATAAATGCTGTGAAAGAGAAGGGGAGTCGGTTTGAATGTGCATTAGAATATCAATTTTTTTCGTAAAAGCTCGTTAATTTGTATATCAAATTTATTTATATTTTATTTAGTATAAATTATTGATTTTATTTTATTTATTTTTTTAATCAATAATTTTTAAATTATAAAAACGAGAATGTTTAGATTAATGGTTTATCACTAAATTTTTTTTTTTTTAGATTTTATATAGCAATTGTATTTTATTAATTAGTTTAATTTTTATCTTTTTAGTGTTAAGTCAAAAATCAAAGTCATATATATGTTTATAGTTTTTAACTAATGATATTTTTATAAGTTTTTTATCTATAATAAAAACAATCAAAATTATTTTTTAATAACATATCATCATGCATAAAAAATATATAAAAATTTTTAAAATTATAAATTTTTTATTCTTAAAATAAATAAAAATATTTTTTGCTTTATATCCTATTATACATTTTTTTACTTTATATCTTATTATATTTTTTTTCATCGATTTCTATTACTGTTATAAGATGTTTTATTGGCTCTTATTTTTCTAATGATAAAATATTACTTTTATAAGTATATATAATTACTTCATTATTTATTAAAACATTTAAAGAGTATGATTTATATTGTTTAAATCTAAATTCTACTTCTATATAATTATAATATATTTTTTGTTAATTTTTTAAAATTTTAATTATTTCATAATTACCAAATTTATATCAGTTGATTATAGTTAAACTTCAAATATCATCTCTCATAATATTTATAAATACAATTGAATTTAAAACTGAGTTTATTGAATTGTAAACTGAATATTTTTTGCTCATATTTCACATTGATAATCTATAATACAATATAATAATATAATATAAAATAATAATTTTTTATTTTAATAAATATTATATAAATTTAATAAAATAAAATATTTATATTTTATATTTTATATTAATAAAATTTACAAATTTCATATTTTATATATCATAATTTTTATATAAAATATAATATTAAATACATAAATTATTGATACTTTATGAAATATAAACACACTAATTTTATAAATTTAAATAACAATGACGAGGAAACGTGTGTGTTCAGAACGCTGACTTAAAAGCAGGGAGGTGAGGATTTTAACTTGAAGTTTGGTTTACATTTAAATCAATCACCTAGCAAAATTAATGAAGAAAATGCCTTGAAACTCTGGTCCCCGTCTCCCTTTCCCTCGCATTCCTTGTATTAAGATTAATTTTGATCACAAAATTTATATTAATTAAATATAGGATTTAGCAAAGTTAATTTATTTAATTACTTTTTAAAAAATGGTATCAAGCAAATGTAAAATTCAATTCCAGTCCTTCTATTTTTTTTTAATTATTTTTATAAATTTTTTTAAAAATTAACCTATATTTAAGGAAGTATTTTGAGGTGGATCGTGGTAGTTTCCCTCTAATCTCGCAAATGATAAATTATATATTGTATTACTTATTGAAATTCGAGATTCAAGATAGAATTTTAACCTGTACTCATTAAAAGTATATCTTTTATTGGTATGATCTCATTTAAAATAATATATTTTTGAATGAATAATATTATGAATGATTTTTAAATTTATAATAAAATATTTAATATAATATTTAAATTTTAAAATTTTTTAACATGATATATGAATTATTAATTTATTAATTATATGATATTTGAAGGGTTGTCACGTATAATAATTTATAATTAATTATATTTTATATGAATATCTTATTAGTTAATAAATTTATAATTTAAATATCATATTAAATATTTTTAAAATTTAAATATTATAATAAATATTTTGTTATAATTCAAAAATCATTTGTAAGATTAATTTAAAAAAAAAAATAAAGTTTGTTAATGATTTAAAGAATTCTATGTGTTGAAGGCAATTGTGAATTTTACAATCATAACCATAACAAAATCATGACCACAATTAGAGTGATTGTTTTCAAATTCCCTTACAAAAACTCTATCACTCTTTCCTTTGCTTTCATGACTGTCATTGCCACTTCGTCTTGTTTGACGGAGACATCAAGCAAACGACTCTTAGTCGCCGTGGGTAAGTTTAGCATTGTCATGGGAGGGAGAGTAACCACTTTTTTGACATGCTATACTATTTGTGATCTACAAAATTTTTTGTACTACGAAAATAAACAATATTAAAAAAAAAAAAATTTTACCTTATTTAACAAACTAAAGGTCTCTAGTTGGAGTTGGGCGACCTCACTAATTTATTTTTATTTGTCAATTCGATAGAGTGTAGTTCGACTATGAATTTCAGTTGATTCAATTTAAAAAAAAATAAATAAATGCTGCTATAAATAAGTAATAGAAGTAGATTGTAGTAGTAAAAGTAGCCATAATAATAAAATAATGAAGCCAAGAAGCATCCAAAGCATTATCACTGGCTTTTTCTACGTACTTGAAAGAAAGAGAGAGTGGGAGTTTAATCCATGAGTTATCCACCGGCTGTATTGTGAGAATTTCCTTGGAATTTGATGAAGAAAGCAACCAATCAAGGAGCTGCTGGTGTGGTATTGATCTCAGCATAAATGACACATTTGAGTCTGTTTGATGTCAATCAACCAATGCAGACAGCAAACGAACAACCTCTGGCCCTTAGATTAATGGTAGAAAAAACAGAAATGAGAAAAATCAAACATTTGAATATGTTGATTTTAATGTAGTAATAAAATTATAGAACTACTAGAATAAAAAATTTGGTTGACACTTCAACTAAAGAGACGTGAAAATACAATTTGCTTGATTTGATCATTTCTTTAAGAAAGAAATTTCTTAGTCAAAGAGGGGTTGCTTGATACAAAATACTTTCAGGAGGATGTCAATGGCGTTTCATGGTTCATCTGATTTTAATTGTCTAATACGAGGGTCATGACTGAGATAGCTTTGAGGTACGGACAGGATCAATAGCTATAAAAAGAAGGGTGATATTCCCTGATAAATTTAAAGGCTATGGAAAAGATAAGCTCATCAAATGAACAGTGTCTGTGTCACCATAGCTGGCTATCATATTCTTTTAAGGACTAATTGAGTAAACGGACATGTTCTATTCTGAAAAACCCTAATCTGAATTCTTTAGCAGCTGCAGTTAATCTTCTGCTCTTTTTTGTTTAAGCTAAAAACCGATAGACCGTTTCTGCTGCATTGCAGGGCCTAAACTAGGCAATGAGAGGCCCATGACAGAAACTCGAAAGTAAAACTTATGTCACCAGGCCCAATGTGGAAGCATTGGAAAATGATTTGAGATGTTCTCATTAACTATGAGAACGTCATGATAAGCCTTGGGTTTTTATGGAAGACTGATTCAGCATTGTACAGGCCTGGCCTAAAACCAGCCTGCTAAATGTAAATGATGGGTGATTTTATTCTTGTTATTGGAATGGTCCAGTATAATGGAGCCTCCTTACTAGTGACTATTAGCACAAATCAATAGTGGGCTGAGACTGCAAACTAATTGTGCTTACAATTAAGGCCCAACAGGCTGTTCAGGTTTAAATTGGGCTTTGGCCTGGAATTTACGAGTTTTGACTATGCGATAGAATTCAGCTGCACCATAACCATCTTTTACTGGTTAGGTAAGCCCACAAACTCCACCATCGTCCTCGAGTTTATGTAGTCAGAAACACTACCAAATTAGAAATATTTAGGTTAACAAAAGAAAATGTTTTAATGTAATGGTTGAACTACAAAATAACGTATGTTGTAACATAGCTCACCAGATTAAAACACTTTCTTTGCTTAACCTTTTTTTTCCCCTTTTTACCAAACAGAATGTTAGTCTAACAGTGGCTTTCTGTTTTGTTAGCTGGTTTAGTGTTCAAAGTAGTTGACCTGAATGGGTGCCATCCACATTGGAAATACACTGTCTCAGTTCTCAACTTGTCTAAAGAAACATATCAACAAAAAATCTATTAAGAAAGAAAAAGAAAAAAGAACGAGAAAATTGTTTTTTTGTTTACCAGTTGTCATGGGCTAAATGCAACCAATGTTTTAGATCATCCAAAAAAGTTTCATTTCAGCCAACTAATAAGTGATGGATAACAAGCTCATCCAGCTCTATGAAAAATCTCAGCCACAATTAATGAATGAATGAGACACTGTATGATCCAATATCAAAATTATGAAGGACATGTATGTTTCCAAAAGATAAATTGACAATTAATTTTGATGCAAGTCCGGTTTGTTCTCTAGGAGACGGGGTGTTTAGTCTCAATTCTTCATATTTATCAAACATTCATTTCTTCCCCAACCCCTTTAGCATCCAAACAAAAGAAATGACAAGAAAGGAAGAAATAAAATTTTGTTTTGTTTCCATGGCCCAACTCAAAATGCATCTGACCTGTATAAGTCGAATGCCTGGTGCTCGCATATTTGGCATTCATGAGATACGATTTTATAATCAATAGGCTGTCAGTCTGTCTGCTCACCCCCAGGGGGACAAGACAATGAAGATCGAATCCTCATCCAGATTCGTAATCTTCAACACTAGAAATTACTTCCAATATCTAAAAGCCATTGCTTTTTCAAAGAAGAACTGTTCCTGCATGTTATAAGATAAGAAATGGAGGCAAGCTTATCGTTGGGATGTCAAATCTGAAATATCAGTCTAAAGCCTCGTGTTTGATGTAACAGTATGAAACGGGAGTTGCTAGTGGTTAAAAACAG